GCACACACCTGAATACAATCAGTCAACCCATCTTCAATCAATCTTTCTGTCACCGTGACATCTTCAGATACTATCAAATCTGACATAACTATAGAAATAGGCCCTCTATTTTAGAAAATTATCTCTAGAGGTCTTGCGTAAATATAGAGAGTCTATTTTACTAAAAAAGTATAGTAGATGTTATGTTAGCACTAGGCAGGGTTTTAAATAAGCTAAGCTACCTGGTAAAATAGACCCTCTATTGTGCCTCTAAAACAGGCCTTATATAGAACTTAGCACTAAACACTCCTCCCTTTTTTTACGCTAATATAGAGCCTCCATTTCGGCGAACCGAACAGGCCGTTACCAGGCATGTAAGCGTAAGCACCAGCACTCACTCGAAACCCCAACTTCGACTCCGGAGCTTCTATCTCAGTCCAACGTTCCATCCCGCAATTCCGTCCGCCAATTTACCATCCTCTTCTTTCTCTTCAGTCAAAGCAAAGATGCTCAACCTGCTCAGCAAGCTAATCGATCGGGGCATTGCACGAAAGGTCAATCGCAAGCGCCTTGCGCGTCAGCAACGCGAGGACAATGTGCGTGAAGAATGGGCAGAAGCCCTGGTCAGTCTGGAAACCAAGCGCGCGGGAATGCAGTGGATTGCCGACAACCAAAGGTCACCAAACAACCAAGACGCAAGCGCCCTCTTCAGGCTCTCGCCTGAGCTCCGAATCGCCATTTACGGCTATCTTTATGCAGGGTTGGATGTGTTCATCTATGAGATTACACCTTACCATCTTACAGATCTGGTCATTCGCACTGATCGAAGACTACGGCTGTTCTCTTTCTCAGAGACATGCCTGCTGGCGTATGTATATCTTGCAGCCATCGTTTCGCCCGATACTGATTTTCATTTCTACGCAGATACCATGAGTCTCAGGAGTACATCTACAAACATGCCGTTTTCTGTGTTGAGCACGCTTTCTGCGTGCGCTTACTTCCTTTCTTTGTTGCTCCTACATGGCTCCATACAATACGACACCTCCGACTGCAGTTCTTGGTTGAGGGCCTCTACTCTCAGGCGTGGCCGTCTTTACTCCCTCCGCACGACGAAGCGACATGGGAGGAAGCTTGGGATATCGTCTCCAACATGAAAGGACTCCAGTTGTTGGTGGTCAAACTCAGACTCAGAGGCCGCTTCATTGCAGAACATGCCGAGCAGAAACTGTCCGAATCACTGAAGAAGGTCCGCGGCGTTGACTACTACAAGTTGTCGCTGGACTGGATACCTTCCTCCGAGGCATTCTCTGAGTCTGACTCCACGCCATGGCACCTTGTAAAGGTTCCAGAATTTCCAGATACCTCCACGGCTGGATTCAGGTGCTCAGATCTACTATGATGAGGGAACGAAAACGCAGCCCGTAAAAAAAGCACAGCAATTTCCCAAAAGACCATCGTACAGGGCTGCACATTCTGCGCCACGACATTTTGCGAACCCTCAACCGAGAGATGGCCCGTACCTGATGTTAAATCAGGCAAGCAAGTCGGTCACAAGAAACCAAGGACAATCAATGACCACACCTTATCCCTGCTCATGTGTGTCTAAACAATTATCGAGGGAATTGGAGGAAGCAAAAAAATTGATGAATACTATCAACGGTGGCCATGCGGCGAGAACCGTAGAAGGCCACACAAAATTCGGAAACGGCGGGTGGCGTCAAACGATCTCCGAGCAAACAGACCATGGACGACTAGGAGCCAGCAAAAGAGAACGCGACACCTCACCAGAAGGAGAGGGAAAGAGAAGCAACGAAAAAGAGGGAAATAGTCTTCTCATATGCCAACTCCTCCATCGTCATCTATGCAAAGCATCGGCACTGGACCCTTCAGAGCCGTCTGAACCTTTGACTCACATTCGTTCAATGTGCAACCATGATGCGAACGTTTGCCGCAACCCCAGGACTGCGGTGGTGTCAGCACCCTTGTTCCGACGAACCAGGCCGGTTCTGGTGTACTGACTGATAGCTACCGCCATTCAAAGCGACTACGTCAGCCACGAGTGACAAAAGTGACTCCTGTAGGGCCTGTGTTTTTGGGTTCGATGGCTTTGTCTGTTATGATCGGACTAGCAGTATCAAGGGGTGACGCTGGTACGATCGCGACACAATGCGCGAGCGCGACGGTACTCAAGAGTCGGTTGTTCACGTACATGATGGTTTCGGGTCGTTTGGTTTGGAACAGATGAACAAGCGTAGTTCAAACCTTCCCCCTGGACTTACGCATTTGAAGAGGACTCAGAACGTAAATGCCGCATTCCAACTCGGATCTCTATCCGCTTATGTCGAGACCCCAACTACCATTCAATAAACAAGAGGCGATTACATTAAACAATCTATCCATCGCCTTGCGGACTCCAGGGTACAATCCTGTTGGCTGAAGTCAGATGAGCCACAGAGAAATTCATCCTACAGCGCGAACTGCCCATGTGCCATGTTTATTGGCGCCCTTCCAGGGTGCAGTCCATTCAACGGGCAACACCACCTGCGGAGCGGGAAAAGCCAGATGAACCACAGCGAATCATCCCGCCGGGCAAAAACGCCCATTTGTCACTTTGAGGGTCGCCTTCCTCGGGCTCGTGGTGCTTCCAAAGAGCAAGGTCAACTTGCACGCATGAAGACTCCGGGGAACTGCGGTGCCCTTCGAAAATGAAAGTCTATTTGTTCGGATGGACTGATTCAAGAGGAAGTTCAACCGTCACTCGGCCTTGCAACGAACTGTGTCAAGGCAATGCCGGACCCAAAACTAGCATGTGATACACGGAATGTACTTCTGAGGCCTCACATGATATTCGACACCTTTCCACTGAAGCGATGCACCAAATTTGCGGTCATTCGTGCACGTATCACCTATTGCAGACGTCAGCAGGACCCATGGATCCATTCTCGGAGTTACTCACAGCCGTTCAGTATGACATCCATCGCAGTAATGCAGTCTTTCTCATCCAGGTTTCTCTGGAAATCAGGAGCAAGGTTCTTGGCTCCGACCCAGAATGTTTCGCGTTTGCCGTCGAACGTCTTATGATCCTCGAGATCCTCGTATTCTACTACTGGAGTGTCTTTTCCAGAACCAATTGTTTTACCACCGTAGTCTTTGCAGAACTTGTGGGCCATTTCAGTTGCTCGGCCAAGGTGGACCCACGGATGCTCTTTAGCCGCTTTGTCAACATCGGGACATGGATTGACGTAGCACTTCGGGCTCATTTCTGGTTCCACGGGCGGAGGGTCCGTGAACGTGACCGTTTTTTCTGGATGGTTCTGTTCCGTCCAAGGGCAAGGATTATGCCACTCTTCTCCTTCTTTCTTCTCAGCCTGCTCATATTTCAGAGACCCACCGGCACAATCGCACCAGGCGGCTGGAGTTCTGCCACTGTTGGGAGAACCAGCGGGGTAGCACCAGGGACGTTCAGGTTCGGCCCCGTTGTCGACTACCCATTGGAGAATCTCCTGTTGGTCGCGAAGCCATAATGGATCCTGTTCTTGGCCGAACACGGTCCCCAATTGGATGCAGGAGCAGCCCTTCCACTTTCCTGCCGAGCAGAATCTCTTGTCTTCGATGCCTTCGTTCGGACCCTTGCAATCGTCGTCTGGACAGACAGGAGCGTCCTTTCCTTTAGGAGCGTCGGCAGGGCAGCCATTCTCGTTATCGCCGCCGTTGTTCCCGTTTCCTTTACCGGCGAAGTGCGCAGGAATGTTCAGTACAGGCGACACCTTGGGAAGAATGCCGCCTCCGTGTCTCGAAACGAGGAACAAGAACACAAGTGTATAGATGACCGGAGGGGCACTGGCGATTTCGGAGACTGCCGCGGCGATTTCAGGAACGGTGGTGCCCAGCGCAGCGGCGAGCGCCTCGAAAGCGTCATTGATACCCAGTAAATCAGCCAAGTTGCTCAAGCCCGATTCAGCCAGCCGGCCTCCAGGCTGAAGTTCCTCGACCGAGATTTCTGCAAAACGTTGAGCAGCACTGCAAGTCTGCCGTTTCTTGAGGGGACAAGCCAGTACGGCTTCATCTGCAATGGCTTGGACTGCATCTTTGAGCTTAGGTGCCAGGACAATGTGCACATCTCCGACTTCAATACCCGCAGCTGGAATAGCTGCTGCAGCTGTGACGAGTGTGACCGCGGGCTTAATAATCGTGGGCCTCGATTCAACGGTAGTAGAAATTTCAGTTAAGTATTCAGTGTTAACGCCGATCTTCTTATAATTCCCGTTCTCGTCGTACCACTCGGTGGCGGGGCCGACAACGCTGGTACTGGATCACTGTTAGCATCCTACTCTCGAAGGCACCAAGCTTGCGAAGCACTCACTATTCTGAGGCGGGAACATCCGTGATAGCATTCACTCCAATTTGACCTGCCTCCGTAGGTGTAACAGCTCTCTTGGTTATGGTAGGGCTCAGCGTCCTGGTTGGTGTCGCTTGCACTGTGATAGCGCAGAGTGCCAAAGCAGCGGCAGACCACAAGCACCACAAGCTGTTCTTGACAAACATGATGTCGAAAGCCTGAGTTAGGAGAACCTGTAAGTATTCTTCTACTGCTTTCCTGAGGATACTGCAACATCTTAAAAGGCATCAGGCCAATTCACACGATCGCACTGACTATTTCCAGGGTTCGACTATGTTCCCAATGCAGTCTAGCTCGGGTGTATAACCTCATCGCTTCGTCTCACGTACTCCGTACTCAGCTCAAACTCTATCTTACTCGCACTCGACTATCGCTGTCAGCTAAATCAGCTTGAATGACTCCAGGGCGGATTTTTTGCTTCGCCACAGAACATAGCCTGGATATAGCGCTGATTTACAGTGCTGGGTGCCTATGCGCGCGCGTCCACGAAACAAGCGTATTCGCACAAGGTTGTTACTGGGCACATTGATTTAAATCGTTTCATGCATCTGACTGTGCGCAGTTGCCAGCATTTCCATTGCGCCATCGCGCCTGTGCAAGTCCAATCAGCTCGAATACATCTTACGGATTAAACCTCCGACTTCTCAACCACCATCAACGGGGGTCATACCAAACTCTGAATACCTCAACTTCCAGTTACCGACCCCACGGATCGGTCGCCTTGCAGCTTACCGATCTTGTGTTCGGGCGGCTCTGCAAGGTACGAACTTGCCCATTGGGTCCATGATGATCTCACTTTTACGCTCGCCTCTGTTCGACGTTGGAGGGGGCCGACTTTACAATGTCGTAAGCAATACGAGAGCATCACCACGGTGTTAAGATTCCAGCGGTCTTGGAATGGTCCAACATGTGGTGCATCCTCTCAGTACCATGATGAGATGAGATCAATGTCAGCTTCTGGAGCGACATCTCCCCTAGGCTTGAGCATTCTGGGAAGATACACGAAGGTAGGGCTTCTCTGCACGTTCTTCGTGCATGGTTTACGGAAATATAGGTGCCATGGTCTCAGCAAGATATTGGATGCTCTGCCGTATATTACTTCGAATCAAGTCCGGCTTTGCATGATAAATCTACAAGTCTGGTTCGACATCCCCCGGCTCGGTCTCATACCTTACCAGCAGAGCACCGGGATTTTGACGATGTTGTTCCCATCTATCCGTCTGGCTACTGCCTTTAGCTTGCTGTTCATCGGCAGCCATGCCTACAGTATGCCCACCCTTTCCATCCGCGCATGTCGTCGGCCGTCAACTGCAGGACTGACAGATTCATAGCAATCGACGACGACTGTGGAGCGGACAGAGACTTCATGATTGAGCGCATAGACGCTGCGTTTGCTCTTGCACGAGATGGGATGACAGAACTACGGAAGACTCCTATCAACGAAGACATCGACAATGTCTTCCAGCAGCTGTTCGGATACAAATACAACGAGCGTCCATACAAAGTCATTGAAGGCAGGCTGGACAACCTACAAGCGATCTCTACCCTCGACGGCGACGCCCAAGGCACTACCGACGTGCGCTTCTTCTGCACCATGCACCGCATCGAGAAGCGCAACGACAAGAGATACTACAACAAGGACTTGAACGTGGCATACGAGCTCGGCACCATCACTAACAGGTTCTCGTCCTGCTTTGACTTGACACCGCCGACTCTCGCGGTTACTCTGAACGTCCCCAACCACCGAACGGAAATCCAGATATGCCCATGGTTCATGACAACAGCACGCGGTTTCAAGTTCAGGGATCTGAAGGAGTTGAGGGCTTCAAGCTGGTCCTATGGAGTTTTGGCAAAGATCTTGATGCCCCCTATCTCGGCAATCAAGTACACACCGATCGATGCCTTTGCGCTGATGGACAAGGTTATCTTACATGAGGTAGGAAGTCCGTTTCTAGCGAAAGTCAACGCACTAATGCAGACAGTTGACGCACACCACCGCAAGTGGAGGACGCACACCGGCAGAAGATATGAGTGACGACCCCTACGGTATGCGTCATTGTCTCACGTCAACTTCCTCGACTAACAAAACACAGGTTGGAAGAATTGCAAGAAGCTGGCGGCGGACTTCTTGGCCTCTGGTATAAATGGCGGACTCCCATCTGTTGCTAAGGACCCCCAGAATAATGCCGACACTATCGCTTTGATGTGTTCGGCTATTCGATTGATCAAAGACGGTGTGAGGGTCAAAGAAGATGGGAGCTTGGATCCGAAGCAGTCAAGTAAGAAGCGTGATGGGGTGATGTATCCAGTGACTTGGGTCGCATGATTGTTTAGACGGATTGGGGGTTTTTTTAGACGAGACACTAGGGGTTTCGTAGTTGTAGAGGTATCTTTGATAGACCTTTTTTTCTATTTAAGATTTACTTTAACAGGAGGCAGTTCAGGCTTGATCTAACTAGGCAGGCCCTCTAGTAGTAAACCCCTTTTAGGTAATTATTGTTAGGTCCTAAGGTAGCGTGTAGCAACAAATTTCTAGCTAGGGACCCTGTTAAGCACAATTCTAAGGCGTTTTTATGCTTTAATAAAGATCCTACCTAAAACCAGCCTATTCAGGGATTCCTAAATCTATCTATTAGGCTGCTAACTTACACTAGACTCGGCACAATAGAGCAAGCACTAATAACCGCCGTTATCTTTTCCCTATAGTTTAACGCCCCACCAGAAAGATCTTGCTGCGTCCAAACCGCATTCACAAGCGCCCTAACATACGTGAGCAGGCGCGACGAGCGACGCCCTTCCGTCCTGCTCATCAATTCCAGAACAACAGCACGCTCCTCCTCGGTCCTCGCCTCGGCGCCCAGAATGAAAAGCGGAAACTGCCGCTCGCAGGCTTCCAAACGAGCAAATATTTCAAAGGCTTCATCGAGATACTTTTCGGTGGTTGCGGTAAACCCGAGGACGTCCTCCGTCGCGCGGTGCAAGTAAATCAGCACGGCTAGCCGGTAAAGGTTCACCATGTCCCTCAACTCCGCGGATTGCGATTGGTCGCCAGTATCGATGTTTCGGAGCCGCCAGTCAAGCGCCTGCAGATGCCGTACATAATCATCGCGCTCGCCCACCGTCATAACGGCCAAACGCTGGACGACTGGGACTGCATCGCACACCTCGCGCAGAATCTCCAGTACACTCAGAGTAGCGATTCCCGTAGGACGATCAAAGTGGCCGGCCGCCTCCGCCAAAGTGATGGGTAAATTCCAGCTGCCGTTGGCCTCTGCTTCTGATCCGGTGCAAATGGGCTGTTCGGCGGCGGTCCAGTGGCGCAGAGCGAAGCGTGCTAGAACGTCGTGGTAATGAACCCACTTGAGTAGAACGGACTTTTCTTCATCGCGGACCGTGTGGTAGCGTGTTGGGCAGACTACGTCGAGCACTTTCTTCACACCGTTTACGTAGCAGAGCCACTGGCCGGAGGTGGAGGACGCTTGGTGTACCTGCATGATGGAGTGATGGTGAGCATGAGATGATGAACAAGTTGAGCGTGGGATACGTACCTCGAACGAACCGAGAAGCATCCCGGCGGCGATGTGTTGGAGCAGTTCTGGAACGCCGAATTTGGTGCGGGATGCGAGGGCTAGCTTGTTCAGGGCGGAGATTTTGTATTTGATGGCTTGTTCTTGGATGCCATTTTGGTGAAGTGAGGATACGGCCAGGAGGGCGTACAGCACGGCCGTTGCGGATGGCGTATTTCCCGTCAGGGCCATGCGGATGAGAAGCGTCCCAACTTGGGAAGGGTCGTCCCCGAGGAGTGGCAGCGATCGTGATGCGTGGCGCTCAACTGGTTAGGCTAGTGTTAGAGCATGAAACCTGAAAAAGTGAAAGGTTCCATTATTGTGGTGGGCTTACAATATAACAACAAGTCACGGTCTTCAGAGGTCACGGCTCCCAGCATGGTGGAACCGAATGGCACGGGTATGTGCAGTCTTCCAGGTTGGGCTGGTAAAGAAGCAGATAGATGATAGTGCAGCGCCACATCCGACGCATACGCGTGGATGAGGCGTGCATCCATAGCGCTCTTCTCCATATTGGGAAGTTTGAGATGCAGCTGGAGGTGGTTTGCGACCATGGCCCTTCGCTTGTCGTTTGGGCGTGGCCACGACAATCGAAGTCCATAGCCTTTGCACACTCGGTTTGTACGAATGCACTGCAGGCATGCTGGTGTGTTTCGATCACAACGAATCTTACGTTCTACGAGATCAGATGGAAGTTCAGGAACTGCCATAGGTAGGCACTGATCGGGCCGCCAGGCATCACTTACCTCGACAATTGCCGCAGCCTTTCCTCGCCACTTTGACAGTGTCCATGCCCAAACTCGAGAGCAGTCTGTTTAGGTTTTGGAACGATTCTTCGCTGAAAGTTGCACTTCATGGTGGATGATATGATAGACGTTCTGGTGCGCTATACCAGCTTTGGAAGTAGGGACTCGGTTATCTTGCATCAGATGCACGGCGGGTGACTAATCGAACCAACGGCAACTTTCTGCGACCGACGCTTACCTCATTCGGCGCGGTTTTTGTCATCGCATGGTGGAGCTGTCACCAATGTACCAGGTCACGAGCAAGCGTTGCTGGGCTTATCTCGTAAGTAGATTTCTATTTCGAATTGAAGTGAACCTCGCAACGACGCGGTTTTCGTCCGTCATCCACATTGTGTGATTAGTAGGGAGAGAACCGTAACCGCAGCTCTGTCTCGAAGACGCCCAGAACTTTCCCTTTGCTGAATCTGTGTTTTGCAGGACTTGATGTTGAAAACCAAGCTTAGTCTTGGCTAGCCCCGCAGAAAGTTGCTCTGCATGCACCATAGATAGATGGTCGGTTGCTAGCTCCTCGCTATGCCCTGAATCGAAACGCCTAACGCGAAGGCATGATGACAGAGCGCTACCAACCATCGCGAGCCTCTAATCACTCCAACAAGGTCTCCGGTATGAGAGGTGACACATCCCAACGCTCTATAAAGCCGACCCGCGCTGCCCTCTAATGCTTCCATCTGCACTCTCTTCCTGGCCAACAGCAACATCCTCGCGCAAATCATCATTAAGAAAAAGAGCGATATCACTCTAAATATGCCATCGTATGCGATTACAGGCGCCTCCAGAGGCCTTGGTGTAGGTCCATTTAATTATCCAAACTTGACCAGTGATTGCGTTGGCTAAATATATGCACAGTGGGCATTCCTAGAAGAAATCTCCAATGACTCGAGCAATACCGTCATCGGAATTGTTCGCGACAAGACAGCGACCGACAAGCGAGTAAAGGACGAGTTGAACGGTCGACCCAACATTACCATCCTGCAGGCAGATATAACCGACTATGCCGCTTTGAAAGTAATAATACCCCATGTGTTCGTGCCAGCTTTGATCAGCCGCTAACCTCGCGAATCAGAAAGCTGCTGAAGATACGTCCAAGATCACGGGCGGCCATCTCGACTACCTGATTGCTAATGCGGCCTTGGTTTCCAAGTACGACGGATATGATGGCATCGGAACACTGTTAGTAACTCGTCCCGTATTGCCAGGTTTCGCTGACACTGCGAAAAATCAGCGGATCGGACCCAGACCAACTCACAGCGCAATTCAACGCATACATGACGACCAACGTGCTCGGCAACATCCACCTGTACAATCTCTTCATGCCGCTGATACTCGCCGGCGATGCCAAAAAAGTAACAGCCATATCCACTGGCATGGCTGATCTCGACCTCGTCAACGAATTCGCAACGTACATGGGGCCGCTTTACGCCATGAGCAAGGCCGCCATGAACATGGTCACCGCCAAGTTCAGTGCCCAGTACAAGAAGGAGGGGGTGCTGTTCGTGAGCATCAGTCCCGGATTCGTCGACACGGGCAACAACGATGTGTCTAATCTGTCGCCCGAGCAGATGGAGGGTCTGCAGGCCATGGTGGCGAGCTTCCAGAAGTATGCTCCTCATTTCAAGGGCGCGATTACGCCGCAAGAGTCGGTCAAGGCTGTTTTGGGCGTCATTGATAAGTTGAGTCTTGATCAAGGGCATGGAGGGGCTTTCTTGTCGCATCTTGGTACGAAGCAATGGCTCTGAGCAAACCGTTTGCTATGCGGATGGAGGCTGGCTGGATTGCTCGGCGAAGGGGGATTATACACGAGCGAGTGGTTTTGCGAAATTGACTTAGATTCTATTCTGATAGTACAGTGAGTCTTGGAATCATGGACGGAAACGTCTTGCATGCTTTGTCCATGCATTCCCGGTCATAGACAAGCCAATTTGCCCGAGTATGATGAGACAAGTTATCCACTCTAACGTGATCTTTACTAGGCAACACCCAGACGATGAGAGTCCTCCAGCCTGCCACGGTGCAAACTTACCGTACCATGGCTTACCCATAGGTTACCAGCCCCCCCTTAGTTGTCACGTTAGTTAACCGCCTCTTAGATAGGTATAGTACTTAGGGTTTGCTGCCACTTTATTATAAATGTTTACTTCTCCTCTACACTACAAGATAATTACATAGAATTATCTTCTAAGGAAGATGTCTAGAGCTAAGCGTAAGGCTTGTATGCAGGCTACTTTTTTCGCGCTCTAATTAGACAGTGGCTAATTTTACAATTTTGTATGTGCGGGTGTTTTAGTGTTCCAGTGGCAAGAAAGGGGTAGCTGGCAACTTATAGGTAAGCCATAGTACGCCTTCGGGAATCCAGATCCCAATTTCTACATACTTAGGTCCAAGGCGTTTGCATCTGCTTGTACGGGCACTAAGCGAATCGATCGCGAAAAACCAGGCCATCTTATTCCGTTCTGCTCCAAATTCGTCCTGCAGCCATGCCAAATCGATCAAGCGGCGCAAGAGAAGCGCGCGTATCTTGTCACATTTGCCTGGAAATCGCTCGTGTATTCGCCACAGCCCTCTCCGACGAGTGTCTTTTGACGCTAGGGAGTACCGAGCAAGCTTTGTCCGGCTGTAGAGTGCACGTCACCTTTTTTCTTCGATTAACCAGCCCTAATTGGCGTGAGGACGGCCTTAAGAAGAAAGAAATATCGCGGCTGAAGCCGAAGGATAGGACATATCTGCGAGCTTTTCTGAACGACTCCTTGTACCCTCCCCTGGAGCTGGTAAAGAAAGACACCGTCCCAAATCATGTCGGCCTAGGTCGAGTTCTTGATGCGGATTGGATCGACCACGCTACGTTGCGATGTTGGTATTGAGCGCTGTCGTCAGGATTATGGCAGAGAGTGCGATGTCCACGATATATGCAAGGACTCGCTCCCGCAAAACCTAGCTTGTTGGTGGATAGTCGGACTAATTGTCTCGTATCAGCTCGACGAGGAGTTAGCTACATTGCATTGAGCTATGTCTAGGGCCACGCTGACTGTTTCAAGACGAAGAAGAGCATGCTAGCAGAACTCAAATTACCCAATTCTCTTTCTCGTAAGCATATTAGCTATTATATCCCAACAACTGTTAGAGACTCAATACGGGTTACCTCGATTTTAGGCCAACGATACCTGTAGGTCGATTTACTTTGTAGCGTACAAGATGACGACGACTCAAGGCAAGGCGAACTAAATCAAATGTGCGCTATTTATTCCCATGCCTCTATTACTCTTATTGCGGTAGATAGTGCAACTTGCCAATACTAACTCTGTGGTTTTAAAGGTGTTGCTAAACGTAGAAGAGTAGAGCAAGAATTAGTCTCAATCGGAGACGGTGGTCGCTGTGGCGAATATCTTTCCACTTGATTGTGGCTCCTCAGCACCCTATTATCAGAGAGGGTGGACGTTTCAAGAACAAGTCTTCTCTAAATGGCGAATATGTTTTGAGAAAGAAAGTGTCCGTTGGCTCTTGCTCGAGCTGGTACGAGGATCTGGAATTCGGAGATCGTTCAGATCGATCGAACGGAAGGGTGTGGCAAACATCTTCTCTAGCCTGCGCTAGGACGCTTTATTATAAATTTTATCTTTTTTAGCGCTACTAGAAGCGCTTATATAGTTGTCAGATTTGATGGTATCTGAAGATGTCACGGTGACAGAAAGATTGAATAAAGATGGGTTGACTGATTGTATTCTGGTGTGTCCTTGTGTGCGAGGCTGGGGCCTGACACCGGTTTTGATGTTCCTTCTCTGAGCGCCAAGGCTGCGCAGGGCACTAGCCACTGCAGAATCACTAGCCACATGTCCTCAGACAGCACCGGTACAGACAACTTCTCCCAGTCCTCCTCTCCAGTCCCAGATAGGATGTCCATAAACTGGCTTACCATCTGACACTGGTACAGACAGTTTCTCCCAGTCCTCCTCTCCAGTCCCAGATGGGATGTCCATAAACTGGCTTACCATCTGACAATAGTATATTAAACTAACGCGCTGTAGCTACTACGTTAGGTTTTTCTTAGGTATTATAGAAGGAATTAAGGGCAAGTTAAATATGCTCTTAAATTTGCATGCAAGTCCTATAGTAATTTATTGCGTTGTTGTAGAGTTATAATTATTTAAAAAAGTAACGCGTAAAAAATTTAGCCCTAAGGTGCAGAACTACGTTGAGCCAAGTAGCGCTAACCTCTCGTTAGCGTGTAGGGTGAGTATATAGTAGTAAGGTCATCGCTCTCCTAAGTAATCTTCGTGATGCCTTTTTGCCTAAAAAGCTCTCTATCAAAGATCCTAACATATCTTGGAAATCTGCTTGCTTGTTGATTTCTACATACATACTAGTACGTCGTACTACAGAGTACAGGACCACGGTAAGATAGGATTGCCAACGCTGGGATGTGATTTAGACAAGCCCGTAGTGGCGGTAACGAGCGAGGGGAAAGACCATGCCGAGGCGGCCAAGCAGCTTCACCCGTGTGGCTGACGGTTAGAGGCTCGCGATAGGAGACGTCTGGAGGGCCAAGATGGTTGAATGTTGGATTCGGAGAGTGAGATTTTCGGAGACGCCGACGACAAGGCGGAATGGAAGACGCTTCTCCTACGACCGGGTCGCTTCGATACAGATGTATTGTGTAGCTAGAGAAAGGGAATAAATATTGGAGATAGAGGAAGAATCAAGAATGGAAGAGCATGGTCGGTGTAGAGTGCACATGGGAAAACATTAGATGATAAAACTTGCCGTTGAGTTGAAACAACTCCTTCCCAATCAGGTTAGCCTATGGAAGGAAGGAGGGATGCCCCAAGGACGACCTCGGAAATCTCCATGACCGTCAACTCCCACCTGGGCAGATTTTCGCCACCTTTTTGCAGACAGGTTCCAGGAATGACTTTCTCCCGCAATTGATGCTCGCAACTCACAGTCACAGAACAAGAGGTTACCTTGAGAATGCCAGACTACTACCTGCCACTCACGCTCGCCTGTGCAACCCGCGACGCTATGGACTGAGGCGGGGGACGGTTTTGCGGCAACAACCTTGGAAGGGCCGTAATAGTACGCTCCACTACAGGGGTTTTGTAGAAAACTTCAGAGCGAGGCTGGGTTTGCCAAACGCAAATACCAACATGCCATGGCTCGCCAAATTCACGTCTAAAGTTATTATTATTATCGCCTTCCCATCTGTGCACACCCTGAGATCTCGCTGCCCATAGACTCCTCCAGCCTCCTGCACCACCTCTGATCCTATTCTTCGTCAGAAATCGAAACTCTTCTCTGTTCATGGAATTCGTCGCAGAGTTTTTCTCCCTTCTTCTCAAGAACATACGTTGAGAATTTTACAGAATGGCCGTCTCTACAGGCATCGACCACGCTCCATCCGAGGTATACAGAGGAGGTGAGAAATCGTCTGAAGGCGCAGAAAAGCCTACCTACGACTCGGATGTTGAAGGTTCGCCCTCGGTGCAAAGCGTTAGCGTTCATGATCATACGCACCGCAAGCTGAAACCCCGCCATATCCAATTGATTGGCATAGGTGGGACAATCGGAACTGCTCTCTATGTTCAGATTGGTCGTGGATTGATGAATGGCGGCCCTGCCAGCCTATTCCTCGCTTTCACCATCTGGCATGTACCCACATCATCAGCTTCGCGAACCCTCTAACGAAACCTCAGGTGTGCCTTCATTCTGGCCGTCACAATAAGTAGGAAGATCCGCTCCTTATACCCCAAAGCACCACTCTTCAGGAGCATTTTGCCCCTTTGCACCCTCTCCGCCTGTGTCTGGATGCCAATTCCGAGTCCTCGGCTTTGTGGACTCGCAGTCCACTTGTGACGACAACTTGCTGAGTTGTCATTATAGGTATGGCAGAAATGGTCACATATCTGCCAATCTCGTCGCCCTTCATCCGTTTTGCGGGCCGCTTTGTCGACGATGCCTTTGGGGTGGCTGCAGGATGGAACTTCTTCATCTTCGAAGCAGCCCTAGTGCCTTTCGAGATTGTCGCGTGCAATGTCATTATCCACTTCTGGAGCGATATTGTCCCAGCTGGCGGCATCATAGCCATTGTCATCGTGCTCTACGCGTAGGTCCAATCCTTCTTTCAGTCCTAAGCGTTCTATTAGGCGTGAGCCTGAGCTCACCATCCCAGCGCAATCAATCTTCTGGCCGTCAAGTGGTATGGTGAAACAGAGTTCTGGGCTGCGCTCGGAAAAGTCCTACTCATCATCGGCCTCATCATCTTCACGTTCATTTCCATGTTGGGCGGTAACCCCCTGGGAGATCGATACGGTTTCCGCTACTGGAAGAACCCGGGTGCTTTTGCGGAGCTCTACTACACTGGTAATCTTGGACGTTTTCTAGGCTTCTTGTCGTGTTTGATTCAGGCCTCGTTCACCATTGCCGGACCTGACTACGTTTCCATGGCCGCTGGCGAGTGTGAGAACCCGCGAAAGGTTATGCCACGGGCTTACAATGCCGTCTTCTACCGCCTTACAACGTTCTTCATACTGGGGAGTCTGTGTGTAGGCATCAATGTCCCGTACAACGACCCCGAGATGACGGATGCGTTCAAGAACGACAAACCCGGCGCCGCTGCCTCACCCTATGTCTCCGCTATGAACAGACTCCACATCGGCGTTCTCCCCCACATCGTCAACGCCATGGTTCTCGGTGCGGCTTTCAGTGCGGGCAACTCCTATGTCTACTGTGCCTCGCGCTCGCTCTATGGTCTCGCTCTGGAAGGCAAAGCTCCCAAGTTTCTAACCCGCTGCACGAAACAAGGTGTACCTGTTTACTGCGTTGCCATCGTCTTGCTCATCGCGCTTCTGTCCTTCCTCCAACTCGGTTCGGGCTCCGCCGTCGTCCTGCAGTGGTTCGTCAACCTCGTTACCGCAAGCCAACTCATTAACTTCAGCGTCATATGCTTCACCTTCATCCGGTTCTACAAGGCATGTAAAGCCCAAGGTATCGACCGCAATACGTTACCATACAAGGGGATTTTCCAGCCTTATGCCGCGTATTTCGGTCTGGCGGGTACTTTCGTCATGACGTTTGTTGGTGGATATACCGTGTTTCTGAAGGGACATTGGGATACGCCGACATTTTTATTCTCGTGAGTCCTTCCACCGAGAGAGTTTGACGCTTACTGATGGGCAATCTCAGGTATATGATGATTTTCATCTTCCCAGTCCTTTACCTGGGCTGGAAGTTTGTAAAGAAGACCAAGCTCCGCGCCCCCCATGAAGTTGATCTCTATCAGGATCTGGAGGAGATCGAAGAGTATACGAGGAATTACGTGCCGACGCCGGATAGAAATCGGTTTGATAAGTGGTTCAATTGGCTGTTCAGCTGAAAAGACGCGGCGTCAACTGCGAGGGGTGCGGTTGTATACGCAAGATGTTCGCTATTAGCAAGTGGCGTGTGTCAAGATAGAGTATTGTGTAACTGATCTACATGCCTTGGAGAAAAAACAAAACAAAGTGCGATTGGGTGTACAGACTATTTGCTTTTGTCTTCCATCGATATTAAGGTACCTTCCCCGACCAGAGTACCTTAGGGTATCTCATTGCTGTGAAGTTTGACACTCTTCCCGAGACCATTCCGAACGCTAATCCACACTTCCTTGCTTTCAGGAGTCCTACCGTGGCAGTAATATAGTATAACACAACGTAACATAAAATGTTACTCCTGCAATAAAGTAACCTAGTAGGACAAACTAGGCACTAAGTAAAGGGCTTCTATAGACTTGGGGTTTTTTATCTTGCTTCCTACAACTATATACACAAGTATGGCTAATCTATACTTCTGTAGAAGAGAATTCGGGAGAGATGTTCTAGATACCTGACGTGTTTTTGTCAAACCACTTGGGCATGCAGGTGGGTATGGAGCTGCACTCCGCCTCTAACCCAATTAGGCAATTCCACATTTTCGCGGATTTGAGTCGCAAGCCCATCATTCACGTTTCGCACCAACAACCACCCCCAAAATGGCAGACGAGGAAGAAGATATCCCGCGCCCAGTGGGTGCTAATCAAGAAGATATTGATCTTACCGACGAGACGCAAGACTTTCGTTTCCTGGACAAGCTTACGTACCGTCCCCTTCTTGCAGCTGTCCCCGCCACGAACTAACTGAAACCCCAGCGTGAATGCGTCAGGCGCGGCCTCTCTCCCTAAGCGCGGCCAGAAGGACTTCGAGAGCCATGACACAAAACTCCAGAGCGATACGTTAGAAGCCTCACGTCAGGCCATGCACAATGTACTCTCTTGGACCCGCGTGCACACGGAGAAGAGTCGCATCCTAGGAATGTACCACCCTGAGAGCAACATGGCGTATGTGGAAAAGGTGAAAACAAAACACTTTGAGAACATGGGGAAGGCAAAAGGTGGGAAAGAATGGCTTTTGCCCGAGGAGGCGCTGTTTCTGATTGAAAGAGGAAGTATGGATTGCAGGTGGCCTGTCAACAAGTCAAACGGGGAGAACGAGGAGGAGCTCACGATAGAGGATGGCGCTCCGATGAGCCTGCAGGCGGCTTATGCCGCCTTCATTGGGTTCGAGGGTGGAGTGGGCGGGAAGCTCACTCTGGAGATGTTCACCGTCTATTCTGGGCTGAAGAGAGCTGGATACTTCGTATTCCGTGCGGGATGTTGGGACGACGATCGGGGGACATTGCAGCCTCTGGCTCACCATCAGGATCCCAACAAAGCAGGAGGCTATTTGTCTCGTTTCTTCACAGAGATCTGGCGAAGGATATCCACGCACATGTATCCGATCCCCAAAGCGAATCTGCAATTCGGTCCGCTGGTCAAGCCAGGGCTATACAGGTCCTATGCCGATGTCTACCGCCTCCTCCAGATCATACCCACGCATGACCGCACAGCGCCGCCCAAGTTCCACCTCGAGTCCGACCCCAACAACCCCTTTCGCATCCACTACGACGTCTACAAGTCCGGGACTGGCAAATTTCGAAAGGCCCACCGAGGGCCCCCTGATTTTCGAGTAGCAGTCATCAACGCCCGTGAGACATCCCTTCCCACGGCCGACCAGCTGAACGATCTCCTTGCCACCACTCCGTATGATCCTGCCAGCCCACAGGATCAGATGTACAAAAAGTTGAAGCACGGTTCGAGGAACGTGATTCTGGCTGTGGTTGACAATGGCATCCCGAGCTACATTCGATTTTCGGACTCGGACTTCTCGGATATCAAGCTGTACGAGCGGAATGGTAGGATCCCTCGTGGGAAGGGTGGAGGGCGCGGTCGTGGCGGAGGCCGAGGACGGGGAAGGGGACGGGGAAGATGAAGATGAAGATGAAGATGAAGATGAGGATTGTGCTTGTAATCCACAGCACGACCCGAAAGACAGATTTCGTAATGGCTGGTCATGAGTGCCCTGCAGCTTTTGCATGGGTCCCATTCATGTCGAGGACGATGGATTGCCCCTGAAGGCTCGTATAACGTGGCCACAGCGGAGCAAATATGGGTGTCTTGTATGTTTTCTACTTACGTCTGTCAAATGATGGCTAACATATTACAGTCACGAGAAATCCTAGAACTCCCAATTCTCAGCTTGAGGGAGGGAGATCTTCGAGGCAGATGTCGTTGGACATCTATAGTTTTCTTCTTCGAGCACATGCTACTCTGTCTATGCAAGCTTTCCCGGTACGAACGGGTGTCCGGCGCTCAACCCTCCATCCACAGCCCACGCCTGCCCATTGACATAGCTGCTCTCATCGCTTCCCAGGAATAGCACCGCACGAGCGATTTCGTCAGGCTGGCCTCCCCTCCTGAGCGGGTTCAATTGCCCAATCTTCCCCTCCGTACCCCGTTTCCTGGCCGCATCATAAGTCGCCTTCGTCATACCCGTCTCAATCAGTCCGGGGCAAACAGCATTGCACCGGATGCCCGTACCAACCAGCTGATACGCACACGTCTGCATCAAGCTGATAACGGCAGCCTTGCTGGCACTATAATCTGTGGGGCCGGCATTCGAGCGCAGGCCGGCCACGCTTGCCGTGCCGATTATGCTGCCCTGAGGATACGGCTTGTCCTTGCTCGTCTTCAACATGGCCCGCGAGGCATACTTTGCAGCGAGGAACACGCTCAGAGTATTCGTCCTCATCATCTGCATGAAGCCCTCCGAATCCTCCTCCCAAAACACCTTCCCGTGGGCGATCCCGGCATTCGCGAAGAAGACGTCCAATCGATTATACAGATCCAGCGCCTCCTGAACGACGTTCTTGACGGCCGTCTCGTCGGCGGCGTCGAAGGTGCGCGTGTGGATGTCTACAGTGGGGTACAGCGAGTTGAGTTCGCGCTTGTGCGCTTCGAGGTGCGAGGAGGCGTAGTCGCAGAGGAAGACTGCGCGGGCGCCGTTGCGAGCGAACTGGTGGGCGCTGGCGCGGCCGATACCGAGCGGTGAGTTTGCGCCTTCAAGGGAAGGGAGGGTTAGCTGGATTCTACTAGGTAGATTCTTTGAACTGTTGGGTCTTGGAGGGGAAATTGGGTGTATGGCATGGTTCTGTGTAGACGGACGTACCGGTGATGATGACGACCTTGCCTGGGACTCGGCTGCACAAATGTCAAAACATCTCTCTACTAAATACACGTATATCCAACTCACGGTCCAGCCGATTCCCCTGCGATCTGTTTGATCTTTGGCATGTCCTCGAACATGCCAGCATCGGGTATCCCTTCGGAGAGCTCGCGGCTCAGCTGCGCGTTGTTCTGGACGCGGGCCATAGGCGGCATTCTGTCTGCTTTGGGGAGAATGAGGTACGGTGAGAGGGAATGAAGTTTACTGTACAATAAGAGAGGGAGGACAGGTAAGGAAGGGCTATTATTGCGGAGTGGTTTGTCCTCTGCAATGCGGAGCTCGAGAGCTGCTGGGGTAAGATGTGAACGGGGATGCTGAGCCGAGGTAACTTTCTGGGATGGTGGGATTGGGGCTCGGGAGTCTGGATGAGAGTTGATTTGACGAGGAGTGCTAGTGGGATTGATAGGTATGGTTTCGTGTCTGGTGTTATTGGCTGGAGGCATATTCATCGAAGTGAACCAATCTTTGAATGTGTAGCGCTGGGATCTAATCGCAGAAAGCTACCTAGGTAGACTTCAGCCAAAAGAGTTGAGACAAAAGTGCCTAACATCCAGCATATCAAGACTGGTTTAAGAGATGGGCAAAATTGAAAAGCAAGAGCGAATTCGCCCTTTTAGCAACAGTGTATTTCCGAAAGTACCTGGGTATCATATCCATAATCTCCCAACGCCGATGCTGTGTTGCAAATGCTGCAAATCTATATGCAAAGATGATCAGTGAGCCTTTCCCCTCCGAATGAAGCTTCGTATCAGGTCCCAGAAGAGCCTTTGATGCTTATCGCCTCTTCCCCTTCTTCTTCTGAACTTTGAACCCACCCAAGGACAGCCCCTTCCCCATCCTCACATCCCTCGTACTCGCCTCCAACTCCTCCAAATACTTCTCCTTGTCGTCATCGCCATAAAACATCCTCCGTAATTTCTCGGCCTTCTTCTTCTCCTCCGCAGCCTTCTTCTTCACCCCTCCCGCATCCAGAACCTCCTTCAACTGTTCCGTCCCAACCGTCGCCACCGTCCCCTTGATACCAAGGCCATAAGTATCCCGCTTCTCTTTTGGTATAATGGGATGCAAGATGCCCTCCCCCGACGCACCCAACCCCCGCCGCGCATCGACGTCGAACCCGAACTTCTCCATATACTTCAACCCCATGCGCGACCTATCGATGGCCGACGGCGTGTGCGTCCTCGGCAGACTCATCTGATGCCCCAGCGACAAGAAATGCGCCCGCTCGTCGGCCTGGGTGATCGGCTCGCCGCAGGTCGGACATATCGGGTGCGAGACTTCTGGTTTGGGGACGCCGTTGGGGAAGACGATGGCGAGGTATTGGTCTGCTATGGAGACGGGTTTTGGCGCGGCTGAAGGAGGAGCGGTTGTGGTGGTGGCGGAGACGAACTTTACGGGGTGGTTGCGCAGGCCTTTGGTTATGGGTTGCGAGGTGAAGGGGGCGGTGGAGATGTCGTCGTCGTCTGTGTAGGTTGGTGGGAGTGCGTTCATAATCTTGGTGTTGATTTGGTAAGGTTGATCGGAGCCAGTTCTTGATGTGCAAAAGCCGACGCTGGCACGAAGGCCTCCAACTGGGTTGGCGAAGTACTGTGTACTTGTACAGGTGATGGTGTACGTTTCTGATTTCGAGGTCCATTCGTGAGGCGAGCGCCCGGGAGGAACCGCGCAATCACATGTTCAGGCGTGGGATGAAATGACGTCACGTGCCTTCCTGCGCCACCTGCGCCTCACTCTTGTGAACTTTCCCCCTTCGCGACTTCGTCGCACCTCAGCGACAGGTCTAGGGCAGCACGATGCCCGTCAATATTCTCGCCCAGGCCTTCTCCGACGGCATATCCTCTATTCCTTATAGCTGGACAGTGCTGAAGGTCATATCATGCCTTGCCGTTCTTTACCTGCTGAAATGGTACTTCAATGGAGCTACCAATACTTCGGAGCGCAATATGCACTCGAAGGTCGTGATGATAACGGTACGGCCTAGAGGGCCTTGTATCCTGTATCCCCCTAAGCTGAGCTGATAATCCATAGGGAGGAACATCAGGAATAGGCGCAGAAGTAGCCAAAGGCCTTGCCGCTCGAGGAGCTCAGCTCGTCCTGCTCACCCAGCACCCGCTCTCCGACCCCTTTCTCGTCGACTACGTTATGGACCTACGGGCTCAGACTGGCAATGATTTGATTACAGCCGAGCATGTGGATCTTACCTCTCTGCACAGTATCCGGGTCTTCGCGACCAAGTGGGTGGACAATGCCCCTCCACGACGCCTGGACATGATAATCCTGTGCGCGAATGTGCGAACGCCGCCGGGCGGGAAGGCGACGACGACCGAGGACGGCTTGGAGTCAACCTGGGGTCTCAATTACATGGCGAACTTCCATCTCCTGAGCATTCTCAGTCCGTCACTGAGAGTGCAACCCCCAGATCGGGACGTCCGCATCATATTTGGGACATGTAGTTCGTACATGGGAGGCACTCTGGAATTTGCTTCCAACTCGCATGCAAGCACAAAGTCGAAGCCTAAGGCTAAGAAGGATGCGAAAGCGTCGGCCGAAACCGCGGCATTCACTCCGGGCGGCGTGTACGCTACATCCAAACTCGCACTCATGACATTTGCAATCGCCTTCCAGAAGCACCTCTCCTCGTACGCACGACCAGACAAGACCCCCGTCAACGCAAGGGTCATCATAGTCGACCCTGGATGGGCACGCACACCCGGCATGCGCAGGTTCCTCTCTTTCGGGAGCCTCTGGGGCCTGGCGCTGTACCTGTTCATGTGGCCGTTCTGGTGGCTGGTGCTCAAGAGTCCAGACTACGGAGCACAAACTTTCCTGTACGCCGCAATGGAGGCGCAATATGGCCGTGGTCCAGGAGGGGTGTTTTTGAAAGAGTGCAGGGAGATCAAGTTCCAGAGGCCAGAGATTGAGGACGAGGCCGTGCAGAAGAAGTTGTGGGAGATGAGTGAGACTACGGTGCAGGCGTTGGAGAAAGAGGGGGCGCTGAGGAGGGCCAAGGAGAAAAAGGCCGAGGAAAGTAAACAGCAAAAGGGTGCAAAGAGGTGAGAGAACGGCCTGAAGCTAGTCGAGCAAGAGGCGGACTCTGCCGAATATCCAGCTTGTGACACATTTAGGGACCAAGCGCCTTGGATAATCAATGGGCCGATCACACTCCTTGTGGATGTTCTACGCGATGCTCCAGCCCCAGATTTCGAGGTCCAGCCAGGCGAATGAGTCCCGTCACTCCAGCGGAACCTGCGAATAGAACTCATGTTCACAGCAGGACTCGCATCATCGTGGCCAACATGAAGTTTAAACGAGCATACGGAACAATGAGGGTCTACGACCAAGGACACGATAGAAGATAACCAGCACGTCTCTGTCAATTCGAACATCCCACTTCCGGCGACTGCGGTGTATACACTTTCGGAAATCTGCACATACTTGCGTCCGAAGTTTTCTTGTTCAGATGGGCGCTAGCCCGCAAGTCGGAAATGCCCTCTGACACTACTGAACATGGTATGAGCGAAATGCCTTCTACCGAGACAGGAGGGGGTTTTTCTTTGCCCCCGCCTCCATCAGGGGCTACTACAATCAATCTCTCAACAAGGCAGAATGATCGTATTTCCGCTGGCATCTACGAAACTCCATTGCTCGTAGTAAATACGAATCGACTCACTTCACTTGCTGCGGATTATATTACCACCTCAAGAGTGTAGACACAACTCAGCCTTTCTTCTACGGATTGCTATCATAAATATAATGCAGAGGCATATTCGGCAGTAAAATAGTCCAACAAGCTTAGGAGCCTGCCAATATTTCTCCTAAGTGTGGAATGAATCCAGTCGCATCTACTCCTTACCAGGGCTTGAGGTGCTGCCAGATGGACAGCGCCCTGTAGCCTTCAACTGCTATATAGCACTTAGTTGCAACAGCTCAACGAAGTCTTCTTGGCTCGGAACCGTTTCTACTCTCGCGGACATACGTCGACCCGCCGCAGCATGTCCCATCACCCCTCTCAACTTTCAAGATCCAACCCCAATGCCTGTGCAGGCCACTGCACAAGATGCCACTTCTCCCTCCCCAGAGCTTTGGCCACTGCCCACACCGTATTCGTCCCCAAACCCTCGATCCACCAGATACCCCTCACCCTCCCAAGCAGCACGGCATAGTGTGCAACTATGACCAACACTTCCGGCATCTTCTGTTGTGCCAGCGAAATGAACTCCGGTGCGAGCCCGACAGGCCAGGTGAAAATGGTCGCGCGATCTTTGAGCATGCCTACGGTGGTGTCGTCGACCAGATAGGGAATCTCGGTTTTCGAAGGCCAGTTGGACAATGGGTCCGTTAATAGCGAGACCAGCGTGTATGTATTCCGCAGCGACTCCAGCGCCTTGGAGAGTAGGCTTTTCACCTGGGGGTCGTAACTATGCCCTTGCAGGAGTGGATCCTTTTGACATTGCCATTCTCCATCCTGGCTTGACACCCACAGCTTTTCCAGCTCCGCCAGCCGCGCATCTTCTTCCTTCGCCCGCTCTGTCTGCGGTATTCGATGCTTGGGCCACCATTCGCGTGTACAGATTGGCGAAAGCTCCCCTCCTATGACCCAGTTCCAGCCTGGTTTGAGGACCGTTAGCGCGCCGCGAAGTCCCCAGACGGTCCGGACGAACGAGTGGAGCATTTCGTCGATTACGTGGACGGGGGGTTCACTGATCCCTTCCGAGGGCACCGTGGCTCTCGCTTCCGACATATCGAGGGCGGACGTTCGGAAGAAGTACACAGCCGTAAGAGTGGAATGGGCGAACAGCGCGGCGGCATTGCTCTCGTTGATATCCTCCAAAGCGACGCGGAATAGCGAGATGGCGCGGTTCATCTGGTCAGCCGCGATCCGGTACAGGTTATCTCTCTCGTGTTGGCGTTCGGGGAGTCTAGCCAGGTCCAGGGAGGCGACGGAGAGGACGCCGTAGATGAGGAACCTGTGTCGCGAGGCCATGCTGGGGATGATGTTTTGCCAGACGTCTTGCTCCTCCTCGTCGGTGGCGAGGGTACGGCACGTGCTGGAGAGGTAGCGGTCGAGGAGGACACGTTGGAAGGGTTCGAGGCTGGCGCGACATTGAGACCAGGGATCTGTGCTGGGGAGACTTTGTTGTGAGGGCGAGGGTGACGGTCTGGAGGACGGAGAAGTAGCGTTGGAAGGGGTGATGTGGAAAGACTCCAGGGTGGATGTTAGGGATGACGCAGTGCTCTTGAAGACTCCTACGGTGTAGGGGGTTGAGTTCACTGACGAAGTGGAAGATGACGTGGTCGTTAGAGCTGTGGAGGGAAGTCTGGATGTAGGGACCAGGAGTAGGAAACTGCAATCCAGAGCTCTTCTTTCACAGTTTGCGCATACAGGATGTCTGCCGTCGCACTGAAGTCTGTTAGCGAATGGTCCATCTTAGCGCCGTCCGAAATGCAGGAGCCGCCAATATCATTTCTCTCGATAGGCCGTCCCGATCACATCCTCCATGCTTTCCTGTTTGTGAGGTCTTGGAGCAAGGAGTTTTGGTGGACTGGGATATTGGTCTGGAGGCATTGATTCGCCGTTGCCGGGTAACGGATGTAGGGACTAGGCGCGCGCACATTGCCCCTTTACAAATCCTCCTGGATTCATCTCGACGATATCCAAACCATCAGGGGTGCTGACGCTTGCGTATCGGGGCGCAGCTTACCTTTATCCGCCTTTTCTTACAGGCGCCGCAACCGAGTCTCGTTTTGCTGTGGGGAGCACGCTTCGCACCCGCCATGGTTGTCGGATGAGTCCAGAGTTGTCTGACTTGGCCGAGAATGAATGGACGAACAGCACTTGGCCAAGGAATCCAACGTTGGCAGGATTCGAACACTTCCAACGCCCAAACAATTGAAGCAGGACAAGGCGCGAATAAAAGTTGTCGCAGTACGACATCTTGCTCTCCCCTTCGCCCTGACAACTCGGCGGCTGTGCCTGGCCGAGCTCCACACCGGCGGGCATGTCGACGCGCAAGCTTTCCCCGACACCTATCTTAGATCCACACGATATCCACTAACCTCATTGGGAAATATCTCGTTCACAGCGTATTGCTATTCGCCCCCCTGGGTGTATGCGCGCTTGGCGGCTCTACGGGAGAAGCGCAACGGCGAGGGCTTCGAATAGTCTACTGCGACCCGCAACTGGCGCGAAAACGAAACGGTTCTTTCGCAGAGTCGTCCCATTCTCCCATCCCTGTGAGGCTGTGACGTTTTGTCCAGGCGAATCATGCCGTTCAGTGTACGCCGTGGGGTCGCAGGAGGATTGTTTGAGATTTTCTGATTTTGTATAGATGGGGAGATTGCGTATGTAGTCGTCGTCATGTCATGTAGGACAAGCGGCTGTGCCCTGGATGGTAATTTCCTAAACAAGAAATGTACGGAGGTCCCGCCGGGGCGAGGATACAGCCTAACAATAATGCCTTGGACCTCAGCGGGTTCCCCTACAAGAAGCCCAAATCGCCAATAACAAGCCGAGCGTTGCTTTGTTCTCTCTGTTTTCTTGATTTCACGTCTAGCTTGGTTCTTGCATATATTCAAAAGACTTGACGAGCGCTGTTTTTTCTCCACTCAATACCCCAGCGCACGACATCTCCATCACCATCACTTCACTTCTTTCTTTGACATATTCTCACCGCACCACCTCGCTTGAAGATACGGCCACCGTCACATCGTACAACCCAATCAACAACATAGGCTCACCAGGTCACCGTCGCCATGGTCAGCCAATGTGCCAACCGTGAAGGCGGCTATGAACTCTACGCCTACTCGCCCTCCTTACCCGCCGCCATCATCTTCATTGCGATCTTCGGCACCAGCGCTGTGTTACACATCTGGCAAGCCGGGAAAAAGCGTTCCTGGTTCATGACGCCGTTCATCATCGGTGGTCTAAGTAAGCCCGCGTATTTCCTCTTCTTGCCTCCTCTCTTCCCGCCCCCCCACCATCATCACTGCCTCACCCTACCCCAACCCTTGGGCCTAATACTACCTCTCAATATCGTCGTACTTCTCAACGTACTTCCCATCACCCCAACTAACGCCCTCCCCCCTCCCAGTGGAAACCGTCGGCTACGTCGGCCGCGCCCTCTCGCACCACAACACCTGCTCCCTGACCCCCTACATCATACAGACGCTCCTCCTCCTCCTGGGCCCGGCCCTCTTCGCAGCCTCCATCTACATGATCCTAGGCCGTATCATCCTCCTGACGGACGGCGAACCCTACGCCCTCATCCGCCGCACCTGGCTCACCAAGATCTTCGTCGGCGGCGACGTCCTCTGCTTCCTCATGCAGCTCGCGGGCGGCGGCATGCTGGCCAGCGCCGACGGCGATCCGGACAAAGCCAAGCTAGGCGAGAACCTCGTCGTCGGGGGGCTCTTCGTGCAGCTCGCCTTCTTCGGCTTCTTCATCCTCGTCGCCGCCCTCTTCCAAATGCAAGGCCGCCACCATCTCGCCGGCCTGCCGCAGAGCCTCAGCGCTTGGAGACGCCATTTGTATGTCTTGTACGGCACGAGTTTGCTCATCCTCGTGCGCAGTGTTTTCCGCGTTGTGGAGTATTTCCAGGGCGAGCACGGGTATTTGCTTAGCCATGAGGTGTTTTTGTATATCTTTGATGCGTCGCTCATGGCGGCGGCTATGGTGGCTATGAATGTGGTGCATCCGGGGGATATCGCGCTCTTGTTGAAGGGGAAGAGTTTGGAGGATGGGAGGGAGGGGTTCTTGGAGCTGGATAGTAGGGGCATGGTCGAGGGTCATGGAGTCGATGGACATTCGCGACATTGGAGGTGAGGGATGTAGAAGCAGGGGGAATGACGACGGGTGAAAGGGGGGGGGGTTGACATTTAAGCTTGATGATTTGCTGTGACTTTCTATGAAACGCGAGGAAAGGGATGTCATAGATTCAACCGTGACGGGCGTTCATGTGGATCAAAGATACTTTGGGACATGGGTTGGTAACGACGCGGCATATAGAGTAGATGTAACTGATTCACTGAATAACAACAACCACTGAGAAGGAACTTTACTACACTGTTTCCACATGTCGACCGGAATGCAAATTGTTAATCACAACGAAAGACATCGAGAACAATTCCGGCAACCAAAGTGAAGATGCTCTGAGAACAAAACAATCAATCTCGAGCTAGGAGATCTTCTGAACGATCCTCAAACAATGATGTAGACGCACTGCACGCTCTGATACGTGCGAATTCCACCTCATCTGGAGAGAACAGACGGTAGCGGAGCAAGGTTGAAGTTCAATTATGAGGTCGCAATGTCCAAAACGCTACAGTATGTACGCCGATTCGAAACAATTTCCACGCTCAAACGGGTATAAATCCCCACCACACCACCCTTAAGATGCCCTCCTTCTACAACAACCGTGCATACTAAATGGCCACGAGAAGGCAGCCAACCCCTTCCACGACTGCTCCTGCGCATGAACACCTCTTCCAAGCTGTGTCCCAGGTCGAAGGCTTCGCAACTCCTGCCGCGCAATCCCCGTTGGACGACCTTCCACTTCCTCATCTCGCCCCTCCAATCTAAATCCTCGACCACTTGTCGCCCTACTGCATAGGAGGCACATGCCCCTCAAGCACATGCGTCCCATACGGCCCATACCGAAAGACATCGAGGTCCTGCTCATAGAACGGGATCCGCTCATGCACCCCTTTCGGCGTCTCTGCCCGCGACTCGATCTGGAAAATCCGCAAAACCCAAGAGTCAGCGAAACGAGCTTCCCTCACTCATACATCCTTCCCACCTACGCCAAACTCCTGCTCCGAATCCACCGGCAACTCAAAGTCCGTCGCGGCATGATCCAAGATCGAGCGATCGACGTCGGGAATGACGGTAGCCGGCGCGGGGACCGCAGGCGACCGCGACCGCGAAGCGTATGCGTTCGGAGACAGCGAGGCACTCGCGTTCCCCGTCGGGGTGAAGACGGATGCTGGCGTGGGGGAGGTGGAGCACGGGGTACTACTGACTTCGACCATCTTGTCGCCCTGGACGACGACCTCGCGGTCGCGCAGGCGGCGCATCAGCTCCAGGAACTGGCTCTTTTGGAACTTCTCGCTTTGGTTGTCCGCCACGCGCTCGAGGAGCTTTCCCGCTGTGACGGCCAGTTCGTCATTGTCGTTGCGCGGAAATTGCTGCTCAGTCTTTTGCTGCTCTTCTACTGGTTGGTGTGTGTCCGGTGCTGGTAGGGAGTCCCGGGTATATAAAGACCGGTCTTGGAGTGGCAGTGAATTTACAAATTCTTGCCAGCTCTGCGGCCCGTTGAGGACTCCTGTCTGAGTTTGAAGAGGATACTCCGACATGATCCGCTCGTTCAGTGATTGGAGCAGTCCTTCCAGATTCTCGACAAAGGCCTTCGATGCTGGGTCCTGGCCAGTAACGCCGTGGTCGAGCCAGTACTTTAGGCCTTGCACTACTACGGGAAGACACTCGTGGCCTATCTGTGTTGTCTGTTCCAGCATTTCGAGGCGATCTAGAAGGTCGCCCGTTGAAGTAAGGCCATTCTGGCGGGCCGTTTCTGCAATCTTCATCATCAGGTACACTAGAGGAGAAATTAGACACATGCCGCAGGCGCGAAGAGCGGCACCACTTACAAGGTTCAGGCAGGCTCCTGAGTACAGGATCCTCATCCCCTTGCCTAGGTAATGCTTCATATTTCCATTGCTCATCCACTTCCAGCATGGCATCCCGATGCGCCTGCTCGAACGCTCTTTCAAAAGCAGCATCATCATATAGTGACACATCCTCCTCCACGCGTTGTTTCCCTTGCGCCGTCTCCGACAATGGTACCCCGCCCATGACGCCATAAGTTGACGTGTGCTGGAACGACGGTCCCGTCCAGCCCATGGTAGTCTGCCTCGGAATGCCACCGAACATACTTTGCTGCTGTATCGGAGCCTGCGCTGCAGGCGCCTGCTGTCTGAGAAAGTTCTTGTGCCATGCTGCCGGAGCACTCGAAGCCGGTTGGGAACGGTGCTGTTGTATCGGTAGGGGTTGAGGATGTGAGATATTCAGTCGCTGAAAGTCGGAGGCCCAGTCAGGGGTTTGGGGGACTTGTGCGAATTGTGGTGCTACCGCTGGAGGAGAATGGAAGGGCAGGCCGTGTTGGAGGGGAGGGGGCCCGGAGCGGCCGGCTTGAAAGGCGTCGAATTCGGGATCTAGGATGCCTGCATTGGGGCCAGGTGCTGATCTGAAGCCCTACGGAAGTCAGTCACGATTCTCTCCATGGAGTATTCAGGAGGCGTACTTGTATAGGCGACTGACGGCTGGTTAACCGATCCTGCTGTAAGGTGCGGTCTACGGAAGTGTGTTTCTGGAAATTCTGAAGGGCGTTCGAGGGACCACAAAGACTGTCTGCCATTTTCTGCAAAACGCTAAAAGAACGGCTGTAGGAATATACAAGTACAAGGAAACATGGAGGGAGTTGAGGTCCGGCGATGCGGCGAACTAGCCCGCATCCCGCCTTCTAGATCTAAGTAAGTTCTGAGAAGCCGAGGCACGTTCTAGCCCCACAGACCGGTCACTCTGGATGGGATTGACCGTGTTCACGTGCGGGGCATTAGCTTGATACTGAATGAGAATCGGTCTAGAAAGTTGTCCAGGACAAAAGAACGTATTAACGGGCATGTTCCTTGCACTTTTCTTCATCGATATCAAGGGGCAGCATCTGGCCGTGCTAAATTACAGCGCACCTGCCCCTCAAATATCACGCTATATATATATAAAACAAGGTTCACATGTGTGCTATGCCTATACTACCTAAACCCATCATCACAAGAGCTACGTCAATCATGCAACACTCCTTTTCATCCACCACTTGCCCCCAGGAGATCATCAAGAACCAAAACGATAAATCAAACCTGACCCATTCGTCACACAGCGCAAGCAGTGTGAGATACATTAGCCCAAATTCAACAACAGAAAGAAAACCTCTTGAAAGTCAAAAAGGGAAACGTTACTCCATCGTCTTCATCACATTCCATGTTGCGCTCGGAAACCAACCGCTTGGGAACTGCAAGTGGGTAAGAGCCCGTCATATCGCAAGCGCGCAACGTTTGCCTCAAAAGAACATCTCCTTGATTCCCACGACTCTCTTTGGGGACGACCGACGACGCGACGGAGACCTCGACTGCTTCCTGCGGCGCACCCAAGCGTACTCTGGTTTGCCGTGGTCATGGCGCTCTTCGATGAGGAGGCGGCTGGTTCCGCGGGTGCGCAAGCGGCGGGTATGTTCGAAGAGGATCTCGGTTTCCTTATTATCCATCTCGCGCAGAATGATGATGTAGTTGGGATCAGCCTGTGCGAGGGTTAGTCCTTCTAGCTGTGGAGAGAGACGAACGGACTCGGTCACTTACGCGATCAATTTCGTAAGGGATGTCATAGTAGTGGAGGGTATCAATGGACAGATGCTCCTTGTGCACCTTCACGTAGGTAGGCTGGTGCGTGAGTCGCGGAAGCGGATTCATAGGCGTCATGCCCTGCTGCTGTTGGAGCTTAGCCTGCTCCTCGGGCTTGATCATGGCCTGGATCTGGTTCTCCTGGAAGCCGAACTGGGCCAGGCGCTTGCGCATGGCGTCCTCGAGCTCCTGCTCCTTCTTCGCCTTCTTCGCCTTTTCCTCTTCCTCCTTCTGTTTCTGCTTCTGCAGGAATCGCTGGTACTCTTCCTCCTCCTCCTTCTTGCGCTTCTCCTCTTCGATGCGGAGCTGCATGATGAGCTCCTCGCGCTGACGTTTGGCCTTCTCCGCATCCAGGACCTTGTTGCGCTCGTACTCGGCGATGATTCTCTCGCGTTCCTCCCGGGCCTTCCTCTCCTTCTCGGCCTGCTCCTTGTTGAAGGCATCCACTGCGGCCTGGCGAGCCGCTTCCGCCTCCTTTTGCGCCCGTTCCATTGCCAGCTGATTCTCGTTAATGATGCGCCTACGCTCCTCCTCGGCTTCCCTGGCCTGCTTCTCCCGCTTCCGTTCTTCCTCGAGGAGGATACGCTTACGCTCCTCTTCGGCCTCTCTGGCCTTCTTCTCCCGCTTCCTCTCTTCCTCGAGGAGGATCCGCTTGCGCTCTTCTTCGGCCTCCTGCTCCCTTCGTGCCTTCTCCCGCGCCTCCTTCTCCATCTTCAACTCCCACTCCTTCTTGAGGCGATCCTCTTCGAGCTTGATGCGTGCTTCCTCCTCCTCGCGCTCTTGCTTGTCCTTGAGGAGCTTGAGCTCTATGCGCTTCTTGATCAGTTCCTCGCGTTTCTCTTGGTGCTCACGCTCTTGCTGTTCCCTGAGACGCTCCTCCATCATCTTGATCTGATATCTTTCCAACTCGTGGTTGTGGTGGTCGTGGTGGTAGCCGGGAGACTCGTCCCGGTGGTAGTGTGCTGAACGGGATCGGGACCGCCTATTTCGAGCGACCTCGAGTCTCAGCTGAGCCAGCTCGTCCTCGACGGCCCACTCATCGGCCATTCTGAGGGGTCGGCCACGAGGGCTCGTACTCGGGCCTGGGCTGCGCTGTTGAGTGCGCACATTGGGGTTGCTTTCGTTGTCGAGGCGGGTGGTGTTGTAGATGGTCACGTTGGGGGCGGGGGAATGTCCCACGGAGCGGGTACGGTGAAGGCCACTGCTATAAGTGTGGGTATGGTCTGGGGTCAGCAGCTCGCTACGGCGGCCGTAGCCGTCGTCTCGAGCGCGAAGATGCGGGCGGACATGGCGGGCACCGGCGAAATGCCTATCGGAGTGATACCACTCGTCTTCTTCGTCCCAGAAGTCGGCGGGTGGCATGGTTGGGTGTAGTGAAGCGATCGAGTGGGATGGTGGGGTGTTGTTGGTTCACAGTGTCGATCCAGAGAATAGGCGAGTGTGGAAAGGCTCAAAGAAAACGCGAGCGATCTTGGAGAGTATATGGGATATTGTGTAAGACGGGCGGTGAGCCAGTCGCGGGGTGATGCGGGGTTGGTGTTGAGTCTCCAACAACACGACAGATGTGACGACGAAGTCGTTGGAAGCAGGAAGAAAAGAAGGCTGGCAGAGGGCAAGGTGAGTAAGAAAGTTACGGGCAGATTTGGGGGCCGCAACGGATGGGACACGGGCGAATAGTCATCAGGCAGCGCCGGGGCTGAGAGGCACCAAGTGATGGGCGATACATCGTGAGCAGATGGGCCAGCTGCCCGCTTCAAAGAACAAGGGGTCGGGGTATGTTATGGTTGACCGCAACACAGTACTGTGTACGCCTGTACGGCCGCGTTCGCGAGAAGGTCATAGATGGAACATGAACCGTACGGGATTGCCGCTCGACTACTCCATACGCACTCCCATAGTACACAGTACTTCCCATTATTCGTGGAGTTGCGGCGGCTCGAAGGAGGGGCAGCCACAGCCACACCTGGGCTGCGATGCTGCTAACCACTGCTTTAGGCATGGCGCTCGATGTCGTCCATACTGCAGCAGTCCAGGTAGTACACAGTACTGGTATTAATAAGAATACGAAAGGACTGGCTGACCAGTGTCCGCACTGCCAAAAGGTCAGTGTTTCAGGGCTGGAGTCACGACGCGAGCGCCTCATGAAACAGCCTGCTCGCGTGCACTTTGCGGGACAGATGACTGCTTGACGACGGTGTCGGTGTCCACGGAACATCCAGAATTTGGTAGATATGAGATTGTGCTTGCCCAGCGACATCATCGACTGTTTGAACTCGTTCGAGACGTTCAGCCATATGTTCCAAGGTTGGCTGAAAGATGCAAGCACTCCCTCGCCTACGCTATCCCTTTTTCGGATACTGAAAAATGCATATGTAGGAATACTCCATATGCGTGTCGGATTCATACTGACCCCTGCTTCTCTTTTGATCGTCGACTATACATACGTTTGTGTTGTGGTTGATTCTATGATGTCAAAAGAAGAAGTAAGTCGGTAGGGCATAGGGCAGAGCGGCCTGGGAACGGCATGCCTCGCTTGTATCAATATGCAGCGGTAGAAAGAAAGTCCGTGAGCCAAGTGTCGTACTGAGTTTGGTTTTCGAGTGAGTGAAGCCTGGTGTAATAACAGAGTCGGTAGTCGCAATGTCGGACTCGGAATCAACCATGTCTCTCTCGTGTGCAATGCCTGTTGATCTGCACTATATAACAATCTCCATTCATAATAATGACCGAACAGTTGCGCTGTTCGATTACGCCGGAAGCAAAGCGGGCCAGGGTTCCATCCACGGTTTGGATGGTGACTGGGCATCTGATGAACTTTGAGGATTGCGATACCAATGCCCCGCTCTGAGCGCTTGCTTCTCTTTTGGCTTCCAGCCGACGGTGGCCAGAGATGCCGAATTCAAGCCAATTTCTCTTTCTTGCGAGTGCTGGTAAACGAGAGTCGATCCTGCCTAGCTCACGCTCCAGCGCCTCGAAGGACTTGCTCGATGCTGTCCTTGCTGTTCTGAAACGTCTTCTCCAAATAATCTTCCTTCTTGTTCAGATTCGACAGATCTGCTTGGAGCTGCTCGCTCTCTGCGCTCAGTCTCTTTTGCACATCGGAAATGGGAGTGCCAATGAACCTGGGCATTGGATTAGTCTGGCTTACCACTGGTAGGCGGATGGGGTCGTACATCTTGCCCACGCCCTCGTACACGTTCGTATCCTTGGGAAGGGACGTAACTTCGCTGGCGGTCAACTGCAACATGCGAGCTTCGCGGGTTTTGGCGGCCTTCTGTTGTCTCACGACGACGAGCTGCTGCTCAGCAAAGGCCTTCTTCTGGCCAATCTCCTGCAAAACCTAGACGGCAGGTCAGATCTCACGTGCTTCGCAATTACCACAAAAGCCAGCCGTTTACCTTCTGAAGAGCATCGTTAGGTATCGACATGCTTGGAAGCTTGCGATGGTGTTGCACTGAATATAATCTTCGAATTCGTCAAGCGTCTTCCCCACAAGTGCTTGGCCAACGGTGTCGGCTACTCTTGCCGCGGTTTGTGGTCGCCCGCTTGGAGTTTCCCCTTCCGAGGGTGGCGAAAAGGCAACAGAAAACAAGAGAACGCCCATGGCCACTGGGGCAGCGCAAGAGCGCCCGTGACAAGTGACGCGCAATACACAGTAGCGTCTGGTTGATCAACACCTCCCACTGGGCAGTTCCCATACTTCTGCTATTAACCATGAAAATTCACAGTTTTCTTCGTAGCACCGCCCGTTCTCACCCATTGTCACACGACATTCCAGTACTCGTAGCTCTCTCCACGATATAGACTCCCAAAGGTTTACCGAAGCGCATGCTACCAAATTCATTCATTGCCACAGCATGGCGGCCCGAATGCTCTCTCTAATTCCGTCCATTCCCTATCCTGTCGAGGCAGAGGGGAGATGGCTCCCCGTGACTTCGACGATAGACTGGTGCGAAGAGGTTCGTCTCCGTAGTATCTATCTTGGAACTGGTTTATTGATATCGCCCAGAATTATTACGCGACCACTTACTCCGCCGAGATCGTGAATACCCTGACGAACCTCCTATTCATGTACCTGGCTGCCAAAGGGATACACAACGTCCTCACCCAGGGCCATGATGGCGTCTTCCTTGTCGGCTTCGTCGGCTACCTGCTTGTTGGCATCGGGAGTTTTCTTTTCCACTCGACGCTAAAATGTAAGTAACATGGCGTAGGGTTCCGAAGCTTTGGAGTACGCGAACATGACTGATATGTATACTGCAGACCCCTTCCAGCTTGTAGACGAGCTGTCTATGATCTATACGACATGCCTGATGTGCTTCGCTACCTTTTCATACGGCGGGTCAAGGCGGTATCGCAACACCCTGGCTGCCTCGTTGGTTCTGCTCTCGCTTTTCATCACCATCTACTATCACTATCTGCAGGACCCAACCTTCCATGAAGTCGTTTACGCCATTCTCACCGTCATTGTCGTAGTGCGTAGTCTTTTCCTCATGGAGACAAACCTGCGACCAAGATGGCGTTCCAAGGCGAGAGAAGCAGCCAATCCACGGCTAAGAGGTCAGGGACCGGCCGCCGTGATGATCGAGAATGAACGGGATCAAAAGATTCTGCGAGAGATGTGGATCATGTTCTTCTGGGGCGTCAGCATATTCTTGTCCGGCTTCGCACTCTGGGCTGTGGACAATATCAGCTGCTCCTCCCTCGTTAGCCTCAGGCGCAAGATCGGGTTGCCATGGGGAGTTCTTCTGGAGCTACATGGCTGGTGGCATCTGATGACTGGCGTTGGAGCTTACGCCTATCTCGTCTGGGGAATCTGGCTTCGGCACTGCCTCGATTACAAGCAGGATGAGTATGAGTTGGTCTGGCCTCGGTGGACGAGCATGCCGGTCGTCTTGAAGCGGCAGCCCAAGTATCAAATCAACGGAACTGACGAAAAGCTGAAGGAGCTGGTTAGAAACTGACGACAAGAAGCGTACGGAGTACTGATGAGTAGAAACATCATTGATGGGCACGGTGAGTTGGTCTGCCTTTTTCTTCAAGTTGGCGCGTATGGGGCCAAAACAAAGTTGGAAACAAGACGGGCGACAAGAAGGAATAGATGTATTTCTAGCTCGTACAATTCTGCAATATGAGTTCTCCTATGCTGAAAGGTTGATAAAACGGTGACAAGGTAACCGCTGCCGTCTTCTAAGTTACTGTACCGACCACATGTGTTGTTGTTGTCATGGAAGGGGCAACAGATGGCCGGTCGCGTACACAGTGGGCTAGCGCGCGCACGGGCCACGCGCCAGGTAAATATTGGCGCCTTCCCAGACCGCCTCTCTTCTCCCCCCTCGAACCTCCACTCCAACCCGACAAGTCTCCCGATCAACTTCTTCGGCACCCTCTTCCCATTCTCAGCTCCATTATCCGCCTTTGACGCCTTTGTATCCACCCAAAATGCGTGAGATTGTACGTAACAAGCCCTGCAAACCCTTTTGTTGAAAGACTTTCTCGCGTGCCTTGGAGCCCCGCGTTAGCTTCAGGGACACCACAACATTGAGGGACATCAGCTAACATGAGCCTTTCTGCGCGATTAGGTCCACCTCCAGACCGGCCAATGCGTGAGTAATCCCTAACGAGTGCGTTTGACCTTGTTCTGACATGTGTAGGGTAACCAAATCGGCGCTGCCTTCTGGTGCGTGCTTCCTTACAGCGTCCACGAATCGCGCTCAGGGACAACAACTAACGTTGCTGCTCTACAGGCAAAACATCTCTGGCGAGCACGGCCTCGATGGCTCCGGCGTGTAAGTGCAATCCGGTAGGAATCCGTTGCTTTTGCAGCGTGCTAATGGGAATCAGGTACAATGGCACGTCGGATCTGCAGCTTGAGCGTATGAATGTTTACTTCAACGAGGTATGCAGCCTCCTCGGCCCATCACAGGGTATCGTACTCACAATGGACAGGCTTCTGGCAACAAGTTCGTTCCTCGTGCGGTCCTCGTCGACTTGGAGCCCGGTACCATGGACGCTGTTCGTGCTGGACCATTCGGCCAGCTTTTCCGCCCCGACAACTTCGTCTTCGGCCAGTCCGGTGCCGGTAACAACTGGGCCAAGGGCCACTACACTGAGGGTGCCGAGTTGGTCGACCAGGTTCTCGACGTTGTCCGTCGCGAAGCCGAGGGCTGTGACTGCCTTCAGGGTTTCCAGATCACCCACTCCCTCGGTGGTGGAACCGGTGCTGGTATGGGAACGCTCCTGATCTCCAAGATCCGCGAGGAGTTCCCGGACCGCATGATGGCCACTTTCTCCGTTGTGCCGTCTCCCAAGGTGTCTGACACCGTCGTCGAGCCCTATAACGCAACCCTCTCGGTTCACCAGTTGGTTGAGAACTCTGATGAGACCTTCTGCATTGACAACGAGGTTCGTCACTGTGTGCGCCTTTTGCAAAATACAGACAATGCTAACCGACCGTCGAACAGGCTCTCTATGACATCTGCATGAGGACTCTTAAGCTGAACAACCCCTCGTATGGCGACCTGAACCACCTCGTCTCCGCCGTTATGTCTGGCATCACCACCTGCCTCCGTTTCCCCGGTCAGCTCAACTCCGATCTCCGCAAGTTGGCTGTCAACATGGTTCCCTTCCCTCGTCTCCACTTCTTCATGGTTGGCTTCGCCCCCCTGACCAGCCGTGGCGCCCACTCGTTCCGTGCCGTCACCGTGCCGGAGCTTACCCAGCAGATGTTCGACCCCAAGAACATGATGGCTGCTTCTGACTTCAGAAACGGCCGCTACCTGACCTGCTCTGCCATCTTCCGTGGCAAGGTCTCGATGAAGGAGGTTGAGGACCAGATGCGCAACGTGCAGAACAAGAACTCTTCCTACTTCGTTGAGTGGATCCCCAACAACGTCCAGACCGCCCTTTGCTCCATCCCCCCGCGTGGCCTCAAGATGTCGTCGACCTTCGTCGGCAACTCGACCTCCATCCAGGAGCTCTTCAAGCGTGTCGGTGATCAGTTCACGGCCATGTTCAGGCGCAAGGCTTTCTTGCATTGGTACACTGGTGAGGGTATGGACGAGATGGAGTTCACTGAGGCTGAGAGCAACATGAACGACCTGGTGTCCGAGTACCAGCAGTACCAGGAGGCATCCGTCTCGGATGGCGAGGAGGAGTACGATGAGGAGCAGCCACTCGAGGCCGAGGAGTAGAGATGATTTGGTGTCTCGAGGGAGAAGGCATTTTGATACAGCGCTTTAGCCTATCAAATCTGGTGGCTTTTTGCAAGCAGGTGTTGGAGGTGCTGGCGCGGTGGAGCCGTTTCCGTCGCCCCGAACATTTGTGAGCAGAATAGCGAATTATCTTAGGGAGTAGGAGTAGAGCTCTTGTTAATGCCAAGTGTTTTAATCGAGATGGTTTCTCTAATGTTGCGTTTGCGTGAGAATGAAGTGGTCATGCATATTTCGTGGAGTTTGCAAATCGTAAGCCAATTCAGTACTTTCGAAGCTGTGAAAACCAGATTATCAGGTTAGTCGAAGTCATCCCTAAGATGGGCACCTGCGTCTCAAGTCGAGCACCGCGGCGGGACTTTTCAGTGTTTGGGTGGTTGTTGTGGTATGGGGTCTGGACAGAGGCTATTGTTGTTTGTTGCTTTGGGCAAATAAATTGTCGCTTTGGGACCACCCGCCTTCTCCTCCGCTTCTCCTCAGCTAAGGCACACATGTTGAATATGAAATCCCGCCCGACCCAGGGCATCTGATGCGCGTATACTATATACTCTCGCTCGCCGGCGCTGTCTTGGGAATGTTGAAAGGAAAAATATCCGACTATCCGTCTACCGGTTTCGATGGAGTCAATGCTCAGCATCCACGCCGACTTGAGCGGCGTATCTATGAGCCAAGCTCACTTTCCCGACCTCTTACCTTTTCTTTCCCTACAATCCCTTCTTCCCTTCCCTCCTTCCCTCCCTGTCCCGCTTCGCATATATCATAGCCGTGAAGGGATCCTCATACCTTCTCGCGACCTTGTACGCCAGGGCGACCAAGGCCGTGAGCAACAACCCCGCAGGTTTGCCCGCCCAGATGGCCGCGGCGAGGAAACTCAGCGTGCTACCGTGGTACATGGGCGCGCTCGTGACGTTGAAGGGGAACGAGGTGACGGGTTCGTCCATGAGGATGCCGAAGTAGTCGCCTAGGTAGGTGCCTGTGATGCCGAGGGCGTACATGGACGTCAGGACGAGGAGGTTGCCTGTTAAAAAGAGGGGGATGGCGGAGAGGTGGATGGGGGGAGAGGAGGTGAGGAGCGGGTGGGTGGGTTGGTGGGAGAGGGCGGTGTGGTAGCTGTGTATTTTTCCAAGGTGGTTAGTCGAGCAGAGGAGGGTGTGGTTGTGAGCGTGGGAAGGGAGGGGGGGAGAAAGGACGTACATGTAGTCCCTGATGATGCCGAGGGAGAAGATGGTGACGGCCAGGGCGTAGCAGCCTAGGCGCGAGTTGCCGCCGAAGAGCTTCGTGATGGCCTTGTTGTGGTATTCTGGTTGGAAGCGGGATGGGTTAGCCAGTGGTTGCTTCTTGAACCCATTTTCGCGGAGCTTTTGCCTTGAGCTGGTGGCATATGGGGTTTCTTTCCAATTGTTCTTGGTTGCTTCCTGGAGCATTGGGGTATATCCCCGCTTCCACTCCATCGTGTATATATCGTTTTCGAGCGGGAGGCAACGAGGGAATCCGATCGTACGTACCTTGACGAGCCGCAATACTAAATAGCTCTCCGTTAGCTAGCACGTCCATAATACACGAACGTGATACTTACTTCCAGAACGTCGGGTTAAACACAATCGACCCCGCCGCGACTGTTGTGGGGGTTGGTTTTGGTTAGCCATAGATTTTCCTACTCAAAACGCGTTGTACAGCTCCCACGAGCTAGCCGCATGGCCTCGAAAGGGGAAGAATGGGATGCAAGAAAGCCACCAAAAACAGAAAAAATGGATAGATCACGTACGCCAAAAGCTGGGTTGACCGAAATCCACCCACGCAACCATGATCGCTGCTGACTGAGTGTGTGGTGAGAAAGGCGAGGAATCTAGCGATGGGAAGAAGCTGCAATGAACAGAGAGCAGCAAACTCTCAAAAGCGATCGAGCCTTGATAAGGACGGGTGAAGGAACGAGGAATCTTGATCGATGGGAGGTGGGGGAGCTTTGTCGGCAATCTATGCTGTCTCACTAGCGAGGGTCGGAAACAGCAAAACTGAAAACGTCATTCCGCCTGGGCAAGGTCCAGGCGTTGGATGGGCTCACATGACCAGAGCCTCTCAAACGTCCAAGCTACCAACCAGTGCAACTCGTCATTAATCAATAACAATCGCATGCACTACTGATGAATGAAAGCATGAACGAATGGTTGATTGATTGATTGATTGAGCGACTGACCGAATCCAGCAAACGCAGTCTACCCTCCCAGACTCCAATGTCCTTCATCCACCTATCCAAACATGTGCCTAGGACGCGGCCATGCTCTCTTCCAATGCCAGGCACACGCTGCCGAAATCCTCTTTGGACGCCGGAGAAGCAGAACGAACGTGAAAACAAACTGACCACTCTAGGCCCGCCATCTATCCTAGCACACCAGAAACATACTTCCTCGTGCACAACCTCTTCGCTGATTCCGGAGCAAGAGAAAAAAAGGGAGAAAATTGACCATGTCCAACCCAAAGACACGTTTCAATGAAAAGAGAATCACCCCTTCAAAGACCGTTATCGGCGCATGTGAAGGCGCCCCCAAAGCTATCCTGCTTGTATCCATCGATGATGGACTGCACCGTCGCCTGAACGATTGTCAGCATAAAAAGTCTCTCCGCAGAAACACCCCAATCAGGGTGAAACGATTGATAAAAAAAAGAGAAAAACTCACATAAGTTCCCGGCCCCAAAAACAGCAACCCCGTCAAGATCAACACGACATTCACCGCGATCCCAATCCAACCCCTCAGGCCCCTCTTCTTCCAGAACCCATTACCGTAATCCACCTTGCGCATGCGCATGTAGGCGATGCCCCAGAAGATGAAGCCGAAGAAGGAGTCGAAGAGCGAGCTCATGAGGGACAGCAGGTCGGAGAAGAAGGGAATCACCTCGGCGATGATGAACGCAGCCGCCCACGTGACGGCCAGGATGGCCGCCCACGTCACCCATCCCTTGATGGTGTGGTCCGTCTTGTGCTTGGAGCCTTCCACGAATAGGCGCGTGAAGATGAAGCGAGAAGAGACGGATGCGTACAGGACGCCCAGGAAGAGGATCGTCGGGATCATGAAGGAGAAGGAAACCTTGAGGTAGACTTCGTCGCCGAGCGAACCGAAAGCCGGGGCCGTCATGTAGTTGTTGCCCGTGTATGCGTAGATGACGGCGCCCACGATGCTGAAGACGAAGATCTCGGCAATGGTGACGGCCCAGAGGGCCTTGGGGAAGTCGCGCGGGTCCCTCATCTCGGCGATGAAGCTCGGCAGCGTGATTTGTCCGATGAAGGTGTAGCTGATGTTCAAGAAGGCGCTCATGCCGGCGACAAAGGTCGTGCCTGGGGCCGGGATGGTGTGCACCTGCTTGGGCCCCTTGGCTGGAAAACCCTTTGGATGGTCCTCGACGGCGGCAAAGATGGTGGCTAGCAAGACGGAGATGAAGGTGAAGAAAGCGCTGGCAGCGGCAACCCTGGAGAGCGAGTGGAAGGTCCTGGGAAGCGAGCACAGCCACGAGACGATGGCGACGATGGCCGAGAAGGAGACTGTGCACAGGCTGTGGTTGGACATGGTGTTGAGATACTTTGCGCCGACCAGGCAGTGCAGACCTTGGATGAAGGTGTTGTTGAGCAGAAACATGACGGCGGTGAACCAGAAGCCCCAGCGCTTGTTCCACAAGATCATCTGGCCTAGGTCGCAGACGTCGCGCACCTCGGGGTGACGGAGGCACCATTCCCAGATGATCAAGGAGGTGTACAAGACCATGGCGGCTACAACGACAGTCAAGATCAAGCCGGGCACCAATCCCAGAACAGAGTACGACCAGGGAAAGGACATGATGGCCAAGCAAATGTACTCTGAGAAGAGTAAGGCTGCGGTCTAAATTCACGATTAGTGCCTATTCTCTCCTCTCTGTCTCTTTCTCTCTCATACACACAGACGCAAATGAGAAGAAGGGAACGGTGATTGGGGAAGAGATCATGACATACCCTATACCAACTGCAAGTACGATACTGAATGGCATTCTCGGCCTCCCTCTCAATCTGCTTCCCAACGCTGAACTCGGCGCTACTGTCGTCCGAAGTCGGGATATGCAGAGGAGGTTCGACACGACAGAGCCTCTTCCCGTGCAAGATGATGCTCTCAGGGTCGTACAACTCGGGAGGTGCGACTTTTTCCTCGTCGACCTGGACACGGTCAATTTTGGTGTTGTCGGCGCCCTTCGATGAGTGGGGGAACGAGGAAGAGCCGGAGGATGAGGAAGGTCCATCCGTAGCGGTCGCAGTGGTAATGGCATTGTTGTCTGCGACGGGCTGTTGACTGATTGCTCCAGTTGGGGTTGATGTGGAAATGGTGTTGTCGGCAACGGGGTGGGCGGACGAGCGTGCCTCGCCCTTGGATAGCGAATCTAACGCCATTTGATGGAGCGGATGGACCGTTTAAAAGGAGTGTAGTAGAAGGGGATCTTGATGTTGGCTTCTGCGAGCATGAACCACTCGGGCTACTGTGGTAATTCAGATGGTGGGGGGTGGATTGATGTTGGTGTTTATGGTAAGAGATGCAGGTTCAAGGATGTAAATAGGGACTTCTGGGGGCTGGGGAAGGGAGGTCCAAGGATAGTGATTCCAGGTCGGGGGGAGTTTACTTTACGCTGGAGGAGCGCTTGCTTGGCGGGGTAAGGGGGCCGGATGGGACGACGGGGGTGTGAAATGACGTGCTCGTTGGGAAGTTGGACAACACGTGAAGGAAGCGGGTAGACAGATGATGTCGAGGGAACGTTGCTCAGAGTCTCGCGAAAACGAAATGGGGTTGACGAATCATACGAGAGACCTTTTGAGAGGGAAGCGCAGGGGATGATGCGAAAAGGTAAATAGACGGAGTACAGTAACAGTATTTATTGCTCGCAAACGGCGACGAAGGATGATTGCATCCATACAAAGACGGAGTTGGACGCGGCCAGAGAAAACCGGGAAAGAAACGTCACTGCGCTAACGCGGTACAGAGCAAGAGTGAATCGCCTCAGTGTACGGAGTATATCGGCAATCATGGCGCTCCTCTACACTGTGCTCCAGTACCACGCTGTACTGTATACGGTGTATTTCCTCCCCATCGCTCGAAGCGATAGGTACAATAGTCTATCTAGCGAGGTACGAGAAACGTGAATTCGCCCCCGCCACCCCGTAGTCTACCTCGTGTTCCTGGATTTCTCTCCCACGGTGGCGCTCCTTGTCTTGTCCCCTCTGTGCCACCCGAGGCTTAGCAACATCGGATCCGGCGTCGTCGCTTTCGTCCGTCACTTTCATCACCCGTCCAGATGCGGGCGCCCATGATGAATGATTTCGGTTGCCATGGTCCTTCATGTTGCTCTCATGACGTCGATTCTGCAAAAAAGTCTGCACCCCAATCTTTTAATCAAGCAACGGCGCATGGTAATCAGAGCTTAGCCGAGCTTGGCGCGCGGCATGGGCGCCCCCCCACGTGGTGAACATTCCATTACTGTGCATTCTGACATCAGTCGGGTTGGGGAGCCGGACTGTACTGTGTACAAGTATCGGTAATTTGACCTTTACAAGAAAGTGTCCTCATTTTGCGTCTCTCGAGGCACACTCCCTTACGTCGAAAGTCTTCGTGGTATCATGCTACTTCCTTGTCCCATTCATTCCCCTGTGTGTCTTTGACAAAGAACTCGCCTACCGGACCCCAGCTAATAAAACAATGGCAATGCTAACGACACAGCGTGCTGCGCAAAGAGATCCTCATATCAGACTATCCCCTCCACTGCTACTCCACCCCTGATTCTGGTTTGTTGGCTGCTGCAGAGTTTGGCTGCGGGACTGATTCTGTCCTTGGCCCTGTACCCTATTATTTGCGAGACTGTTCATGCTCAACCTGCCGCCGCCCCTCGCCCCCGAACTACTTGTTGGCGGAGGCGGAATGGAAAACGCACTGCTTCCCGTGCTAGTAGTTGGCGGTGGTGCAATGCTAAACGACTTGCTGGATTGTCCGGGTGGCGGTGCGATAGTGAAGCTCGAATAGGGATTGCTTGCCTGCTGTAGTTGCTGCCCAGCGGTAATACTCGACATGGTGCCGCCCCATGCGTTTGATGTCATGCCCGCCCCAGCCGCCTTACTCCAGTCGATTCCGGAGCTTTGGTTCGTGTACGAGGGTGTCGAGACAGTGGATGTGTTTGTAGGTGAGAGCATGCCCACCCCCAACGGAGACTTCGCTTGCGGTTGCGGGAAGGAAGAGTTTCCGATTCCTGGATTCACGGGCTGGATAGCAGGGAATGCAGAACTCAAAGCATTGAGTGTATTGTCGGGTGTGATGGTCCTGCTCGTACTCTGAGCAGTGCCGAGATTGGTAACGGGTGGGGACACAGGCGGTGTTGACCACGAGAAGGCTGGGGCTGACGACGCGTTGTTCACGCTTCTTGCACGGTTCGCTGCCGGTCGTGACGGCAGCATCGTCGGTGAGATGGCTGATGTGGGTGCGCTTGCCCACGCGTCTCCCCCAAGCATCATGTCTGATCCGCTAGACAAGCCAGTCGCACCACCCCGAACCAAGGCCTCAAAGTCAGCTTCGCCGGTTCCGTTGGAATTCTCCATTCCAACGCTGCTGCCTGTAACTGCGCCGAAGCTCATAAGGTCGTTTCGCGACGCCACCACGGTAGTGGAGTTGCTGGTGCCCAGCTCTTGAAGTTTTCTTGTTTGATCATTTTCCACTCGTGCAGACACCGATCTGATGAGAGCCATATAGGCTTGGAACTGAGGGAGATTCAGCAGCGGACCGAGGCTGAACTTCCACAGGATGGGAAGAACGTCAATGGCGAGGAAGTCACTGTCGACTTGGTTCCCTATCGCCTTGAAGACATCAAGTGCAGCCATCTTTAGAAACAGGTTAGCATTCGACAGATGCTTTGGACAACACAGATACACTTGCCATAACTGCCGGTTCTTTCGTCTTGATGCCCCCTAGGAGAGGTACCACCTTCTCCTGTATAGTGTACTTATCCAGGATAGAAACATTGCTGCTCTTGGCCTTGGGAGCTGCCATCATTCCGTTCAGATCATCACCTGATAGTCCGTCGGATCCCTCACTGCTACCTCCACAAAGCGTTCTGAGGGCTTCCAGACCCCGGATTTTGATCCCCATACTACTGGTCTTCGCAAAGACAGTGGCAATGATAGGGAAGAGTTCGTTCTTGATCGTCGAGAAGTCAAGGATGGGAAGTATGACGGACAGAGTGCGCAGAGCGGCGTCTACCAGAGCGTGGGTAGGCGACTCCAGAGCATGGTTGATGATCGGGAGTATGTCTAGACAGGTCAGTAACTACTCCCGGATAGTGTGCCCATGCACGGGTCAATTACGAGAGAGGAAGAACAAGAGGAGGCGGGAATATCAGGATCATAAAGCTCTGACAACTCACCATCCTTGAATTCCTTGCCGCTGGAGTTTTCGGCAACAACGGACATATTCTCTAGGATGACCATCAATCCCGCCTCTTTCAAGCTATCTCGCTCAGGAGCAGCCGCCTTGATTGCTGGAGGTCCGGAGAGAAACGTCTCCCGCAGCTTAGGGATGACTCTCTCCGTGAAGGCGCGCTTTCCCGTAGGTAATATGCCAATGATCTTAAAAACGTTCTGCAACACCAGAGCCAGTAGTTCACGGTCCTTTGTCTCCTCTAACAACGCAGGAAGCACCTTCTTCTCCAACACAGACTTTGGAAACTGGTTCAGAATCCTTGGAAGCCCACGCATGAACTGGGATTTCTCGTTGGGCGTCTTCGCTGGTAGTGAGTCCAAAAAGCGTATGGTTGAGACCAGAATGTTATCAAAGTATTGTGCTTGCTGGAAGCCCCGGGCATCCAGTCTCTGGGCGGGACGTCGAGTAATCAGCCGGTCTAGGACGCCATTCATCACATCCTTAGGTAGAGCTTGCGAGCACATAAAGTTGTTCGTCTTGTTGGGGACGGAGCTGGATGATGAAAATGCCCGCTTGTAGGCGGATTGGCTGCCGTTGAATTCCAAGGGACTTCTATGCGGAGAATTGTAAAGTGCAAGTATAAGCAGTCCCAGCGAGAACATGTCCGCTGCGGCCGTGATGTTGCCGTCCATGACAAAATCCGGGGATGTGTAATCGAGATTCAGCTGCACATATCGCGGGAGTCGCGCATCGTAGTTCAGCACCTCGGAGAGGGAGATGGGGGCAACTGAGCTGGACTTGTCCGAATTCTCCGGAGGACTTGAGAAACCGAGACCAGATATTTTCCAGTCGGACTATCACGCTGATCAGTAGACGGAATGCAATAACAGATTGATATTGCCTACTTTAGCGTTGACAAAGATAGCATCGGGAGTCAGATTCGCGTGAACAAGGCCAGCACTCTCGTGTAGAAACTCCAATCCCTTTGCAATCTGTAGTAGCCCCTTTTGTATCTCGAGCTCGTCGATCTCAAGCTCTCTCCGCCGTTTCTGGCCGTCCGATTCCTCTATCACATATCGACTTCTTCGACCGCCCACCCCGCCAGCCTTCTCCTGCTCATCCTTCTCCTGCAGCAGGCCAGCTAGAGATGCAGTGACTGGTTCAGTCGCAAACATCAGGCCTCCGCCGCGCGTCTCCTCAACTGGTTCAACCAGCTCCAATATGCTCGGGTGGCGCAGCCGCGCCAGCGAACTGGCCTCCTTCTTCAACCGCTCCACGACCTGTTCATGTGCGCGCTTGAGTGCTGATGCCCCTGAACGACCACCTAGACTACCACCCCCTGGAGGTTCTAGTGACTTCTTGTCAAAGACGAATACTGAAGCCGCCTTTCCCGTCGACTTCTTTTTAGCATCGTATATCTTCCATGGGCCGGAATAGGAGGTGGGCTGAGGGCTAAGTGTATAGTTGGAGTTGATGTTCGAGGTGAATGATTTCAGGGCGTTGGAGAACATGGCGCCCGGCGTGCGGCAGTGCTATCGCCCGGGTTCGCTGTCTTCATGGATAGCAAATGCTATACGTTCGTCCACAAGGGAGACGGGTGTGAAGGAGAGGACACCGAGTCGGGGATGAACATCGAGTTGGGAAGAGTCGCGCGAGGCTTCAAATCATAGCGGAGCCGCACCTAGGTAGTTAGTTTCTCGAATCCGGGGATAATGTGGGACTCCTGGCTGGTACGCGGGGTGCGATTTTGTCCGAATCGGTCAATACGGCTCTGATAACTGCCCAGGTGCAGTGGTGTTGACGAGCCACCCGGACCGCCTTACCAGATGAGGATTGATTACATAAGCCACGTGTTTCAATACACAATCATGTCGTGGCATGGAGTACAGAATGGGAATCGACGTTAATAGCCTGCTGTATCCGTCTGCCACGGTCGTATAAACACACAATGCGCCCTGTCGCAAATAAGATTGTTTTAAAATGACACCTGGTTCGGGGGTGCTATTAATACGTCGCGGCGGGATCGACTGTCCGAACTCCCACCGTCCTCGGCCGCTGGGTAGCTTCGGTTTCCAGAAATAATAATAGTCGGCTCCCTCGATTCCTTCCACTTCCTCTGCCATTGCTGCTTCTCGACTCCCCCAAGGTGGTTTTCAAAATGCTTCAACGGCGGTCTCTTCGATTGCTCTCTTCATTATCGTCCCCCTCTCGTCGCTGCGTAGTTCCACAACTCAGCTCACCATTGCGATGTCGGAGCCCGAGGGCTTACAGCATACACGCAGATGCGGCCGTGGGCACGAAGATACAAGACATTGATCCTACGAAGCTCACAATCGAGCGGACAACCACTCCGAAGAGCCTGCTCCCTCCGGAGCAACTCGTCTTTGGGCGCAACTTCACAGGTACCGGCCGCAATGTGCCATGAGAGTGCACCGTGGCTGACTGGCGCTCCCAGATCATATGCTGTCTCTCGAATGGACGGCTACAGAAGGATGGCTACCAGCACGCATTACACCGTACCAGAACCTGAGCTTAGATCCCGCGACATGCGTTTTCCACTATGCATTCGAGTGCTTCGAGGGCATGAAGGCGTACAAAGACAAGAATGGCAACATTAGATTGTTCAGGCCAGACAAGAACATGGCGCGGTTGAACAAGTCGGCGGCCCGCATTGCTCTACCCACCTTCGATGGGGATTCCCTGATCGACCTCATTGGCAAGCTTGTCAAGCTGGATGAGCGGTTTATTCCCGAGTACGCCCTCGCCCTCCGCTTCAGCCGTCAACTGAACAATCACTTACGATAACACAGGGCTCGCGGCTACTCGCTCTACCTTCGCCCGACTATGATCGGCACCCAGCGCACGCTCGGCGTCGGCCCCCCTGGTTCCGCGCTCCTCTATGTCATCGCATCGCCTGTCGGGCCTTACTACCCTACAGGATTCAAGGCTGTATCATTGGAGGCTACCGACTACGCCGTGCGCGCCTGGCCTGGCGGTGTCGGGGACAAGAAGCTTGGAGCCAACTATGCGCCTTGCATTGTACCGCAGATGCAGGCGGCCAGCCGCGGATTCCACCAGAACCTGTGGTTGTTCGGAGAGGAGGAGTACGTGACTGAGGTCGGCACCATGAACCTCTTCGCCGCTATCAAGAACAAGGAGACTGGCAAGCCTGAGTTGCTGACTGCGCCTCTCGACGGCACCATTCTGGAGGGTGTCACTCGAGACTCAGTGCTCGGACTGGCGAGGGAGAGGCTGGTTCCCAAGGGTTGGGAGGTGTCGGAGCGCAAGTTTACCATGAAGGAGCTTGCCGATGCAGCGGACGAGGGCCGCATGATGGAAGTGTTTGGCGCAGGTACTGCTGCTATTGTCAGCCCTGTGAGAAGGATCAGCTGGAAGGGACGGTTGGTTGAGTGCGGGCTGGCAGACAACGTCGAGGCTGGACCTGTTGCGCAGCAGATGAAGGACTGGATGGAGGCTATCCAGTATGGTGACGAGGAGCATCCCTGGAGGTCAGTTTTCTCTCATACAACTACAGCGAAGCCGCAGCTAACCCGCCATCTAGTCACAAGGTGCTGTAGATACCTATCCGAAGTCTACTTATATCTCGGTTTGCGGGTTGGGTCTCTTGCGGCTTGTACATACCACATAGAGCGATGGATTTCAGCGGGCGTTTCTCACGCAACTACACCATACGCAGCTTCAGCGTCATGGAGCGTTGCCCTCTCCGATTATCCATCCGCATCCGCATCCGTGAGAAGCTCGTGCTGTGTTGTGGTAAATAAAATCCGCCGCTCACGGCTTCTGCCCGGATTATTGTTATTGGTCCTTCGTATTGAACAGGCGTGCTTCCATTGGGAATTGGGAACCCCTGCCCTGCCAAGCCGCACCCGAAACCAATGCAGGAGCTCCAACAAGCTCAGCTGCAGCTTGCTCCTGCTCGCCCAGCCTCCTCGCTCTGACGTCTCCTCCCCATCCTATCTCACCACCACACGACCACCTACTCCGTACTCTGCCCATCCCCCCAATTCATTGTTCCCAATCTCCCGCCGCCTCTCACACGCCCGTCGCCAGCTCGCAATTGCGCGTCCGCCATGCTCGCGCGCGGCCTTCTGTGCCGCTTAGCGGCCGAAGCACCCAAAACATCAACAACCGACGTCGCCCAGCTGGCCCGCCTGCTCCAACGCAGCGCCATTTCCAGAAATGCACGGTCCCTACCACCTGCGTACGCTCTGCCTCGCGCCGTCAATACCGTCTTTGCTGAAATGCGCCGTCCGTATGCCACGGCTACTGCTACCGGCAGCGCGACCGAGCCTACCGCAACGGTGAAGAAGGCCGTCAAGAAGGCGACGGCGAAGAAAGCCGCACCCAAGAAGACCGCCACCAGGAAGAAGGCAGCGAAGAAAGCTGCTCCCAAAAAGAAGAAGACGAAGGCTGCTGCGGCTAAGAAGACCCAGAAACCCAAGAAGGTGCTGACGGATGAGGAGAAGCGCAAGAAGCTCATCAAGGAACTCAAGGAGAGGGCCCTGCGCCAGCCCGTGTCAAAGAGATCCGTTGCTGCGAGCGATATGTTCATCAGGGACGCACTGGGGGGTTCGGAGGGGAGGACTACTACGCGTATAGGGGAAGTTTGGGCCAAGTTCCGAGCTTTGACGCCTGCGGAGCGTGAGGTATGTTTTCCTTCCTTATATTTACCCCTGCAATACGACTGCGAGAGGTGGTCACTAATGCACAATGGTCATCAGCACTACAACCATCTCGCCACAGAGGAGAACGCTGCACGCGCCAAGCAGTACAAGGATTGGGTCCACAGCCACACGGCTGAGGAGATCCGCGTTGCCAACGTCGCGCGCGCTCGCCTGCGACGCCTGTTCAAGGCCGAACAGAAGAAACCGCCCAAGAACACGGCAAAGATCGAGGACGACCGGCGTGTGAAGAAGAGGACTCCGTTCAACAATTTCTATACCGAGCGTCTGGCATCGGGCGATTTCAAGGGCATCGAAGCCAAGGAATGGCTCAAGCTGGCGTGGAAGGAGTGGAAGGCGTTGACCGAGGCGGAGCAGCAGGTATGCTCATATTCGAACTCGTGCTTTGTTGTTCGGTCCACCGGCTGACATGATGGCAGAAATACGAGACCCAGGCATGAGCGACCAATTCTGCTGCTCAAGCCTGGCGTGACGGCGGATATGCGCATGTTAAGGTCGCCTCGGTTTGATGTTGTGTATCCAAGTGCTTCCTGTGTCATGTTACTCGCTGCGAGTTCAAGCAGTGGTAGTCGAGGCGTTTGCCCTGGTGCACCGCTTTTCGACCTCTGATTTTGACGTTGACGCTGTCTACCTACCATGTCAGTTTTCCTTGTGATTCTTCCGGAGGTATCGTGCACTCGGCCTCGCTGCGCGTTGGTCGAAAGCCAGGAGGAGTATCATTGGTGGACGATGGCTGGGAATGGTTGGATCGGGTTGTATTCCACCCCCTCGGATTGATCTGGTCTCTGGTCTGTGGGCCCCGTTTTTTCTTTCCTCGGTTCGGTTTAGAAGCGCCATGTAGGAGTCCCATGCACTCCGTCTGGAATTGCTTTGTATTCCCCTGTTTGATTCCGTTTCTGTAGTGTTTGTTCCGATGGTATAGTGTATGGGGTAGGCGAATCATGACTATGGTTTTGTCGTGTATTTCATTTGTTTGTCGCCGTTGATTATGCGAACTTGACTTGCTGGTTTTAGCTTGAGAAGGGCTTCACTGATTGCTATCGTTGGCGATCCTGGATTGAATACTGATATTGCCTTCACCTGTCTCGTGTACTTGTATGACTACGCGTGGGATATCGGGGATCATGTGTTTGCTGCTTGAAACCTCCGCCTAGTCGATTTAGTTGAGGTGGCTCTCGTAGATGTTGAGCTGTTTGTTGTGAGGTTTCTGAGGGCTCTCACTGCTGTCCACTCAGCCCAATTTGTAGTATGAAACCTGCATGGACCCTTGTAACCGTAAAAAGTAGTGGTTTTAATTAATCTAACAGATCAATCCAGCCGCCTTAAACATAGAGCTTGCACACCTCGATTCTAGATTGGTTTATATGTCTTCTACTACGTCTACATCGGCGATGTGCGCTACTATCTTACTACCCCCGTTTTAGAGGTATCTTTATAATTAAAGCAATGTAGTATTATTGTTGTATACGCAAAAGGAAACTAAATAGACGCTAAAGCTATAATTAAAAACATTTCTTTAAGGCAAGGATACTTTTACTAGAAGCAAGAGTCTATAATAGTTTCTAGGTATTAAGATTATTTATAACTACTCTAATAAGAAGCTCTAGATATCCTATGCCTCTCCTTTGTGTATTATGTAAGCCTACGGTCATCCATTGGTTGGATTATCTTATTTACTCCGCTAACCTTCACTAAGCCCGGGGTAAGGTAAAGGTCCAGATCTGAGATAAGAACGATCTCTAGAGAGGTGGTGAAAAGGAAAAGCGAGAGACTGTTGTTAAAATAGAAAGCGCCGTGATGAATATGTACAGTAATGCAAAGCCATTTCTCGTTATGGTATCTTGAAACAACTCAGTAATAATAATACACTCATTCAATGTTACCCAGGTCCTTGAAGTACTCCTTCCAAATGCCCACAAAGTCCTTCCTATCCTGCTTGTTTTGAAACTTGATCTCCAGATGCGAGTACCCAAATCGGTTCAGATTGCCGATCTTATTCGGCCCGCCAAAAACGCACGACTTCCCGCTTTTTACCGACATGGACGATTTCACCGTCCCTGCTGTACTATTTCTCCGAATCGAAGTGAGTACCGACGAAGTCTCGGGGTCAACCGTCTGTTTGGAGGGTTTCCGGCGCTTGAAGACCTTGTCCTTTGTCCATTTACCGGGCTCTTTCGAGAAGATGAGCTCGAGCTTATCCGACGACTTCTTGTAGACCGACTCATCCAGCCATTGGAAGACGTAATGCGGTTCCTCGACCCAATGTGCACGCTCCTCGGCCAGCGCACTGGCGTAGAAGAGGAGAACCAGCACATCGACGGCGGCCATGCCGTTCGGTCCTTCGTGCAGCTCGCTACGCCTCCATAACCGCACGTTTTTATTCCGGCATTCCGGTTTGTTCTTGTCCGAGGAGATGCTGAGGACCTGCCGGTCAAAGAGAAGCTCCGCTTCATCCATGCCGTTGTTGCTGTAGAGGAGGGTTTGGAATTTGGTCGACGAATCTGTATCAGCGAATGTATACTTGATGTCTGTGTATCGCTTCTCCAGACGACCAAACGACTTGCGCGGGAAGTCGATGGATATGCCGCCATCCGGATAGCTGGTTGTCAGAGGTATGGACGGCCCCGTTGCAGGAAAATGCTGGACGATCCAGACCTGCACCTTTTTCCTCTCATCCCGGTAGACGGACCGGAGACTCAGGCCGTGGTCTTCTCGATACCGCCAGTGGATGTCACATGTCCTGTTTTCGACGCCTTTGGTCGATGTGCGTTCGACGTCGACTTTTCGGCACAGCTGGTGCCAATCCAGAGCGCCTTCTCCGAGGGCTATGGTTGCAAGGCTGGTGACGGAGACCGTGGGTCGGAGGGGGTGGTCTTCCGGAGTGGTGCCAACGGTGCTATTGCCCGACACGCTTAGACGCGACTCGCCGCTTGTGGAGAAGCTGCTGCGGCTAGTAGAGACAGATGGCGTGCGTCGTGGGGCTGGCGAGAGATTTCCCCAATCCGCACCGCCAAAGTAGCTCTGCTGGATCTGCGGACTGCCTGTTGGTGACGATGTCATCGGGCTGGCGGTAGGGCTCGGCCGTATCGTTGCTGTCGAATCGGTCATAATGGATTCTGCTGTAGGGGGGTTGCTGAAGCCAGAAAAGTCGGTATCTAGTGTATACGTTCGGTGGGGGATGGATGGCATATCTCTAATTTCCTGTCGAATGGCGTCGCTAGGCGAAAGGTTGTTCTTCTTCTCCACTGCTGTCCTCTTGGCTCTGTTTTCTTCGATCATGATAGCATCCTCCAGCTCTCTTCGGAGGTGGTATAGGACCGCCGCCGTCTCGACATCTCCGCTGGGCGCCGCAGGCGGGGCGCTGCCGAGCGATAACGGTCGCGTGAGTGATCCGGCTTCCTGTGCAATCCTCTCATCCTCGTTCTTTAGCCAGCGGTTGAAGATGAGCCAATCCTTGTAGAGCTGGTCGGCTTCGGATGGAGGAGGTAGGGCATTGGGCGTGGCTCGGGAACTACTTGCAAGAGCGTTGCTGGAGTACATGAAGCCGCCAACGCTCATGGAGCGAAAGGGTGCAGAGTCGAGCAGACGCTGTGTTTGTTTTGTGGCTTCTAGGTGGAGTCGGCTGTGGCATGTTAACAAATGGAGCAATGCGGTGAGGTGACGCCAGCACTTACAGTTGAAGAAAGCTTATGCACATCTGCAGAGCCTGATAGTGGCCTGTGATCTGCTTTCGGAGTCCATCGATCTCTTTCTCTTTTCCAATGTACTTGATGATATATATGAATTTCTTATATGTCATTTTCTTGTTGTCCACCAAGTGGTTCGCGTAAGGTTCCAGCGTTTTGCTGCATTTCTCCAGAGTATCCTGGAAGTCGACGTAGGGGAATGGCAACGGCTTGCCATATTCCTTCATCAAGTCTTTGAGCTGTACGAGGCAGTGATGGAAATTGGCGAACTCTCGGACGAGGCCCTCGACTTGCTCCTCCGAGTTCTCGTTCGCATCTATCTTGTCATCAGCAAGGCCGCACTTGATCTGGGTGGGGCAAGAAGCTAACAGTACCTTTGAATGCGACATAGACGCGGGTGGAGAACTCGACGAGCTTGATAACATCGGAAGGGCTCACTCCGAACGACATATCTCTGGCACTCACAGGCCGCGCTTGAGCGCAGCAAAGAGAGAAGATGACTTAGACCATGCACTGGAGGTTGTAGAGGGGTGAACGAAGCCGTCGAACTGTCGCATGCGCAGGCACGCACCAGGCGGGTGGGTGGTTAATCATTCAGGGCCACGCCTCGCCAGGCCTCCAGGTAGCAGGAGGGCACCAGTACTCGAGTGGCTGAGCATCATCACGGGCATCGCTTTCAGTAGAGCGTCGTGTGGGGGAGGGGATGGGAGGGGGTGCAGGGAGTGTCTATACCGGTACAGTAGGGAAGCACGTGGCTTGACCTAAGTCTAAGGTGGTTTCGCGATGCATTGATCAATCACATCGCGAGAATTTCCACGTGCGTCAACCACACTCCCTCCAACCACCTTGACTTCTTTGAGTTCATATCTCGCTTGAGTCCAGCAGCAAATTCGACTAAATTTATCCAAAAATGGCGTCGTCGTCTGCTTGGGAACAGCCCCATTATTGGCAGGGCCTGCCAACCCTAGGAACCTCAGGCCCTTCGAAGAACATGTCGCAGTTCGCATCCACACTGCGCCTCTGCTCAAAGCAGTTCAGTCTGCCAATGGATTCCAGTCACCGGCATGATTCCTCTTGAATGAGGCTTGGTAGCCGCCTTTCCGCTGCCTCCCTTAGCCTCCAGGCTTCTCCTCTGCATCCGATACGAGACACCATGCCAGATATTATCCTTCACCGGTCTAGCTCTCGTATTTGCAGTCTGCCTACCTGCAATAGATTGTGGCGCGGCACTCCCTCCTCCTGCGTCGTCGCCGTCGTCGTGGTGGCTGAGAATCCGTCCGGAAACTGCATCATATGAACGACTTCGCTCGGTGACGGAGCACAACAAGACTCTTCATCTTCAGCTTGTCGAAACTGAGAGTTTATTATTCTCTCCATTGACCCTGTGCGTTTTGCGAGCCGTTTTACAAGTCGTTTTACACGTCGTTTTACCCGGGCGTCGCGTCCGTTGTCAGTCTCAATCATGGGCCTGCGAAAATGGCTCAATCGTCCAATGAGGGGTCACCATCTTGGTGTCCAGGACCTAACAAGAGGTGATGAAGGTATTCCGGTACGCCGCAACTCTCATGGATCCATGATCCTCTCAAAATCATTTTCTATCGCTTCCCGTTGCTAAGCTGCTGCAGTTGAACCGACGGCGGAAATGGGCGCTTCAAACCATCGATCAGGCTCCTTTCCAGATTTGGGTCGTCGTGGTTGCGGGCATAGGCTTCTTGACAGACTCCTTTGGACTCTTTGCTCTTAATGTCGTCACCCCTATGCTGGGTTATGTGTATTGGCCTGAGAACAAGGACTACGACGGCGTCCCGACAGTCCCCCAAGGCATCAAGACCGGCATGATGTGTGCAACCCTTGCCGGTACTATGTTGGGACAGATCGCTTTCGGATTTGCCGCCGACATCCTCGGAAGGCGAAAGATGTATGGCTTGGAGCTTGTTATTGTCATTGTTGGAACGATGCTCATGATTATGAGCTCCAACGGTGAGAAGAACAGCATGGCCGTTGGAGGATGGCTCGTTGCATGGAGAGCAATCATGGGTATTGGCATTGGAGCGGACTGTAAGTACCCTATTCATGCAAGAATGTTTCGCTGTTGAAAAGCATTGGAGGTGTACAACTTTGGTCACACCCCTTCAACTAACCAATCGTTCAGACCCTCTGTCAGCAGTCATCACCGCCGAGTTTGCACCTCGGAGATTCAGGGCTAGAATGATGTCTTGGGTCTTTTTCGCACAGCCTATTGGCCAACTCCTCGCCAATGTCCTATCTCTCGCAGCTGTCGAGGGCTTCAAATCCCGAATCACCAACACAGCAATATCATGCCCTCTAGAAGACCCGGAGTGTTTCCGGGCAATCGACCGATTATGGAGGCTAGTCATAGGCCTCGGGATGATTCCCGCTGTTTTTGCTCTTGCGTTCCGGTTCACCATTCCGGAAAGTCCCCGCTACAAGCTGGATGTCCTTCGTAACGTCCAGGACACGTTCCAAGATACCAAAGACTATTTTGATGCTCCAGAGCTCGACGCCGAAGGTGGGGAGGTTATCATGCTGTATACTGAGCCCAAGTCGCCTGGCGTTCCCGAACCCCAACACGGGGTTTCCCGTCAGTCAACCAGTTCCTCGGAGATCGCTCCAGACGAGGTCGTTGAAAGCGATGGCGAAAGCGACCATCGGCGGAGCGATGGTCATGGTCTCGCTGCCCCGCAGGTCCAATATCCTCCCGGGGATCCTAACTTTGTCCCTCCACTCGCCTCGTGGGAAGACGCCAAACTATTCTTCATCAAGGAGAAGAACTGGATCTACCTCCTCGGCACATCCCTATCATGGCTATTCCTCGACTTCGCTTTTTATGGACTGGGTTTGTCGTCTCCAGAGATTGTCCGTCATATCTGGCACGACCCGGATGACCCGAGAGAAAATGTCTTCTCGTCGCTAAAAGAGAACAGTCTGAATACGTTGATCATGGTCTCCGTTGGCGCAGTCCTCGGAGGGGCTGTCATGATCAAGGTCATCAGGTACGCTTCCCCGAAGGTCATCCAGTTTTGGGGTTTCCTTGTGCTCTTTGTCTTGTTCATTGTAACGGGGAGCGCCTGGACCAAACTTCTGGATAACAGCCGTTCGGGCCTCATTGTCCTCTATGTTCTCTGCCACATTGCCTTCAATCTGGGACCAAACGTCACGACCTTCATTGTAAGTCCTCTGCCTTGTCCCCGTTGAGAATGCGGCTAACACATCCAGATACCCGCGGAAATCTTCCCAACCCGGTACCGCTGCACATGTCATGGTATCGCCGCTGCTGCCGGAAAGCTCGGTTCGTGGCTTGTACAGATCTTCCTCGCCTTCGCTTTCAAGGGGCAAGGAGAGGAGAAGAAATCGGACTGGGAGCGGAAAAACTTTGGCCACATCCTTCAGGTCATGAGTGCTTTCATGATCGCTGGAGCGGCCACGACCTATTTCCTTGTGCCCGAAACACGAGATCGCGATAATAAGAGCAGGACGTTGGAGGTATTAGCGGGCGGCAGAGTGGTATTGGAAGAGCTGAATACGCAACGGAGGAGAGAGGATGAAGAGGAGTTGTAATAAGCTTGGGGAGTAGTATTCCATGTTGTATTTGTATATTGTGCGGTACCTGTTTATTAAGCGAAGTATAAAGCGTAACTTGTTGTTAGAATATAATAATAATCAAGCAATTGCAACGCAAGTTTATAACAATACTCTAACGACTAGCCTAAAAGGGTTTAGGTCGAATGCTGTCCACCAGTCCGTCATGGACCCTGCATTCATCTTCAACCTTATATCTACATCGACCCAAGCTTCAAACGACGTTGTTGTACGTAGGTCCATGGGGATGTTCAGAATGCCTGTCGCAGTAAGACATACTTTCTCTCAATGCGTCCTTGCGGCCCGCCCTTACACATGGCATGGTTCTTCTTACACATGTCACAACTATCACTCTTCAGCCGTCCTTCTCATAATCGAAATGCTCCTCTAATTGTCTATGATGCGCTATGCTAAACTTCAACCTCCAACTAGCATTAGCAATTCAAATAGCCTGTATATCTATATCCCTTCCAATTCCATCTCTCCTTCTCATCTTCATGGATTTCAAAACCTTATTCACACTTCAGAAATCCTCTCCGTACTTCCAATACCAGTTCCAAACCAACATGATCCTTACTCTTCCTTCAAAAATATACTAATCTCCCTCTCTCCTTCTTTTCGATTCTCTGTCCTAACGAGCCCTTCTCCCCACAACAGGCAGTAGCCCAACTCCGCTCCACGCCCTCGCCCTCCCGCAACCTCACCACCTGCCTCTCCTTCGTCCGCCGAGCCGCCGCCCAAAAGGCCGCCGCGCTCTTCCTCCCAGAAGCATCCGACTTCATCGCCCCAGACGCCCAAACCAGCCTATCCCTCGCCCAACCCCTCTCCACCTCCCCGTTCGTCCAGGGCCTATGCGCCGCAGCCCGCGAGCACCAACTCCCCATCTGCGTCGGCGTGCACGAGAAATGCCCCGACGCCGACGCCAACGACGCCAATGCCAACGCCGACGAGGACGAGGAGCACCCGCCCAACGCAGCAGCGGGGAAAATGTACAACACGCTCCTCTGGATCTCGGCGGGGGGCCACATCACGCACACGTACCGCAAACTACACCTCTTCGACGTGTCGCTGTCCGCCTCAAACACACAGCTCCGCGAATCCGCGTCCGTCGCGCGGGGCCCCCGCATCGAGGACCCCGTCGACACGGCGCTGGGGAAACTGGGCATGCTGATCTGCTTCGATGTACGGTTCCCGGAGCCGAGCCTGGTGTTGCGGCACCGCGGGGCGCAGGTCCTTGTGTACCCGAGTGCGTTTACGGTGCCGACGGGTAGGGCGCATTGGGAGGTGCTGCTGAGGGCGAGGGCCATCGAGACGCAGAGTTATGTCGTTGCGGCGGCGCAGGTCGGGGTGCATGATTCGGTTGAGGAGGGCGGGGAGGGGAAGAGGAGGAGTTATGGGCACAGTATGGTTGTTGATCCGTGGGGGGAGGTGGTTGCGAGGTTGGGAGGGGAGGGGGAGGAGGAGGAGGAGGAGGGCAAGGGTAGGGGGAATGATGAGGGGGGGATGCTGTTTGTGGAGGTGGATTTGGGGTTGGTGGAGAGGGTTAGGAGGGAAGTTCGGCTGGTGAGGCGGATAGATGTGTATCCTGAATTGACGTGAGGGTGGGACTCTGCATAGCAACGGAATGAAGATGGTATGGTACCGACCGTATACAGGAACGGGACAGGTGGAAATTCTATAACATTCTTCATGTGAAGCAATTCAAAGGTTATTCGTGCTGGTGGCCGGAGCTCGATGGTGTCGTGTTCGCGCACGCGGAATGGAGAGTGTACTCTCTGAAAGAACAGGTCGACGGCATGGCACAGACGGGGTTGGAGTGGATTGATGACTGGAAAATGCAGCCTAGATGACACACTAATCGGGCGCCATCAAATGCCCGTTGAATTATCATAACAGAGACAAAATTCGAGGGCAGGATGACCCTACTGACGACGCAGTGAGAGTACGATGGGCATACTGTGTTGCGAACTTCTCAATAGCGGCAGACTCTCGGTATCGTCTCACCGATTCGGGAAATCTGGACTCAACTTGACTTCAGATCATCTTACACTGTACGGCATTCTCGTTATAAGGGGTCAGCGGTCGTAACGGTAAGCAGGACATAGATCCCAGCTGAAGTTGCCACCATGCTCTCAGCTCCTGAAAATCTGGAAATGTTAGACTTGCCAACGTCGACGGTAGCGCTGTGTGCATTGTTCGAGGTAACCCAAGATGCGTGCATAGTCATTTCCGGACCATCAGCATGCCGTGATCTCACGGAAGGGCTCTCGGCGCGGGAAGATGATGAACAGTGACGCTCGCTCTCATGTATAGCATGTTCCTTTTTTCATGCCGTGCGACGCTTTCAAGATGACTACCTATCCACAGGATCAAAGCCTTAATAAAATTGGTGTTTTCATTGCGGCTCTTCATGGGACCTGGACCTCGGCCTCGCACCGAGTTTGACGAAGGAGCTGATGCGCGTTGAAGGCCGATCCGAAGGATTCACAGCCAACAGCCACGGGTACTGGAGGCCACCTTCCGTAGCGGACTCGGAAAGCAGCCGCGATGCCGATAACGTCATTGTACGGATTCCGAAGGACTCTTGGTCGCGACAGCTAGATCCGTAGTGGTGAGCGGAAGGGTGTTGGTTTAGTCAGCCACGTTATCGATGATTCTCCGATGTGTAACCTTTCGGTGCTTATGCTCATTTCTGGCTTCCGGGTAGTCTTGTAGAGAGCTCTCGGCCGAAAATAGCAGTAAAAGAGATTCCTTTCAACATCAGTAATGAGTCGTGGGACTTCTTCCGTCTTGCGTCTGCAATGCCCTCTGTTTCAGGGGCCGACACATTGATGAATCATTGGAAGTGCTCAAGCGCATAACCAACCGGCAATGAAACAATTCTAGGATACCGTAGGTGGCGCCATAACTGAAGGCATAATCGTGAAACGTGAGAGGAGCGGAACATCTTAACGCTGGTTCATGTTGTTTTGCATGACAAACGTGGCCGCTGGGCGGGTCCGCTCGTGCATGCGGCGAGGGTCTGTGTGTAATAATGGTTCTGTGGTAAGAAGCTTACCAGGAGCTACTCCGCATACTGTACACAGTAGTCACACCACCGCAAGTATAGCTACCGGGCGAGGCAAATTGCCAGATGGGGCTCCGCGGTTGACAGAAGTGGGCTGGCATTCCGGAAAACCTCTCTTCGAATCTAGGTAGCCGGCTTTGCGCTTTCCATGGCGAACCGAGCTGCTGGAAAACAGCTGCCGACAGCAAGGCTGGAATCAGATTGATGGGATGCAATATCGGGCATGCACATGGTGGTGTGGGTGAGAGTGTTGTCGTCAACTTGTCAGAATCCGGGGTTATTGGGCGTCTAAATTAGGGCTGTGACGGAGAAGCGGACAGCTGACTCGATTGTCTCTACTGGAGGGAGGAGGAGTGAATGAAGTGCATCGAATTGCACTGACGATGATGTCCGTAGATGGACCGACGTGCAAGTCCACACAAAACAACTGGGCTGAGGTTCAACAAGGCAATGGCACCAATGGAGGCGCAAATGGGCAGTAATGGCATGATGGAGTGAGGTCGGGCCAAGGTCGTTAGAGTACAGAGGTGAAGTGGAGCTTAGTCAGCCGCGCTAGGAAACCGGCAGTGTCCGCTAGTGACCTCTACTCGAAAGATGATGAAACGCTGGACTGATGAGTGACGAAGAATGCTCCCCAGCGTGAAGCGAACCCGACGCGACTCGGCGGGACGGCGACGAGAACAGCGAGCGCGCGGCTGGAGGGTGACGACTGTGACCATCAAAAGTCGCCATGCTCTACTGCTGCGAATCGAATCTGCGTCCTCGGGATACTGGTGTGATGGGGAGACGACGAAGCCTCTCGAGGCGCCGCGGCCGCCATCAAAGTGCGATCATGTATTGTTGCGGACAAGGCACACCAAAGGCGGGATGTGAACAGACACTCGTCCAGTCAACCGCCTCCGTCTGGGCGCCCGCTGCGAGTAGGGGATAGGAAACGAACATGGCACACATGGCGGGGGTTTGCTCGACCAAATCATGCAGCGGACACTGCCGAGGCCCTGCGTTCCCCGTACTGTGGACAACATGAAGAGCGCACGATACCATCCTCCTCAGCATCGATTATTCACATGATCGTCCAACCCGTCTGTGTTGTACGGAGTACTCCGTACGGAGGAGGCATCACATCACAGGATTGATGGCGACAGGCGGAGGAGGAAGCCAACCCTGGTCCTCTCATCAGTCCCGTCCAAGTTTCATCACACAACAGCAGCAGCACAGTCCGCCACACGAGATTCCGATCAGCGAGTGGACGCGTCTTCCGATTCCTCCCAGCACCGTATCTATCAGGGTTACGGAGTAGTCGCAGTGCTTCGACAGTGTTGTTGCTCTGTTCTCCTGGCCGTCGGCGATGCCCCAGAGCGAGCACCCAGCGTCCAGACTTCTGCCGGCGAGGTGGTACAAAACGTCTGGCGATGATTTATTTCCAAACGCTTCCTTTTCCTTTTCCATGAGGGTCCAACGAGGCCACGCCTGCCCCTGCAGCGGAGCGAGGTTAGGGCCAGGGGTTGTGCTGGACCCGACGAATCAGACGTCAGGAGTGAAATGCCCAAGTGAATGCTACCCCTGGGCGCCCTTAGCATATCCGTCTTTTGCTTAGCCCCTTTGGTGTGCCGTCCACCGTCCACCGTCGAACGGCCAGGGCCATCTCCAACCCTTGCACCCCAGACTCAGGGCACGCCGCTGCTGCTCCCTCTCGCTGCCCACGCTCCCAGACGGGTGCCACTCCAGCTCCTTTCACCAGCCTGCTGCAAGTGTTGCAACCTTTGCATCGTCCGCTCCCTTACCGGTCCCTCTCCCCTCGGCCACCCACGAGACGCTTGCCGCCGCCTGTTGAATTGTATGCACCGCTGTGCTGCGCTGCTCGACATCTCTTCACGACCCTTCCCCCCTCGGACCTCTTCGATAGAGCCCTTCCACCGCTCCCCCTGTGTAATATTGTCGGTGCGGGATTGCTGTCTCAACCTGCGGCGACTTCCAGAGTCAGTGTTGCAGAACATCTGTTTTTGCTTCGAGTAGGTCCTCACGCCTTTTGGACCATCAGAGACCTACTCACCGCTGCTTTGCTCAAGCCCCCTTGGCTCGACGCCCTTCGACGCGCCACGACATCTCCTTTCGTTTGCGCGTCTTCTCCCCTCGGTGCTTCCATTGACTTGGCTCGTCGTTTCGCTCTCTTGCCTATCCTTCTCAGCGCCGGCGTAAAACCATAACAGGTGTACCCACCTTTCTCGACTCTCGCAATTGACGTCTTTCTCGCTTGGACGGCTTGCTGGCGATAAGGGACCCTCCAGTTTCGTCATGAGGACACATTTGGAACGCTAGCCGGATACACAGGACCTCCCCTTCCACTTCCACCAACTCCCTCGAGAACCCACGACTTCTTTATTCGTAGCGCAGGTAATTCGCTCCTGTCCATTTTGTCTAGAATGGGCGTCCCGGAACCCAAATATGCCTTGAGCGGCCATTGCTCCGTCATACACAATAACACGCTTTATGTTTATTCGCCTGCCGGATTCCAGTCATTGGCCTTGGAAGAAGGGGCGGAATGGGAGCAACTCCCCATGGACATTTCCCTAACCGGGGCACTGTGTGTCAAGGCGGTGCCAGGTGGGAACAAAGAGGCGGCGAGGCTCTACATTGTAGGAGGATCCGTGAACGCGACTGCTGCATCGTGGGACTACCCGGGCTTGATGCACTACACGTTCGCTGAGAAGAAATGGGACTGGGTTCGCCCCGAGACATTTGTTACGCAAAACCGACAGAATCATGCTGCCGCGTACATTGATGATATTCGGTCTATCCTAGTGTATTCGGGATCCCAGATCACCGGCGACAATGGCCCTTCGTCGCAAACCTTCCTCATTTCAACAGAGCCGCCTTTCAAAATAAAGAGCTCGCCTTCAAATGATGCACCACCGGCTGTCCGCCCACTTCTTCTCCCATGGGACGAGAAGAGCGCCGTCATGCTCGGCGGAGGACCCCAAAACACCGCAGTCTTCCTATTCAGCTCTCAAGGAGGCTGGCGGAATCTCGGTGTTACCCTCACGGAGCCCTTCACAAATCAAGATACCGAACAATGCACTTTGGTATCCGGAGATGACGGGAGCAAGGTCTTGGAGAGGTTCGATATGGGGGCGACACCCAACAGAGTCTCACGCATTGCCCTCCTCAATCAAGGCGGAACCATTGCTGCCCCCGGAACGACCGTTGGGGATAAGGCCAAGCGACTTACCATCAGTGACTGGCCAGCGTACAATGGTACACTTGCTCCAACCGTGACGCGCGCAGGATTCTCTATTGCGCAGGATGATGACGGTGTCGCAGTTATTACTGGAGGAAACCCGGTGGATCCGTTGTGCATATTCGATCAACGCGCGAACGAGTGGGTGAACGCAACGCAACTCTTTGCAGGAGATCAACTGGTAATCCAATCGAGTCCCTCGTCCACAGTATCGACAGGAACCCCAACCGCGACGGAACCCCCCGCGGCCTCATCTTCTGGCGTCGGGGCAGCAGCAGCAGCGGTACCTGACAGGAAGGCGAGAATGCTCACTGTACTCGGCGCTACGTTGGGAGCAATATGTGGCCTTGCGGCACTTCTGATACTGTTTCTCCTGTGTCTTAAACGCAGCAAAGCAAAGAAGAGGAGGGAGATCCAGTCCGCCTATATTGAGAAAGATCGCCTCAGCTTTGCCGACCGTGGTGCGCATTTCATGAGTGAGGCCGGAGGGTCCGTAGGCCGCCAATTCTCCGCCTCTCAAACTTCGCTGGCCATCATATCTGGACATCCCGCAACAAATCACAAGAGAGGGTTGGGACCATTGGGTAGTGACGCGAGTACGGCGGGGTTGATCTCAAAGAAGAGTCCACTAGCCTACTCTGAGCCTGTTGAGCTGTCCAAGTTTGACCTCAAACCGGAGCCTATCGGAGAGGAGAAGATTGTTCGACAGAACTCTGGCCGTAACCCGCCGCGAGGGGGAGCGCATACGGGGCGGAGTCGAAGTTCTGGTTGGAGCAAATACTTTACCAATAATGAGGCCACCAACCTTGCGCAGCCTTCGAATCGGTCGACTTTCGCATCCGAGCGAACAAGTACAGGGAGTCAATCCAACTACACCGATTCCCGGATGCTGTCGCACATGGTACCTCCTCTCGAGATACCGAAATTCGAGAATCAGCGCGTCAGCAGAGTCCCGACCGGAAGCCCAACCCTGGGTCACTCGCAAGAAAACCTGCCGGCAGAGCCCATGCAAGCGGAACTGGGACGAGCAAACTCAAATTCGAGCACGGGATCGCGACGTAGCCAGGGTGACTATTACCATCGCGCCCCTGTTGAGTCGTGGACCCCTGTGGGTGCGCAGGAAAGGCCGCCCAGCAGTACCTATACGGATAGCATGGTCGGCGACATCCACCTTCGAGACGGCACAAGCTCCTACTACCCCGACGGAGCCAGCTCCTTCTATCCAAAGAGTAACTACAGTTCCTTCTATCCAGGCCAAACGCCGTTACACCCACCCGAAGGGCGTGAGAGCACCGTCACCGTCTTCCCCGGTGGACAACCAGGGGGCAACGGCTTCGCGTCCTATCCCGCGAATAGCCACGGTTCGGGTTTCAACTTGCCACCCAGGATCGGCAACCCGGAGGATCGCGAGAGCACTGTCACTGTTTTCCCTCGCGGGGTGCCAGAGCGGCCATCCAACAACGCGCAGCAAGACATGTCTTGGTTGAACCTGGGCGCTGGGAAGTAAGGGACCCGGTTGCAATGAGCCTGCGTTTCTCTGTGCGGCCCGCGAGGCATGTCTGGCGCTCTGGACCATGCAACCCTTTCTCACTGCATCCTCTTGTCCCCCTTATCACCTCATCGGGAACTCGTCAAATTCAGGCTTTCCCATCCTTCCCTACATGTATGCCGGACGGTCATGATCACAAAAGCGCTTTCCTTGTCGTATTCTATGCATGCATAGCTGTACTCAGCGCCGGGCGTTTTATCAACTCTGCTTCCTCAAGTTCAGTTCTGGCCAAGGCGCCTCACCTCTATCGATCCTCTTTGTACACTCATCCACAAGCACATGTGCTTTGTACCTTTCTCTCTCGCACACACACGCATACACTCTCTCCCTCTCTCACACACACTTCTAGCCAGTCTCTACAGATACCCGACACTTCTCCCGGAGGTGTCAACTTCCCTACCCTCTCTATCCGACACCGATGTGTAGATACTACTCCCAGTGTCCTTTTCTCCTTCCTATTTCCCTTCCTTTTCCAACTGGCTTGCTTGCTTGCCCTTGTGAATAGCGGGTTGCTTTACTTCTGTGTATCTTGTTCTCTTTCTTTCACCCTTCCTTTCCCTTTAGCCATCTTCTTCTTCTTCTTCTTCCTGTGCGTCTTTACGTCTTTGCCTCCTTGTTTTGCTTCCCTTCCCTTGCCCTTGTTTACTTTCCATTTCCTTGGTGCTTATGGGTCCTTGCTTGCTGGCGTCACATGGCATACGGGAAGAACGGAGGACGGAAGATGGTGGAAGGATGGAAGCGGGGGAATTGGTAATTCTAGTGGGTTTTTACTTGCTCGCCTTACGACGTCGTCGATGGCGGCTGGCGGCTGGCGGGCGGTTTCGACGAGCAGCGTGGGATGATGGAGCTTACTGTAGAGTAGGCACGCAGGGTTCAGGGGCTTAGTCGATTGAGGCTGAGGTTGAGGGTGAGGATGAAGGTTGGGGAAGGAAGGTGGATGTGCGGCCTGTCTCGGACTCGGACTCGGTCGGGGTTCTTCTGGGGTCTGCGAGTATGCCAGTGGTATCGTGGTGCCTCGGGCGATGGATGGATGGATATCGGTGATGATTTGGTGGGTGGGCCGGTGTAAATCCTAATACTCTTGGAATGAAATGGAGAGCTGGCGAGTTCGTGTGGATGTCTTCAAGGTTCCGTGTTCTTTCTTCTGCGCGTGTGAAGGGCGGTGATTTTCCCGTGTCTGTTATGGCTGTTCCCTGGTGGTTTGATGTGAAGTAAGTGATTATATGTAGAGTACTGCCGTTCGTTGGGCACGACGCAGACTGCATGCATGTTTGTGAGAGGACGCGTCTATTTTATCATAGAAGCTCTTGTTCAAGCAGGGAACGCAGCAGACGATCCAGTCAAGACCTACTTTCTTGTACGAAGGTTTGAGAGCGAGAAGGGGGGGGGATAGAGATCTGCCATGTATGCCCTTCCTTGCTGCTGCTTCTCCTAATAACCCTTTCCCAACAGATTCGATTCGATTCGCGCAGGGTGCATTTGCATTTCTACATGTACTGTATTACGTGACATGTCCCATCCAGCTCATTTCCTTTCTTTCTTCTTTCTTTCTTTCCTTTCTTTCTTTCTTTCCTTTCTTTCTTTCTTTCCTTTCTTTCTTTCTTTCCTTTCTTTCTTTCTTTCCTTCCTTCTCCTTTCCTTCTTTCCTTCCTTCCAAGCCGCCAGTCAGTCACAAAATGTTGATGAAACCGCGCCGTGGTCCACCCGGAGAAACACGTGTATCCCTTGAAAACATATCCGGGGGTGCTAGCAAGACACGCTTGAACCCTTTTTGGACGAGAATGAGATAAGGGAAGAGGGAGAAAAAGGAAGAGGAAGAGGAAGAGGAAGGGCATAACGTGATAGCGAAAGCAGCAATCCTCTACAATGCACACCACCCAACCTCTCTCCTCTCTTTCTTCTCTCGCTCCATCTCTGTCTCCCTCCCTCTGCCTCTCTTCTCTCTGAAAACCACACCATCGACATACCCACGCCCTTTATCCATCCACCCATCCAAGGGCAACACACCCGATCCCCTCAAACGCCACCGAATCCCCTAAAACCAGGAAAGTCGAACCTGAAAACGCCCCGTCGACGTGTTTCCCAAGATCCCACCACCGCCACCGTCGCCCACATGCGAAAGAATCGCTTGAACCTAGCCCGATAGCAAGGCAGTCCAGTCCCGTCCAGTCCAACAACCGCCGCAAACTGCATGCTCGTTTATGAATGACAATTTGCATCCCATCCCAGAACAAGAAGCCAACCCACCGGGCCAACCGTGCCGTCCCCCGTTCGCAGCACAGGCAGACAAACGCTGTGAAAAAAAAAGTGCCCTGAAGAAGAGACAAGAATTCGCTACAGCCGCCCAACCCCCACCCTAGGCCCCCAATCCCCGCGATTGTACCTCCGCAGGTCCCCACCCGTGCGCCGCAACCGGCTCACCTCCCACGCGGCGCGCGCGGCGAAGTCGGGCGTCGCGTGGCGTTTCTTGACTGCGGCCGAGGTGGCGGGAGAGGAAGAGGGAGAAGAGGAGTACAGAATCTGCGCATCTTGCCAAGTCCATGAGAATTCCGTGAGGAGTGGGTGCGCAGTGTGGGGATCTTGAGTGGTGAGGGTGAGGCCGGGGGAAGGCTGAGTGGCGGTGGTCTTGGTGCTGTTGTTCTTGTTGCGGGCGAGAGGGGAGATGGAGCTCGAGGAAAGAAGTCCTTCGACAGCTGCGCCATTCAAATCCGTTGTAGATGGCACTCTCAAGCTGAACGAATGTTTGCCGAATGATCCCACGGTAGACGACAACTCGGCACTCTTTGGGCCTGCAAGTGGAGGTCCGTCGACGGCCATGGCGTCGCCGTCGCCGTCGCCGTCGTCCTTCTGAAGTCCCTCAAGCCCCTTGATACCCAAGACGTTCTCCTTTGCCGTTGTCCTCAGGGGCCCGGACACGCTAGGCGTGACGGCAGGCATATGTGCCGGGGGCCCAGGAATCCAATCGCCTTCGGGGTCACTCTCCGCGTCGGCGACGGTATCACGGGTGAATAGCGTTCGTGTATCGTTCTCCTCGTCCTCGGTGGGGACGACGGCTTTCTCCTTGCCCTTGCTGGATCTTAACATGCCATCGCTCTTCCTCTTCTCCTCCTGGTCCGCCTTCTCTTTTTCAGTCTCTCCCCTCTTTTCCTCCTCATCCTCATCCTCTTTTTTCTTCTCCTCCTCCTCCTCCTCCCCCCTCCTCTGCGCCTCCCTAACCGCCTCGGCCATCCCCTCCGGAACCCCAGCATGAACCCCACACATCAACCGCGCCCTCCTACAAAACCCCTCCCAATCCTCGACGGCCAACCTGCCCGCATCCTCGTTCAGCGCGCTGGCGGGATTCGGCTGGATCAAAAGACAACTAATAGTTACTAAGACATCGCGCAGGCGCAGCGAGGAGCTCCAGTCGCGCTTGAGCGTCTCGACGCACACGGCGCCCGAGTGCTCGTCGATGTTGGGGTGCCAGATGCGGGTGCGGAAGTGCGCGGTGGGGGGGGACGCGGGGTAGGTCGGCGGGATGTCGAGGTGCAGTTTGAAGAGGCCTGAGGAGTAAGGGGTGCCTTGGGGGCCGGCGAGGAGGACGTCGAGGCTGGTGAGGTCCGAGGGTAGGTCCGAGGGAGAGGTGGTGGGGGGGAAGAGGTAGTTGGGCGGGAGGCCCGAGGTGTGGAGGGAGGCGTGGTCGGCAGCGAGACGGCGGAGGGATCGGGAGTTCTGGGGGAAAAAATTTAGTAGTGGGTTCGTCATTTCATGGTGGTGAGGAGAGCCAAGGCGAGGTGTTCTTGTTGAGGGTGTAATACCATGGTGACGAAGTTGCGAAGCAGATCGAGCAAAAGACGATGTGGGAGGAAAGGGTGTGGAGAGGAAGACTCTGCGGGGCAGACATGAGAGTATTATATACCCTGTGCCTCAGCCCGGTGAAGGTGAAGAAGAAGGCTCACACATTGCGACGTCGCAGCGTAGTCCTTCACCCAAGAGATGCGCGTATGCAGCTGCAAACACGCGCCACTAGTAGGCCGAGCGCGTGCATCTTGCGTGATCCCTGTCGCCGCGCTAACCCACATCGAGCTACCCAATGAGGTTGAAGCTCGATCAACAACTGCATGAGAGATGATATCAAGGCGGCCATGCAATACCTCACTTGCCATACCTTACTACCCATGCAATATGCGATCGATTTTTCTGATTTCTCATGTATTCAAACGACTACCACGATATACGGAGTAGATCCCAAACGCCTGCCTATCCAACGCCTCCCCAAGATGATATCATATCCTCCGCTATGCAACGCTATGCAAGCAACAAGATAGACAAGGTTGACGTGCTATCCTTCACTCCAGAGCATATGTTTCGTGCCATTTGCAATACTGCAAACATCATGTACGTTCGTAGCCACGTTAGATGCAACTTCCTTCATCCCTCCTCCCGTCTTCGAGCATCTGGGAGCCATTCATTCAGATCACTAAGCCTTCAGCCTCCGCTCCTCACACTTGACACACACGGGATCCTGGCTCTCCCCGCGCAGGAAGTACCTCCCATCGTCAAAGGCGCCCGAACATTCCTGCACCATCCATTAGTCATGCAGTCTCATACATGTACAGAAAACAGGCACTCACCACACAACAAAAACAGCCCACATGCCACTCCGCCCCCAACGCCTTCACCACCATATCCGTAACCGGTTTCTTGCACTTCCTACACTTGGGCGAGTACCGGTTCGTATGGCACCCGACACACCATGCATACCCATCCTTCTCCACAAACGGCGTCGTCGAGTCGAACGGATCCCCGCACTGCGCGCAGAAGAAGTGCCCAACATGCCACTCGGCCCCACACGCCACGACAACTTCGCCCTCAATCGGCGTCTTGCAGCTCTTACAGCGCGGCGAGAACAATTCGTGGTAATCCAGGTGGCAGAAGAAGCGTGGGCTTTCGTCGCCGTCTTCCTGCTCGAGACGCACCATGTCTTCGTGCGTGGGGTGTGTGGGGAGGCACTCGATATCCTCGCCGCGCATCCTGGCCCGGATGCGTGCCACGCGCTCGGCGTACTTGCTATCTGGTTCCGGGTAGAAGGCTACGCATTCGAGATGTTCGCCGCAATGGTGGCAGCGGAAGCACTCGGGGTGGAAGCGGCAGCCCGCGGCGGAGACGATGCGTCCCGAGATGGGGAGCGCGCAGTGTGTGCATAGAGCGCCTGAGCGGACACTTGTGGGCGTCCAGTGCGACTGGTTGTTCAGGGTACCATTCCCGTACAACGACTTCGCGCTGCCTCGTCCTGCTGATCGCGTGGGGGTTGGCAGTGGCCTGCTGGAAGCCCCTGGGCCATTGACGTTGATGGTTGGGATTGATGGCGTCACCGAGATGGAGGGAGTATTCATCTTCGGCGCCGGCGCTGCTGGCTCGTTGACTGAGATGGTCGGGATAGATGGTGGTACAGATATCGGTGGCGGCGTCACGGCCGCACCCGAACTGGAGGGGGTGACGCGGATGCTAGCAGGCTCATTGACTGAGATTGTGGGAACCGGAGGCATGGGAGATGGCCTAGAGCCCGACGAAGGGGCCTGGGAAACGCTTATAGTTGGTACAGCAGCCGAACTGGGTTCAGGAGAGTTGACTTTCCTTGACATGCCAATGCTGGAAAGAGGTCCAGCTGCAGGCTCTCCAGAAACCTTAGCGGCAGGAGCCTGAGCCCTTCTCGCAAAAGGCGATTTCGGGCCTGATACCATGGAAGGCTTAGAGGGAGCAGTCGCTGTACCCTCTTTCTGGGGCGATTCCTCATGGACATCGATGGTGGGAATAGGAGGCGCTGGGACATTTTTGGCCAGCGGGCGAGGCTGGCTTGGGCTCTCGTCCACTGGCTTGGGCTTCGCATCCACTAGGGAGATTTCTTGCTTGAGCTCGACTTCTTTTGGTTTCCAGTCCTTTTGGAAAGACACAATGGGCCGGCCAGGGCTGTCAGAAACCACAGTGGGCGTGGGTAGCTTCGGGCTCCTGTCCTTGAGCTTAAAGCCAGTGGCGGCACGAAGCTCCTCGCTCCGTATCTCCTTGCCATCCTTCATCTTGACTTCGGGCTCGTTCTCAATATCCGATTCAGAGTTCGCGTTGGGTTTGGGCTTAGTTGGAGCAGCTGCATTCGTGGTATAAGCGGCATTGCGGGATTGTGTGGGCGGATTGTTCTGGATCTCAACACGATCGAATCGCTGCTTCATGCCCATGGTGGGGTCGGTGTTCGATCTCCCGAGCAGGTTGCCCTTTGCAAATTGGACCCGGCTAAAGGGGTTACGCCTGATTGACAGGGGAAGCTTGTTCAAGGTCGAAGGTTCGGCGGGACTGAGCGCAGATGCTGGAGCCGGAGCCGGAGTAGGCGCCACGACACCAGTAGAAGCGGGGGCGGACGCCGTGTACTCTTCCTCAGGCTCTTCGTATATCTTGTCGTTGGGATCGTTGAGCAAGCTTGCACTGACCTTCCTCCTGGAACCGCTACTTTGTCTCCGCTGGGGGACGTCAGCGGGATTGGAAGCGGTCTTGGAGACAGTGACTTCGGATCCCTGCTTCTTATCGCCGGGGAAGAAACTATCCTTGATAGGAGAAGTGCTGAATCCTGCATTCGCCGTGACCGAAGACCCACTAGGCGTACGATGGCTCTGGAGACTACTACTCCGGCTTCCCGCCATCGAACTTCCCGTCGAACTCCCCATGGAACTCCTCTTCCTCAGTTTCGAGTTTTTGCGCTGCAGGTCCTCATCTCCCCTCGGTAGACTCCGACTCCTGCCCTGACTCGAGCTCTTCCCCAGTCCCGGATACGCATACGGCGCATGCGGCTCGTTCTCCTTGGCATTCGGGTTCCGATGCTTCCACACCAGCTCGGCAGCCTCGTCCCTGGCCGCTGTATAGATTCGATTCTCGTCGTTTCCATCCAGCTCTTCCATGGCACGTCTGACCTCGCGCGCCTCCTCGCGTTCCCTCTGTCTCCGTGCATCTTCTCGATACTGTATACTCGGCGTCCGTTCCCGTGCCATGGACGAGGTAGATGCATCGCGGCCACGGCGCGGTTGAACGAGTGCCCTCCCCCTTTGTGTCGTCGCCAACACCTCGTCTATACTCATATCTGAATTAGCTCTCTGATGCGATGGCGACTTCTCCGTTTCCGACACTCCTATCTTCTTAGGCGGCGCGTTTTCCGGCTCGACGCCCGCCTCTTTGAAGGTGGATTGGGTAAAGGGGGATACAGCTGGGCTTTCGGTGAACTTGGACGGCGACCTGCTGGACCAGGTGCTGAAGTGTGCCGGGGGAGGACGAGAGCCGACGGGACGGGTTGGACGGTTGCTGCGGAGGTCTCGGAGGAAGGAACCTGTTCAAAGTGTGAGAATGGAAATGAAGAATGCTTTTCGTGGGGGACGTACTCATTTGCTCGTTGGACATGTATGTTGGCACGGGGGATACCGCACGGCCTCGTTCCTTGTACATGGTGTGGAATGCTTAGGGCTGGTAGGTTTGTTTACGGTGGAGAAAGCAATGGCGGATAGCGCGATTTGACACGATATTGAAATTGGATATACACAAACTGTCCACGTTGATGATTGAGAGGAAGAATGGAACGAAGGGATTCACTGAGTGAAGAAATAGTTGTATGAGGTTTCATTGAGCGGTCTGTCGTGGAGCTCCAGCATTCGTTGCTGTAGAGACAAGGACAAGGTCCGTGCGCCGGGAGATAGATCGCACCCCTGTTCGTAAGTCTACAAGTCGGCACGGCAATAGTCTACTTGTTAGCCTCCTACAGCTACAGAGATCAAGAAAAAAAAATGGTTAGGGTTAGAAAATATGGCAACATCGTTCCAACAAGATCATTGTAATCATGCCGAGGAGGCACACATCCCGTTGCTGCAGCTTTCTCTATCTAAGCTACATGTACGTCTGCCCAACCAATGGACACTCAGCCAGGAGGAGCGGTGAGAAAACCAGCGCATCGTCTAGGAAGAATAATATACATCTCAAGGTTGCGAAACGCTAAAGCTTCCCATGGCAAATCAAATGTACAAAGAAGCAGAATTTCTGCTTCGCCGTGTACTAATAAAGGGGATAACGACAATGGGGTATAGAAACAAGCGCAAACAACCACAACTGAACGCAGCACCTCAGCGCCCCCCAATCGGCGACTCTCCATGAGGCGGTCCCATGGAATTCCATCCCAGATCGATACTCTCCAGCATCTGGTTCCAGGCTCCGTCGGACATGGGCGTCATGCCCGTATTCCCCGTGCTCATCATTGACAGATCCCATTCGCTGGTCATGACGAAGCCCGAGGACATGGTGGTGTCGGCCGTCATCGAGGCTGAGACGTCGTACAGGTCTGCTGAGAAGAGATTTGGATCGTTGGCGGGGAAGAAGGTCGTATTGTCTGCGGCCGAGGTTTGGGCAAGCGGCATGGTGTTGGATAATCGCTTGGGCGAGGCGCGGTAGGGCATGCTGTGTATGTCATTCTGGGTCCTTGGAGAGTAGGATGTGTGAGATGTCGAGCCTCCTCTTGACTGCGAGTTGCTCGTCGCAGGACTGGGTTGGTCGTCGGTTGAGACGTCCATGTCGTTGTTGTCTGGGACCATGTAGAGAGCCGGGTATCTGGTCGGATCGGTCTGCCGGCCTCGCTGCGGTATATCCATTTTCTGAGACCGCACAAAGGGGAGGGAGTGGTGTGTGTCCAAGTTGACGGCGCTGTTGTTGACGTGGAATGGTGGGCCTGGTGTGCTGCCCGTGTATCCTGCATCCGCGGAGCCCTGCATTTCGGGACGCGGGTTCCCCGGGTAGTTGGCCTGGGCATTCTTGTTCTGGGTTTCCGTGGGTATCGTTATGGGTGCGCATCTTGAAGGCATTAGCATCAGGGGGCTCTAAGGTACAAGGTAACACAAGCACTACCACGGACAGGAACACTTACCCCTGCTTTTGTTCGGCGACCGCGCGCCGACGTGTCGTAAGATCCTCCCCACCTTTTGTATCCGTGAGTGAACCAGTGGATCGCCTCTGGCCCAGACCCATCAGGCCGGCTGACTCCAGGTCCACGTCTAGTTGAGCCAGGAAGGATTCAGTTAACGGGTTCTTTCGACGGAGCGCGGCCATGGCTTGCAGCATGAATTGAAGAGTTGCGCTCATCTGTTGGTCCTTTGGCCGTGTCTTGAGATACTGGATAAACACCCGTGCTGCTACGTATACGCAGAATGATATGAAGGGATTCATCTGCTCATGTTAGTGCGGTGTACTTCACAAGAAACATCAAATGCAGCTCACATACCGCTGACAAGTCCATGTGGCTAATCATTCTCATCACCGAAGCGACCTCGGCAGCCGCAGTGACGCATCTGATCTTGCTTTCATTGCTCACGGCGATGGGTAGCCGATACTTGTCCGCCTTGAATATTGCCGCTTGATGGAGGCAAATGGCGGAGGTATGCAGGGCCATGTTCAAGAAGACAACGTTTGGATCCGACAACCCACCCGGAAGTCGCAAGGCATCGGGTAGCGCCAGCGCGGTATTCAATAGAATGCTTTCCAGTTCTCGATGTCTGCTCCAAAAGCCTCCATTCAGATCATGGTCCATATCGTCAATACCTGGGCGATGAAGATGGAGGAGGTTGCGGCCAAAGAGGGCGGCGGTGACGATGACACCGGCAAAAGGCTCCAGTTTGGCTGCTCCATTGGGTTCCATTGCTTGCTCCAATGATCCGGTTGGCATTGGCTTGCTCTTTTCGTACGCCTCCTCGCTCGAGGGCAGATTTGTCAGTATCTAAGGGGGTGTCAGCTGATTCGTTCTTTGCGTGCCACCCTTGGAGGTAAGCTTTGCCGTGAGGGTACTCACGTCTCTCTCGTCAATGGTCATGGGCCATCCGGTCCCAATACTTGCGTAGCGATCTACACAGAATGCCATCCAGAAAGTCCGTCTTCGCTCCTCCCGTTCCGTCCAATCCTTTGGGGGTCCCAGAGATTGCTTAACGTCCAAACCGGCACCGTCCAGGCGATGAAGTTGCATCATCTGAGCCAGACGGACAGCCCTTCCAGCCGACATCCAAGCTCTGGGGAAGTACATCTGCTTGAACTCGTACGTGCAGATGAGGATCCATGCCTGGCAATGGCCGACGGTGATGGTAGCTTCGCCGTAACCTCTCATCTCGTCCATGTGGGCGTACTTCCTGGCGCGTTGGTAGAAGTGCTCTTGCAGTGTCTCGTACTTGTCCGTGATAGACGCAGCCAAGGCCCACATGATATAACGCAAACAGACAGCAGGTCGCATGTGAGGTGCCAGGTCCATGGCGGCCCTGAATCGTGGCTTATGAATGACAGGCACGGAGTGGTGGATTTTGCTGAAGTAGACCTGATAGCTACGATGGGGTTAGAAGGACGGGCTAAGGATATGCGGGTTGCGCTGTACTTACAGATCGTCCATGACGTCCTGGGGTGGGAGTGGCTCATCGAGGCCCAATCCAATCATCTCCCAGGGATACTCGCCCTGTCCTGCCTGTGACTGGGCAGATGCGGTTCCTGGGAACATGTCTGGAGCGGGAGAGAGGCGTTCGGTGAAGGAGGGCGGAAGTCCATCACCAGGGTTGAGCAGTCCCTGTTGCAACGTGCTGGCAACATAGGCGGAGGCGGGATTTTGCCGAGCGGATTCTTTATTCTGTTCGGTGGACTCGTGATTTTTCAACAGTGTTTCGACTTGTTCTGCAATGCTTGGATTAGCAGATGGAGATGGAGCTCCCGAAGCAACAAGGAACCTACGCAGCCTGGCTTCCAGCAGCTTTACATAGCCCCTCTTGGGCCCGCTCTTCTTCCGCACCTCGTCGTAAGCGCAGTCATGAGACAGCCGCTTACAAGTTCCACATGCCGGTCTGGTGCCGTCGCATTTCAGTTTTCTCTTGCGGCAGAGCACGCAGGCTATCCGCTTTGGCTGCTTGGAGGCGTCGTCCCTCGGCGCATCGGTGGCATTGGGTTTCTGCGACGAATGACTGCCTCGGTTTGGTTGGGGGACGGGTTGGGACAGGTCGTTGAAGAAGGTGTCGTCGGGGGAGTCCGAGTCTGTTGAAGGCATCGTTCGGAGAGAATCACAGGATATTTTAGGTCATGGAGTTTGCGCGGTATTCAGCTAAGAGCAGCCTGGCGCACAGGTGGAGGGTTCAAGCGTGTGTGTTTGCGACGAAGAATTAAGAAAATGCAGCGCGCCACGCAGAAGCGCGATCAGGCATCACTTGAAGAGTAGACGCGGGTAGGGAGCACACGGTACCAGTTGCTGACACGCCGTAGCAACTTTTGACCGCTCTGGGGGCTGAAGGGGAGAGAAGGAAGTCGAAGGTGTATTGATTGGGGGCACCAGTGGTGGTGGAAGAGGGGAGGAGAGGTAGGGTCCGGGGAGAGGGGCGGGAGGGGCTGAGGGAGGGCCTTTTTCTTGTGAGGCAGTGTTTCTCGCGAGAGAATGCGAGGTGCAGTCGTTTAGTCGGTGACTGCAGAGATAGCATGTCGTCTACTCACGCCCTGCAAGCCACACCCGCGTCAAAGCTCCATGGACGAAATGCCACGGAGGCCCCGACGCCGAGCGGTAGTGAGAGGGTAATAATAAGACAAGTAATCCGCTATACCGCTTCCGTGCAATGGCCAGCATCAACGCGGATTACATAACCGATTTGGGAGATCAGCCATAGATGCCTCTTCAAGTCCAGAGTCATTCTCAACCAAGGCCACAGAACACAACTGCCATGTCTAATTCTTCGAGCATAGGTGCGACTCGAGTCGAGCGCCGTGGGTGGAAGCGTCCGAAGAGGACATAAGGTGGGGGATATAGCATGGATTCGGTCGTAGTCAGGCGCCGCATACGAACACGGCCGGGAGTAGGATACAGATGCAAAGGCACAGGTACAGGTGCTGGTGCTGGTACTGGTATGGTACAGGTACATATACAGAACTCGCCGCCCTGCTGTTCATCTCGGCCGCCGCTTGCCCTGGTTGCGCGGTCGGTCCTGGACGAGGAAGACGTGCTTGTTCCTCTTGTGTCTCGTCTTGTAACCGCCTTTGGCCTGTTCGATCCCATTAGAACATGTCCATCTCCAATCCCATGGACGCTACTCACCGGAGTGCCCCACGGACTGACGGGGTGCACGTTGCCCTTGGACTTGCCTCGTCCACCACCGTGGGGATGATCGGCTGCCACATGTCAGTCTGAGAATGCACAAGACAAAAGGCCCTCGTACCCGCGTTCATGGCAACACCGCGGACCTCCGGCCGCTTGCCCATCCATCTTGCACGACCAGCCTTGCCGAGCGACGTGAAGTGAGACTGGATGTTGCTTGCGACCCCAATGGTGCAGCACGCATCCGGACTGACTTTGCGGACTTCGCCGCTCTGCAGCCGCACAATGACGCTCTTGACACTGACCCCTTTGGGCGTCTCCACCTCCTCCTTGTTGACTACAATGGCGTACGTTCCCGCGCTGCGGCAGAAGACGCCTCCGCCCTTGCTCTTGGAGCCCACATTGTAGACCTGGGTCCCGAGCGGCACCATGTGAATGGGGAGGCAGTTCCCTCTCGAGGCAGTCTTCGCCGCGAGCATGCCAGGATCCATCACACCACCCATGCTGTCCAACAGCTCCTTGGGTATACCCGAGCGGTAGCTCTGAATCTCATCGCCGGCTCTCATACCATCTGCAGCAACAATGTACGACTTCTCCCCAGTCTCGACGCGAGTAATGAGGGCCAGGTGGGCGGTCCGGTTCGGGTCGTATTCAATCCGCTCAACGACATGCACGCCAGGAAGATAGCGCTTGTAATCCACAATCCGAATCCTCCTCCTGTGTCCACCTCCGCGATGCCTGACGGTGACCCTTCCGCTGTTATTTCGTCCTCCCAGGTGCTGGCCTTTCTTCGCAATGGTGAGCTTGAGGTATGGGCGGCCCTTCCAAAGGTGGTCGTTGACGGGGCGTTTGAGATGGCGGAGACCGGGGGTACGGGGCTTGTAGGTTCTCAAAGGAATGAAGTGCTCCCTCCGCGAGCCTCCGGCCTCCAAATGGGCACCATCAACGGAGACGGCCGGATTGATGGGCGGCGGAGGGACATGGTCGACGGCGGTCGCATAGCTCCTTGCGGGTTGGAGGAAGACTCTGGCGAGGCGTACGGGCTGGGAAAGACATATCCGTGGTTGCAACATGTTTCACGAGCAGGGCCCAAGGGCCATTGGGGGGGTGGCGCGGCGATGGGAGCGAGGGGATGCAAGCAGCACCGGCAACTGTCGATGAGTAGGAGTGAATGTTCTGATACACGGCAGCCCGAATTTCTCCAGGCGCGCTCGGAAGCGGTTTAGCGTATCCGGCGTAAGGCCGAGTCGCTAATCCCTGCCAGACGCGGCGACCGGGCAACCACACGTTCGACGGGCCTCCAAAACCAAAACCAGCCGTTCGCGTGGTTCTTTCTCTCTCTTCCCTCACACAGCGATCAACAATTTCCCAACTTCCCATACACTGGCATTCTCCCCCTTATATTGGCTTCATCCAAACCATCCAAACCCCCTTCTGGAGCGCCTTTCAGTGTTTACCACCGTTGCATCGCATCCTCCTCCCGCAAGCGACGGAAGACATCAGCGGCGCGTCCTGCCTCTCAAGTTCTGCCAGAAAGGTAAGTGCAAAGACGCGCTCTCATTGGTTCCCTCACGCTGTCCGCGCGACTTTGGCGCAACCCTTGGAAGACGGGAAAGACGGGATGGATGACTAAGACTGCCAAGTCTGATCTCACCCAAAACAAACCCGTGCTTCCAACATCAACACACCCGCACTACTCAACCACACCTTGGCCGAGCATCCGCTTCAACAACCTCGACGCACCCTCGCGCGTTGCTGTGCCCTCTCGGAGCTGGACTTCTCTGCTGTCCGCCGCCTTCGACAATACGCCCGCTGATCTCCACGGATCTCCTTTCCCATTCTCCGCGTCCCATTACCATCGCTGCCCCATCTTAGAGAGCGTGTCTGCTCCTAACACAGTCGCGAGCTGACACGCCCAGTCTGTCGAGCAGATCCTCGCATCACTTCCGGTACACTCGCCTTCCCCGGCATATTCACGTCGGCATTGTTTTGCTGTCTTTTCGTCTCGCAATTGGCTCAAACTGACCATGTCAACAGTGCATCATAACAACACCGTTTATACCACATTGAGGCATCATACATAGTCCGATACCCTTCCCATACGACATAGCCTTGCGAAGCATACTTAGTATTGCTTGCCATGTCTCAAGTTGTATGTTTTGCACCATTCTCCTCCTAACATCACCTTGGCTGTGACGTGTTGCTGCTGGCCGGCGACTTAGAGCAACAGCAGGCTAACACGTACATCAGAGCCGGTCACTTCGCCACAGGGCTGTGACGAACGAGAACGACGAGAATGCCGCCGTGACGCGCGTGACGCGTGCCAAAAGCGCGGCCCTCAGTAGTAAAGAATCCGCATCAGACGTGCCCAAAAAGACCCTGCAATCCAAGAAATCAACCACTGCCCTCGGCGCAAATGGTACTGCACAGACAAGGAAGCGGGCCGCATTAGGTGACAAGAGCAATGTGACCAACACGGAAAACCTGGGTGCCGGAGCAAAAGACGCGAAGGACAGTAAGAAGCCATTGGCCAGCAAGGCCGGCCCCGTATCGAAAGCCGCACACCCCACCAAGGTTCAGAAGCCTACCAGGTCAACGTCGACGCGTCATCACGTACTCAAGGAGAAGAACATGTCCGAGCTCAAGCGGCCGGCCAGCGGAGCAGGCATCGGTGGTGCCACGAAAAAGCGAATCACGTCCAAGCAGACCACGGTGAAGGAGGACAACGAAGACGCGGAGAACATCCCCCCCGCTCCGCAGTCAAACGTCGCGGCCGAGCCTGCCAAGGTTACGAAGTCGACCACTGCCAAGGTGGAGCACGTCAAAGAGGTGGTTGAGATCTACGAGGAGGAGACCGAAGAGCAGGTCGAGATTCCCGACTTGGATAAGGAGGATGCTGAAGATCCATTGATGGTTTCGGAGTATGTTGTCGAGATCTTTGAATATCTGAAGGAGCTTGAGGTGGCCACCATGCCGAACCCCAACTACATGGACAACCAAAACGACCTTGAGTGGAAGCTGCGTGGCATTCTCGTCGACTGGTTGATCGAGGTGCAAACACGATTCGGCCTTTATCCCGAGACCCTATTCCTTGCCGTCAACATCATTGACCGCTTCCTCTCGACCAAGGCCGTTGAGCTGGATCGCCTCCAGCTTGTCGGTGTCACTGCCATGTTCATTGCCTCCAAGTATGAAGAGATACTCTCTCCACATGTTGGCAGCTTCCGCCATTTGGCCGAGGATGGTTTCACCGAGGACGAGATCCTGAGTGCCGAGCGGTTCGTCCTTGCTGCACTTAATTATGACCTCAGCTATCCCAACCCCATGAACTTCCTTCGCCGGATATCAAAGGCCGATAACTACGACATCCACACGCGTACCCTCGGCAAGTACCTAATGGAAATCAGCTGCTTGGACCACCGGTTTATTGCACACCCCCCAAGTCAGGTCGCTGCCGCCGCCATGTACTTGTCTCGGATGGTGCTGGAGCGTGGACCATGGGTAAGTTGCATACCTCGCTCGACTCCAAACCCTGCTAAACCTGCCCTTAGGACGCGACTCTGGCTCACTACTCCGGTTACAAGGAAGAAGAGATCCAACCCGTTGTCGAATTGATGATCGACTATCTTTCCAGCCCAGTGATCCATGAAGCATTCTTCAAGAAGTATGCTAGCAAGAGATTTATGAAGGGTAAGCGCGTCTACCACTTTCACATTGCACGTACTAACGACCGGTAGCATCCATCCACCTCCGCCGGTGGGCCAAAGAGTACGTAGGGCAGTGGGGTAACAGCTTGAAGGACAACTCCAATCCGCGAAAATGAGCGCAAAAGTGGCCTTTATAACGCGATTTGACTGTTACATTGCGACCCTGTTGGTCGGTCAGCATCATCAGCCCCAGCGTTCCGTGCTGTTGCTTTTAGACGGACGCGATCGGCATCGATTCCCACGTCGTCGCGGCGCACATCCGCCCATATTCTCACTATTCATGTTTGCATTCTGGCGTCAGCCCCGGACGGCGTTCGAATAGGGTCACTTGGTTAGTGCAGGCATTTTTGAGGGGTCGGCGACGCTCCAGTGTGCGATTCTTAGCCTTCTCGGATGAGGCGTAATAGGGTGTGTATACCTGGTCACTGTTTTCGATGGCGCGTTGGGGGCCGGGTTCCTGGTTCTGCTTATCTTCACCTTCTGCGAAAGGCTCTGGATACGACATCAAATCATAGCTCTACGGATGGTATACCATGTGATGATGGTGGCTATGACGGCTATTGATTGTGGTGGTGCGGGCTACGCTACATGTACAAGTAGTCAGGCGGGGAAGCGCCTGATAGCAATGAGACCCGCATTTGAGCTTTATTTCTGGAGAGAGTTGAGATGGAATGGGTGACGTAGTCGTTGGAAGCTGGGCTGGGCCTCGGAACGTGGGCTTGACAGCTCGATGCTTGACAGCTCGATCTCACTAGCCACCTGTTGGGGAGCTACCATGTCGTCGAGTCCGCGATGCGGGGCGCGGGTGGCTGAAGCGCTCACCGCCCGGCAGAATATCTAACAGCATCTCATCCATCGTCTGTTTGTACGAAAGCTCGATCTCTCATTGAACACACAGGCACAGTCCTGAAAGGGCAGCGAATCTCCCTCCTTGACCCAGCGGCTCGGTTTGAAAGCTGTATCAAGACGATTCATGCGCCATGGCGGACGACCTGAAAGCCAAATACGCCATCCACGAAGCCTGCCGTGAAGGCCAGAGTACGTCTGTCCGGAGCTCCATCTCTCCAACACGCCATGCCCTAGGGCTTCTTCCTCTCCCCAGTCTCCCGGCCTCCTCATACAAAAAGCGGAGCCATTGGCTAACCCATATCTTCCTTTCTTCAGCGCAAAGAGCCGAATCCCTCCTCCACGCCAACCCATCCCTCGCCCTCCTCCGCGACCCAGACTCCCGCCTCCCCCTCCACTGGGCCGTCTCCTTCTCCCACCTCGCCATCATCGAGCTCCTCATCACCGCCTCAGGCAAACGCTTCGACGTCGACGCCGCCGACGGCGCAGGCTGGACCGCCCTCATGATGGCCTGCTCCCGGCCCGACGCCTCGTTGGAAATCATCCAGCTCCTCCTCGCCAAGGACGCGGATCCCAACGCGAGGAACCACGGGGGCCAGACGGCGCTGCATTTTGCAGCCAGCAAGGCCAACCTCGACGTCGCGCGCCTGCTGCTGGCCAAGGGGGCGTCGGCTAGGTTAAGAGATAGAAGAGACCAGTTGCCCCTGCATCGCGCTGCGGCCGTGGGCTCCGTGCCCATGATCAGGCTGTTGCTGGGCGAGGGCAAGTCTCCGCTCAATGCGACGGATGTGGATGGCCAGACGGCGCTGCATCATGCCGTGAGCGAGGGCCATGGGGATGCGGCCATGGCGTTGCTGGCGGCGGGCGCCGAGTGGGATAGAGAGGATAAGGAGGGGAAGAAGGCGTTGGAGTTGGCGCCGGATGCGAGGACGAGGACGTACATTTTGAACGCAGCCGAGAGGGAGGGGATTGACTTGGAGTAGTAGGTAGACTGCTGGCGGCTGGGGTGGGGCGGCGTGTGATGGAGTTGGTGGACTCGGGAGACGCGAGGAACATATGGCATGGACTGGCGTTCTAGAAATTACAATGATACCCTTGATTTTGGCATTCATGCATGGAATACCTACTATCAAACCCGATGCCAATGCCTCCACGGCGCTGGAACAAGTCTCAATAGTATAATCAATGCTGGGTTGCTACCAGCTTGGAGGAAGTGAACAACAACTCGGTCAGCCGCCCAGCCAGAGATAACTCACGGCTGCAAGGCTTGCCTGACTCCGCTACTCTACTTCATCGTCTCCACCAAATCCCGATAAATCTTCTTCAAGTCCGCTACATCCCCTTCCAGCTCCTCGACCCGCTCGCTCTTCTCCCCCAGCATCTCGAGCGTGGTCTCATACCTCTCACCCATCTCCGCCAACTCCCTCTCCAACCTCGCCACCTTTTCCTCCAAGCCCCTCTTCTCCTCAATCTCCCGCATGAGCGCCACGACCGACTCGCGCGCCTCATCGCGCTGCGCCACCAACCGCGCCAGCTCTTCCTTGTTCGTCGCGCGTTCGGATTCCAGGCGCCGGATGGTCGCGCTCATGCGCTCGACGAGTTGGACAGAGGGGCCCGCGCCGGCCGTCGAGACCGAAATCATGTCGTTGATTGTGCGTTGCGGCGAGGAGGTGCCCATCTCAAAGGCCTCGTCGTGGTCAAAGGCGTGGATGGAGGGGGTGTTGGAGCCGTTGAAGCCATTTAGGTTGGTGGGAATGGAGTCTTGCCGCTGCGGAGGACTTATCTCTGGACTGCGCAGGATGTCTGGGCTGCGAAGATTGGGGCTGGGTCTGGAGCGGGCGGTTGAAGGTCGTCGGTCTTCGGCGAGCATGCGGTCCATTGGGGAGAGTGGCACGTCTGCCGTCGATGGGGAGCGAACCATTCCTCTCCTGCCGAGCCCAAGCGGATCGGGCGAGTTCCTCCGGTTTATGGTGGACGCAGAAGCAGCACGGAGATAGTTGCTCTCGGATGGTGCATATTGAGACTGGATTTCTGACCTCCATTTCACCTTCTCCTCTTCCAGTTTCTGCTGGAAGTCTGCCTCCATCACCTTCTTCTCTCTCTCGAGATCGGCTCGTGCCTCTTCAGCTGCCAATTCCGCTTGCGATAGGCGGGCTTGCAACTTCTCGCTCGAGGCCCGTTGCTCCAGAAGATCCTGCTCCAGCGCCCTCGCCCTTTCATTGATCCTTTCTAGTTCATCTTCAAGTTTTCGTGCTTTGGAATTCACCTCTCGTGCCTTCCGCCTAATGTCCGATTCCCGCTTCGCCGTCTCGTCACGCTCTTTCTCAAGAGCCGCGACACGAGACGTCAGTGTTCCCTCGATACCTTGCCAATTTTCCGAGGCAAGTGCATATTGTGTCTGTAGGGTTTCAATCTGGCGCAGCAGTTTGGCTTGGGAGTCACCGGTCGCCGAAGAAGACACCTCCTCCGAGCGACTACGGATGAGTTCAAGTTTGGTCTCGAGATTCTAGGGGTCGATTAGTACTTGTATCCGCCAAAAGTTCTTCTCGGAGTACTTGCAGCAATCTCTCCACGCAGCTCCAGCTCCAGAACATTGGCTTTCTCGCGTTGTCGTGTAGCCTCATCCTTGGCCTCCTGCAGCTCCCGCTTGCCACGGTCTTCCGCGAGCTTCTTTTCTATCCGCAGGTTCTCAATGTCTTCTTTGAGCGAGGCAGTGACCCGTTTCTCGGCTTCTAGAGCGCCAGCCTGTACCCTCTTTTCGGCCTCGTCGGCTTTGGAAAGCGCGTCGCTCAACTGTCTCCTTAGCTCCATTATCGTAAGCCCGGCCTCTTCCCGTTCCGCCTTGATGAGCTCGATATCCTTCTCGATCTTGCCGACAATCTTGAGCTTCTCCTGTGCAGCTCTTTCCGCGGCCTCCGCCCGCCTGGCTCTCTCCGTCTGCTCCGTAGCGATCTTTTCTGCTTTGGCCAGCCGTTGCTTGATCGCCTCTACTTGCTTATCCGTCTCCTTGGCCTTTGCATGCATCTTCCTAATAGTAGTAAGATGGTTCATTTCCTTTTTAGAGAGCTTTTGGCCTTCTTCCATGAGCGCCGCAATCTGGGCATCCTTTTCGGCCAGCTTCTTGTCCACTGGAGTCGCGTCTGAGTCTGCAGCTGCAGCCTTCGCTGAAGCTGCCATTTGTTCAGTCAAGTAGGCGAGCTTGGCTTGTAGGGAGTCGATGCGCTCGAGGTGAGCATGCAATTCCTCCCGGTGCTCGCGGAGCTTCTCCTCATGTGTCTTTTGTAAAGCAGCGAGTTCTGCTTCGACATCCCCGGGAGACCGGGATAAGACAGGCTCGGACTCTGCAAGTGTAGAGGCATCTATGGAGGATCGAGAGGGGTTGCTGTCCATCGATGGTCGGGGTGAGGCGGTTTCGGGGGTAACGATGGAAGGGATGGACATGGCGGGTAACGGAATAGACGCCGGTTGTTCTGTTACGGCAGGCGCTGGCGACGTAGATACTGGAGTTGAATCCATAGAGGCACGTGCGATTGCTTCAGGCTTCTTGTCATCTTCTGCATTCGATGCTTCATCTTTGGCGACTGACGTTCCTTCAGATTGCTTCGAATCGATACTTGCTCTTCCCGGATCCGCCGTCGCCACCGTGCTCCGTACCGCGGGGCTTTCTGGCCGTGAAGTGGAGTCCGTAGAAGCTCTTGGACTTTCCGAACGCTGGCTTACAGCTCGTGCCAGCCGATCCTGGAGGCTGGAACCCGGCCTGCTCCTAGTAGACGAGGTCCGTGAGACTCCTGCGGATTGCGTAAGCGCTCATGCCATTCCCAATGCTTCTATATGATGCTGTGCAGGCAGCCGGAGCACACACCTTGGTCAATCTGCAGGTTCTTCTTCTCGGCCGCTTCCTGCTTGGCCGCTTCCTGTTTGGCTGCTGCCTCGGCCGCCCTCGACTTCGCACTCGCCTGGCTGTCGTCCGCAAGAATGGTATCAAGGCGCGATTCGATGCCGGCAACGGCGCCGGAGAGGAGTGAACCCCATCGTGAGCCTTGCTGGCCGCTCATGTGGGCAACAAAGGAGCAGAGAGATGCTGTCAGGCTTCAATTGGGTGTTTCCGTGTATGCCTTTGTAGCGATCACCGGGCGTTCGTCTTTCGTTTCGGCCCAGTCATGACTTGTGTGTCAAGGACGCCAGGTTGTTCGGTGAGGAAACGAAGGAAGGGCAGTGTCGGGACAAAAGTAGGGATCGGGAGAATGGGCGGGAGTCGTTGAGATGGTTACTTCTTCAAATGAGTGAAAGTGTACGGAATATCAGTTTTCTGGTTCCAGAGGGTCTTCGTAACCGTCGGCAGCAGGTGTGGGACTGGAGACGTCGCCGCAAGCCGGTGTACTGTGCAAGGTGGCAGAGTTGCGGTTTAGATACAGTAGATGCACCAAAGCGAACATCGCTGATCTGATGGCGTACGACGTGGGTCCGTGCGCTGTTCAGTTGTTACATGCCCTACCTCCTCTTGGCTACCCTGCTCTGTGCTATGTCCACCAACGTAGGGGGCCGCGTGTCCAACCTTGAAACAATCCGTATCAATCTCGTTTTGGCATTGGTTCTTTTTCCTCAAGCATTACGAATCACCCCATGTCCGTTGATGTCGGTATCTGTCTGTATAGCTATTTATAGCTACCGTGGTTCTCAAGTCTCTGCGGACGAAACGAAACAGAAAAGAAGAAAGAGCAAAAGAGAGGGGAAAAATAGATAAATGAAAATAGAAAATGGCGTAAGGACAATACTATGGTACTACCGTAGAAATCGAAGGGAAAGCTACTGTTCGACTCAACACTGTACAAAATCGTCTTCCAAGATTCTCCTTGGGGACTGCGTTCTGCGTCCGTCAACTAACCCTACCACCCGTTCCCCCGAATTTCCCATATCCATCCCACCCGATCCCCAGATCCACCGCCTTCCTCTTTCTCGGCCTCTTCGATGCTGCTCCCAGTGCGTCCAGCTGTCTCCTCCGTAGCGCCCAGTCGTCTCTACTTTCAATAATGCTGGCCCAGTCCTTGCAGACATGATATGCCCTTGCCAGGTCTATCAGCTCAAGGTGGGCGAAGATGCATTGTAGAAGAAAAGGAGGAAGGTCGCGGATTGTAGGGCGATGATGGGTGGTATACGGTGGAGAGGAGGGCAGGCATGATGGGGAAGGGAAGCGCGGGGACGAGGTTGTGACCATGATAGAAATGGTGGACGAGCTATATCTGAGCTGAGACAATGAGGAGGCAGAACTGGCATGAAGACGGTAACAATGTGAACTGAACCCTTATACCTCCATTCAAGCTGGCTACCTCACCCGTGATGCAACAGTGCAGAGTGGCATGCACTGCGCAGTGCATGCCAGTAAACGTGTAGTAGTACGCGCTCGCGGTACACGTCTACATCTGCTATAGAGGGTCTACTGAAGCTATCGTGCCAGGCGGCGACAATTTCCTCAAGTGAAAACCCCCGTAGTGGTGTCTGACAAACGACCCTTGACCATGCCTATCACTAACTTGCTGAAGGGTAGTAGAGACAAACGGCATTCCCTGATGCGTATGGGCGCTTTGCCACTGCCTCCATGGAAGGCTGTGACTTGTTCATCGTCTAGTGTTTGGTCCCGTAACAATACTCGACTATAGGACGAATTATCATGCGAAGTGATAGTGCATGCACATGTGCCTGCTGGAGAAGGGTGGACGCGTCGCTTCCAGAATCCCATTTTTCACGCAAGTGTCGCAATCGGGGCAGAGAGACGGTCGTGATCACCTTGGCTTGGGTGGATGATGGCGCATGCAGACATCCCGAAAGAATTATCGTCGATGCATAGAGTGATAGAGTCTCAGAGGAACACACCTTCTTCTTCGGCGCCAGTCGTCTCGTTGCCCTCCGGTTGGCTCGCTGTCGGGTCTCGCTGGGTGGTCCCCTGAGATTGAACTTGCTGAGGATTCCTTGCTCTTAAGCCTGTTCCTCTTGTTTCATGCTCAGATGCCAGTCCCGCGTTGCCCTCTCTCTCCCCAAGGTTCTGTATCTCTTGACTCTGCCTGGTTCTCTCTCCCGCACCGTCATCTTCCCCAGTGAGATCTATGGTGACCGGTTCTTCTCCATCCTCAACAATCTGCCCGTTGACTTTGCCCTCCCCCTCCTCCAAAGGTAATCCTCTGTTCTCCGTGATCTCCTTCTTAACCAGTTCGATTCTCTCCTCCATCCGCCTGATCACCTCCTTGTTCTCAACCAGTGCCTCATAGCAGTCGCGATCGCTCTCCTGGCGGACGTACTCTTCTAGCTCAGCGTTGGACTTCTCTAAATGAGAGATGGAGTTCTTGAGTTCGGCGATTTTGGCGTGCAGGCTGGAGATGGGGAGCTCGGTCAGCGCGGCAGCGAAGCGGGCGGCAGTGATGGGTCGAGATTCCGCTGACATGGCAGGTTGTTCAAGTTGTCTTCCGAAACCAAACGGGTGATGCGACCAGACTAGGAGTTTAGCAGCAAAGTTCAGCAGCAACAAGGTGGGGGAGCTCTGCTTCGACGTCAAAAGGTGTTGGGCCCGTGCGTTGCGGACTTCCGAGCAACTTTGTTACTCTTGGACGTTGACAGGTCCTCTGCGTCCTCTGCCACTCTCACGCAGACTTCGCCTCGACCTATGCGGTTATAGTATTAATTTGGTCCTTGGCCCTTCTCAGGCTATAGAGCCTCCCTCTTCGCTATGAGCCACGCTCTTTGCGTTGCCCTCTTGCGGCCATCGTGCGCCGCTTTACGACCCTCGGCACCCATCGCGCATCAGTGGAATACTGCGACACAGGCATTTGCGCGCCGCTTCTGCTCCCGGAGATCCCAGCTGGCTTCCCATCCTAGACCGTCAGTTTTTTCCGTATTGCGATCGCATTGTTCGCCCGCTTCGGCTCCCCAATTCCGCTCATTCACCTTGACCTCCTACTGCTATGCGAAAGCGGAAGATAAGGTCCCGGCGTCCGCCAGCACGCATGCGGCTCGAAAACGCGCCGTGAAGATTGGCCAACTGCCCGATGGTCCCGTAGGACCGGTCACTATCAGAAAGCTGTTCGGACCTCGAGTCTCGGTTGTCGACGGTAACAATGTGCTTCGCATATTACATCACCGACGCACGTCTGGCTCGCTGGTCGACTATGGTGTGGATAATCTAGGGGACCGGTATTGGGGAGTAACTCATAAGCACGCCGTGAAGGCTCTGGAGTGGTTGCGGGAAAAATACCCAGTGGATGAGGCGCGGGCGGCAGAAGAGTGGGCGGAAAGGGAGGCAAACCGGATAGCGTACGAGCTGTGGCTTGCGGACCCGGAGAATGCGGACTCCAAGTACAATGACCCGGCACGGCTGTGGAGCCAACAGCAGAAGGAGCTGGAGGAAATCAGGAAAGAGGAGGAGCAAAGGATGGGTATGCTGCATGTGGGACGATCGCAATTCGAGCTCAACATCGAGGAGCAGCGGAGAGCCAGATTAGAGGCCCAAGCCAGAAAGGCCGAAGAAGAAGAGAAGAGACAGAAGGAGATGCAAGAGCAGTTGGCGACAGGCAGATATGTTCTTACACCGTCGGGCAAGCAGGTCATGATCCCGGAAAACGGGCAAAAGGTATACATCGATATCTTTGGGCGCGAGCAGGTGAGCCGGGCAGAAGAGATCAAGAAGGAAAATCTCGAGAAGGCACATTTGCCCTTCAAAAGTGAGGAGGAATTGCTATCCGCTACCACGTTGGTATGATCCTGTAGCACGCTCAGGTCACCATGGGATATGCTAACAACAAACCAGGTGCAACGCCTATATCCCATGACTGCCTTTGTATTCATCGTCTGCCTTCTATGTTGGGGTTTTGGACACTACTACGAACCCCCTTCACCAGAATACCGACTCTGGCCCGACGTTTCTCTCACCACCGCAACCATCAGTGCCATCTTCGGCCTGAACGTCATCGGTTGTCTCCTCTGGCGCTTCCCTCCGGCCTGGAAAATGATGACGCGCTATTTCATGCACGTTCCTGCCTATCCCCGGGCCTTCCAGGCCATAGGCAACGTCTTCTCCCACGTCGAATACGAGCACTTCCTCGGAAACATGATGTTCCTGTGGCTCTTTGGCACCGCCTGTCATAATCTCGTCGACCGCGGCATCTTCGTAGGCACCTATGTTGCCGGAGGTGCCGTCGGCACCCTCGCCTCTCTATACTGGGCCAACCTAGGTCGCGGTGCCATCTTAGCGCATGCCGTTGGCGCATCCGCCTGCATTTATGCCATCTCCACTCTCTATCTCTTACTCACTGACGCGGAAACCATCAAGATACCGTTCATCAAGGATTTGGAGGTCGCGTTCTGGCCCAGATCCTTACTAGCGGCATATATTGGCTTTGAATGCATGATTGCGTTCAGAAAAAAGGGAAAGTCAAAGGCTGATCATGCCAGCCATTTTGGTGGCATGGCTGTCGGGCTGAGCGTGGGAAGCTACCTGCATGCTACTGGGTTCCATGAGAGGAGAAAGAGGGCGGCCGCGCAGAGGGGAGAAGCTGAGGGTGATAAGTCCCTGGATATTGAGAAGGAGTTGAAAGAGGAGGCGATTGAGATTAAGGATGAGGTGAAGAAGATTATCAAATAGACGGAGGTAAGACATACTGTACACTATGTATATACACCCTTGGGCATAGAAGGTGGCTGGACCTTTGAAACGATATACCTTTTACTTGTAATGTTGAGGTTGACGGTGACTGTTGTTTGACTCTTTGAAGTCGTCCGTGGGTCCAAGAATCTTGCCATATACCACCCTATATTGATACAACTAACAAGTGAGATGCGGCTGTTCAATTGGAGGAACGCATATCCAACCGATCAGACTAACGAAGCGCTATTACAATGATATTACAGTTACAACTATCCGTCTATATGCACTACAGAGAGACCACAACCTGTCTGCATGCAATATTGTGCAACAAATACAGAGCGAGGATCCGTTCCCAACCCCACTTCTCTTCACACCTCCCTATCCCGATATCAGCGTCTCTCATCCGCTACGCGCTCTTCCTCTTCCTCCCCTTTGGCACCCTACACAACCAATAAAGCCCCACAGCCCCCGCCACATTCACCACGACATACACCCAAAGCAGCCCGAAATCTCTCCAGCGATTCGCAAAATCCACATTCACCTTCCTCAAAAACTGATCCGTATTTGCCATCTGACAGAAACGGCACTGCTCCTCGCCTCCGCCTTGCGCGTCGGGATTCTGCACGTATCCACCCGCCATGGAGATGTAAGGCGAGAGATATTCCCCACACGTCATGTTCGGGGGCGCGGCGAAACGCTGGTACTCGTTTTCTGCGCAGTAGGCGGGGGCGTCTCCGAGGGTCGCGGACATGAGACCGGAGACCAGGTAGGTGAATGGATTCACCCTGTACATGAAGATCCAGAAACCGGGCAACTGGTCCGGCCCGGCGAGGATGCCGCAGAAGGCGTACAGCAGGATGGAGAAGATCGTGGCGAGGGCGCCGCCGATTTCTTCGTTGGCCACCCCGGCGATGAGGAGATGGGAGAAGGAGGACGCGAAGAGGAAAGTCACCCAGATGATGAGGAGGGCGAGGAAGCCGCGGATGTTTGTGGTGCCGGTGGCGGAGGCATTGCGGTATTGGCCAACGGGGTAGTACCAGACCAGGAAGCAAAGAACGGCCATGACCTGTTGAATAGTCCGGTTAGCAAAAAGGGGGAGGTATAAGACGGAGAACATACAGAGTTCCAAAACATCTCAATCAAAATATTGGACAGAACGAAAGCTTGCCAGCGGTATGTTTTGGACGCGCGCTCACGCGCCTCGTACAGCGTGCGCTGGGTGACGAAGACTGGCATGATTTGATAAATGACTTGAATAACGACGAAGATAAACATGAACAGGGCGAACATCTGATTCTGCAGGCCTTGCATGGTGTTGTTCGCGTTGAGAAATGAGAGGCCGATGAAGAGAGCCTGCAATATCTGATGTTAGCTTTGAGGGCATGGATAAGAGCAATGGGATCGGACTTACGCTACCCACGGTGAGGAGGGCTTTCGAATATATGTAGGACGGCGTTCTCCAGTACTGCTGAGAGACACGCTTGCCCACCTCGTAGAGCTGGGTCATGAAGGGGGCGGCGAACTCCTGGTAGCTGGTTCCATTCGGCTCAACCACTGCTGATGGCTGATTGACCGACTCCCGCAATCGACGGAGCTCTGCTCGAACCTCCTCATATTCTTTGCTCTCTCGCCACACTGAAGGCCAGTCAATATCTGTATGGGCACCGGGTGCCGCTCCGATAACCTAGATGTTCGTCAGCAACCCAAAATCAGATGCCTCGGCGGCCGTGTGCGTGACTTACCTCAAGCATGTGCTCCGCAGGATTAACACCAGGTGGGCATTTGGGACCCCCATTCCTTTCAAAGTAATCAAGAAGTGTTTGCGACTGTCGTCCAATCTCTCCAAAATAGACCGTCTTGCCCCCTTCTGCCAGCAGCAGAAGTCTATCGAAGCGCTGGAAAAGCATGGCAGAAGGCTGATGAATCGTACATAAAATTGCTTGGCCGTTACGCGTGAGCTTTTCCATCAAGTTGCAAATAGACCACGAAGTCTGAGAGTCTAAACCTGATGTCGGTTCGTCAAGAAAGAGCAACAGCTTGGGTCGGGCCGCGAGCTCCACACCAATCGTAAGACCTATAGGTGGGGTTAGGACAGGAAGATGAAGGCGGGCAATTACTGACGTTTCCGTTGTTCCACATTGAGGCCAGAACCGGGGACGCCCACCACTGCGTCAGCATATTCCTCCATTCCCAGAAGAGCGATGACTGTATCGACATAACGAACCTTCTCTTCGCGAGTATACTCCGGAGGTTGGCGCATAAGCGCGCTGAACTCCAGCGCCTCGCGGACGGTAGAGGTATGTAGATGGATGTCTTGCTGCATCACATATCCGGTTTGTTGTTGAAAGGACTGATCTCGCTCACGGCCGTCAACAAACATGTCTCCTGTGACAACTCCCATAGTGGTTCGCGATGCAAGCACGTCAAGAAGCGTGGTTTTCCCTGCCCCAGAGACCCCCTTAAGTACGTTAGTTGTTGGTCTCGGCTGTCGAGGTGAGTTGAGAACATACCATCAACGCCGTCAAAGTGCCCGGTTTAATCCAACCATCCACGTGGTCCAGAATCACTCTTTCCTCTTTCTTGATATTGATAGTAAAGCAAACATCCTCCCAATGAAAAATGGATGTCTGCATTTCGACACTGGAATGCGACATCGACGTCTCGTCTGGCTTCTCTGAACCGAGCACTTGTTGTTTTCCTGTCTCCTCGTCGGTGGACTGGCGCTTAGTCTTGGCCTTGAGCATTTTCCCTCTCCTGAATACCAGAACCTCGCCCTTGGAGCGCTCCGAGGCTACAACCTCCGACATGACAAGATGAGCAACAGCGAGAACAACGGTCATTGCTACGATAATGGCGAAATTTCGCCATCTGTTTCGGTAATGGTAGCCAAAAGCCGTTTCCACATAGGCGGTGCCGCTGACGCTGTCCTGGCCAGGGACCGAACCTTGGACAGCACATGCCCGCTGCTCAGGAGTAACACTGTCGTATAAAGGACCCGAAGGGATGAAATAATGGCATGGGAACTCCCGACCATTGAATTCATTGACCATGGCAGCCTCGAAGCCATACGCGATAGGGTTGATCCATCTTATCCACGAAGCCCAGCCCAGCATATACTGGATAGGTATGATGAATCCGGTGTAGATACAGATAGCTATGAGTACTAGGAGACAAGAGTTAGCACTCTACTCTGGCATAATCAAAAGTAGAAACAGAGATAGGGATGTCCTTACAAAGTGAACTAGGAGCCCATGCTTGAGCAATAGTTTTGGTGACGGAGGCAAACAAGCGGAACAACATGCTCATAGACAACAACATGGCGAATCCGACCAGGTAGAAGAAGAAGAAAGCTCCCGCGTCGAGTCGGAGTCCGGCCATGAAATACAGCGTCGTGTTTACAAGCGCTGAGTTTAGCACTTTGTAGGGCAAATCGAAGACCATCGAAGACAAGGCTTCGGCGCTGGGGTGATACAAAGCGTACCGGTTGTGCTTTTCTATAATAGTACGCTTCGCGTATAACGCAAAGATCTCCATTATAGAACCGAATGCGTTCAGCAGCACCAGCATGAAAACAACGGCACCCCTGTGGAAGAAGGACGAGGTGCTCGCGGGCAAGTTGTAGAAAATACTTGCAAGAATCAGAACTTCAATGAAGTTCAAGGTCAGCATCACGATCGTGACGCTTTGCTTATTAGTATAGGACACAGAAGCGTGGTTTTGAGTACGTACCTTGGATCGCACTTCCACTTCTGGTATTCCCTCCAAAGGCAGAGCTTAACCTGACCCCAGTAGGACAAATTGTACGGTGACTTCTCGCGTTGATTCTTCGACTTCTCCACCTTTCTTGCTTGAGCGAACTGCGTAAGGCTTTCGCCTTTCAGGGGGTTATTGCGGTCATATTCCTCAATCTGCAGCAGCAGCTCTGCCCTCTCGGGACTTTCCCTCCAGCACCGGGCAAAGTCATCAGGAGTCCTAGGGACCGACTTTTCAAAATCGGCTCTGCTGATGCGTTCGTCTGGGCTGCACATGGATGTAAGGAAGTCGGCCGTGGTCTGTGACTCTGGGCAATGAAATCCGAGACGCTCAAAGTATGATTGCGCTTGACTTGCCTTGCCAAAGTATATTTGCCGGCCCTCATACAGTACAGTGACCTTGTCGAATAGCTAAAGAAAGGCCATTTGCATCAGCCCACTGTGCGTTCGGTAGCTGTGACGACTTACCTCATAAGCGGCCTGAGGTGCCTGATAGATTGCCACGCAGGCAGAGGTACCGAAGACGTCACATTGAGTACGTAGTGTTCGACAGAACTCAACAGCATTAGCTGAGTCTAGGCCCCTGGTAGAATTATCCCAGCACTGAAGAGGGGCATAGCCTGAACGTGTCTTAGCCGGAAGTCTTTTAGGGACGTATAGTGGAGCATACTAAGGGCAGCTTCAGCGATTGTGACACGCTTCTTTTCACCTCCTGAAACTCCTCTCACGAAGTCATTACCGACAGGGGTGTTAATCGTGTGGCTGATGCCGAACATGGCCATAATAACGTCCCGAAGGTGCTCGGCATAGCGTTCACGAGAGACTCCGCCAGGTATTACGCGAGGAGCGCGCGCTAAGGCAGCAAAGTAGAGCGTTTTACCCACGGGCAGCATAGGGAAATGTGCGTCTACTTCTGCGGTGTAGATGGCTTCCCCTCGGAAGGTGGCCTGCATTTCCTTTGGTGTAATCCCCTGGTAGTTCAGATAGGAGGCCGGATCTACCGTGAAGCCGTAGGTGTCTCCTGCAATGGTTTTGAGAAGTGTAGAGCAGCCGGACCTGAAGTACATTAGTTACAGTCATCGCCAAAACACCACTCGACCAGAGTCACGCACCCAGGAGGGCCGAGGACGCATAACTGTTCCCCAGGGAGTATGATGCCGTCGAGATTGCGGAGGATGTCAATCCTTTTTGACCCTCTCCCAAACAATGCGGGCAACTTCAACAAGGAGTTCCCAACGCTTGACTGAAAGTCCGTTGGCAAGCCGTGGCCCCAAACGTTCAAGTTTTTGAATGCAACCCCGGCAACCCAGGGTTGAACTCCATTCTGAGCGTTGTACCTGACATTGTAGAACGCCTTGGCCCAATCTTTGGCCCTAAAATTTGGGCTCTTCGGATCCAGGTGCTCGCTTTCCGAGGCAAACGGTGACTGGTGATGAGACCGAGCAGACTGGGTTGTAAACGTTTTAGCCAGATTCAGAATTTCTTCATCATGTTCGTTCTCTCTGTTGACAGGATCGCTATCTGAGCTAGGGCTGGAATTCTGAATGGGGTCTTCCAATGATTTCTCCATTCCGTTTGGCTCCGCCTGCTGGGCAGTCACGCCCAGGGGTCTGGACATGATAGAGTTGGGTGCACGACTCTCCTTGCCCAAAGCTTGACTGTTCGTCGTCGTCGAAGGCTCCCTGGTCGGTGAATATGCAAAATCAGCTTCTTGAATCTCAATGGTTGGCAAGCTGAACTTTTCGTTTGATAAGGACTTGCCTGCAGCAACGGCGAAGAGCTAGCTCTCTACACAGTACGTCCTCGACATGTGGCAGATATATGTTCTCGTCACGTCCAAATCCCAACCAGCGGGTCAATGCGTCCCCACTGCATAGTCTACATGGGAAGAATCGCAAAATGACAAAAGCTACTCCATAAGAAGACGAGGACGATTACTCAACGCCCGCGGACGCCGCGTCGTCCTGACTCCGGAGGAACCATTCTCGCCAAGTCCAGAATTCTGCTTTGAAGGATGGCCAAGTACACAATATGCCTCTAGCGCCTCTAGCTGTCCAGCTGCACAGTGACCAGTAGTGGACTGAGCAAAATGATGGTGAGAAACCCTTTCTCTTGCGTGGGCCAGTCATAAGGCAACGTCATCTCTGCCAAGCTGCCTCTGGATTTATTATACCTTGGCTTCGTGTTTCGCATTCTTTCCGGGCTCCGGGAAGGCTGAGGGCACTGAGGCCGATGCTTTGAGGCTCGCGAGCTCTGTGGTTGTTCGGGGTTTACTAGGGCGGAATCCGCGGGCTCCGCGGGCTTCTGAAAGTCCGAGAGTGCAGGTTCTCTCCGTCACGATCTGTACACTCTCCAATCCACCAACAAGAACATCGTGAATGCATACCCCCCAAAAAAGCTTCGGCAATAGCTCTGGAACTCCAGGAAGACACTCTGAGTGGGTCAGTTTCGAACCGCGTTCCGAGTGCCCCGATGCATATCCTCGCTTCACGGAATCGACCATTTTCCCGTTAATGTATCGAGATGCGCATCGCGCTAAGTCACAGTAATAACCGATTGCGTGCTCAGTATGAAGCTTGCTGTATGTCCAGCTTCATCTCTCGTATAGATAAAAGCTCATCTGGTCCCATAGTGTTTGAGATGCAAACGCAAGAAGGTGCCAAAGCCTGCGCTCATCATGACCTCCGGATCAGCTGAGTAGTCAGGTAGATCAAATGTGACAAGGGCGATCCTATTTGCCATCAATGTATTACCGCCAGCACTGAATGTGTATATGCCCAACGCCAGAAAAGACCGCGATTGTCACAGTGTGTTATTCCTTTCAAGCCCATGCTGAGTATGACGACTGATGATGACACTTCTAGGAAGCAGGATGTTCGAGAGTTGAGTAGAAGAATCGAGTCCCTTGAGCAACATCTTCACGGTGCAGAATCTCAGACTCCTCCCTCCGCTCATGCTACGTGCATATCCGCCGACACAACAGCTGATGCCCCGACGACTTCCTCCCCCTCTGACGCAGTGGCAAGAGAAACGGGAAAAGAGTGTGAGTGGCAGAACATAAACTTCTTGATCCCTCTCTAAGGCCAAGAAGCATGGATCTACCGTCTGGCCAGCGACACCAGACAGAGATTTGAGGAAGTAAACACGCACCATCATAGCACACCTGTCGATACACCCGAGTCGTCGAGCGTAGATGATGCCATTGTTGGCCTCAAAGAAGCCCTAAGTGACTTGGAAAAAGTCAGGCTCCAGCCTGATGAGGGTGCTCCGCGAGCTCCTGACCTGGTTCTCACGCCAGAGGAATCAAAGAGATGTGTCAAAGGCACGTTGATGTCTTCATTCTAGTACCATGTACTGACTGCTGTCACAGTCTTCAGAGAGATGATAAACACAATGTGGATACCGGACCTATTACCTGAGATGTTAATCTCTAGCTTGGACCTGGACCTGCTCGAAGTTCTTCCTGATCTGCTCAACTCGCCCTACGTCAGCGTGGATCCTGCAATGCGGGTTGTCTATTACAATGCGCTTTTCTTCGGCTTTCACAGACTGCGTGGGCCAGGGAACAAATTCTCGAAGCTGGCATACTTCAAGGTTTTGGAAGCAGTGCCGGAATGGTTGAGCAAGGCTAGTGGCACAGAACTAGACGCACTTTGTGCTACTGTTACGGTCCGTGTTCGTTCGATCAAAGGTACCCTCTGTCCAGGCTAACCCCTCGAAACCCCAGTCATGGATCGCAGTGAACAACTTCGACTATCAGCTCTCCTGGAAGTTTCACTGCCGAGCCTGCCATTTCATCAAACAGAAAGGCGTAGACAGACTTGATGCCTTCCCCAGCCGCTCCAATGAGGAGGAGGAAAGGCGGCAGAGCCTCCGTCACTTATACTGGTTCGTCCTTCCTACGGATCTGCTCTTCCGCCTGTTTTATGGCAAACCTGCGTCCCTTCACTGGAAGATCGGCAAAGTCTTACCTCCATCACTGTTCACCACGAAGAGCATGAATCCGTCCGCAGCCCAAACAACGGTTGTTGTCATATGGATTCGGTACGCGACCATGACGGCTGGGATTTTCGATGTCTTGGACGAGTGTCCGGACGGGCACTACGGTGCTGATATCCTCCGCCAGGTGGACGCGTACTGTTCGCAACTGGAGGCCCTAGTCGCAGAATGGAATCTTGTAAGTGCATGTTCTCTTGTTTCCTATGCGCTGCATGTGTCCGCACCGAACCGACAACTGCGCGTGCTTTTCTTCACCTCGCCGCTAACACGAATCAACCCAGATGGATCTCATGAAGTCCACAAACACCTCCACACCCCTCTCCTGGCTGTACGGCGACCACCTCATGGTCGTCTACGCCAGCATCGTCAGCATCCGCCGCCTGACGCGCAACCCGCACTCCTCGGTCCCCCTCGTCGACACCACCACTCTCCGGGCCGCCCGCACCGTCATCTCCATCATTCTGCACTTCAACCCAACCGCCGCTCCACCCGCTCCAGATGAGAATTACTTCCTCTTCTTCCACTTCATCACGCTGTATCCTTTCTGCGCCGTCTTCACTCTCTACGAGCACGTGCTGGCGTCCGCGGAGCCGGACGACTGCGAGGAAGACCTCAGAGCATTGGAGAGTGTCGGCGAGGTCATGAGCCGGGCGTGCGAAGCCAACGCGGATTTTGGACCCTTGGCGAACATTGTCAAGGCGTTGAATCGTGTGTCGAGGGCTATGCAGGAGGTGAAGAGGAATAGGAGGGCACAGGCGCAGAAGCCAACAGCGGGGCCAACAGACGGTCACCTCGGTGTGAATACTCCTCGAACCGGGCACTCGGACGTGACTACCGCCACCTCACTGTCGACGGAACAACACCTAGCAGACGCGTTCAGCAGGTCCAACAGCGCCCCTGAACACCAAATTCCAGCACCCGAGATCTCAGTCCCTGCGCCATCGAACGCCTTCCCCTCACCAGCCCCTTCACTTCTTCCCCCGCCCTACCAACAACCTCCTCTCCCTTTCTCCCCCACATCATTGGCCCAACTCCCCCAACAACCGCTCGACTTCGTCCGCGCACTGGAAAACGACTTCATGGGCCGAAGCTGGCACGAAGAGTGGTGGGAATGGGATTTCGACCTGGGCATTGACGGCAGTAATGGCGCTACTGGTACTGGGACTGGTACGCTCGGTGGGAATGAAGATAGGTAGTGTGTGTGGGATGGAGGGGTCTGAGCGAGTGAGGAGAAGAGAAATAGCAATGGATCCACATTGACAGAGAGCATAGCTCGCTCCCTTTTGCATACAAATAAGTAGAATAAAAAGTAAAGAGAAGGGCCGGATAGACTTCAAGATACCGCCCTTTATATCCTACAATATCTTCAGAAGAGTACAACTGCCCCTCCACGTTGGGAGATGGCACTAAACGACCGGTCCAGAGCTCGAATGCCACATTGTCTACGGCGTGACCGGCTGGGACCAAAAGGCACAAAGTGGTGACGGAAATCTCGTAGTGAGCGCTGTATCTGAATCTGCACAGCCCAACCAAATCAGAAGCGCGGAAAGGGATCAATGCCCCAGTCCCCTACGCTGACGGACCAATCCAGCCATCCAAGATCCAGAATTCCAAAACATAGGTATAAAAAAACCTCTGAACGAACTAGCCCGCCCATCAAGACCCCGTCCAACGCCAGGCAAACTGAAATACGGAGAATGCACTGTCCAGATGCCAGAATCTCTAACAACGCAGCAATATTGGCCCCATATACATGAAAATTCCCCAATCCAGCAATCAGTCTCGTTCTTGAACGTTTTCACAGCATCTTCCTTCCCGTTCCCCTCCTACCCTTCGACTTATACGAACCCACACCCGCCCCTCCCCCAAGGCTCATGAAATCCAGCGCACCATCCTCAACGTTACTAGCAGCCGCTCCAAGGCCGGTATTGAAAAAAGAGTCCTTGCCCAGACTTATGATCTTCACTGTATTGCCAAATGCCACAGCCACGCTCCTACTTCCCACTCTAGAGATGGGTCCCGGGCTGGCAACAAAGAGCTGCTGTTGGCTAAGCGTCAAATCGGCGGCGTCCTCCTGAGAAAGGCTCAAGTCGGGCAATAGGGGGCGGGAGCGAAACCTTCCTGAAGAGGAAAGCGTCCAAGCTTCCCAACTGTCGAAATCCGTTCCCGAGACGTCGGAAGTGTGTCGAGCTGTGAAGGCAGAACGCACGGCTGAGAGGTTTGTAGCGGGTTTGGCTTTTGCTTTGGCTTTGAAGGGTCGGAGATTACTGGCAGATGCCAGTCCCGCAGCCTCAGCATTCGAAAGGTCGCCATCGGCATCGGAATCTGTGGGAGACGGGCTGGTTGCCGGAGCGCATCTTCGAATACCCACTACACTGAGTATACTAGTCGACTCCCATACACCAGCAGAATCAACACAGTGTATCGTCTCTTTGGCGTGTTGCAGACCTCGGCAGCCGTGTTGCGTGCTATCTGATGGCTTACCCAAGCATATCCGTGACTCACCACTCTCGGCGGAGCAAAAGGTGTGCATGATCATGCGATGCGTCTCATGCTCGGTGTATGCGAAGGACAGAGTAGTCACCGCTGGAGCTCCACATGCGCAGGGTCTGCGAGATGAGTGCATGACTCTGAACGTGCCAGCCTTGACGATACCAATCTTGTGGGAGTGCACGATGGCTCGGCTACTAAAATCGAAAATCTCAACCTCTCCTGCTCGAATGGCAAATATGAGCCCGATAGAAGGGCTCGCATAGACGCTCTTGATTTTTGAGGGGTTGCTACCTGGCGGCGGTCCAGGGTCCAATCCTGCAACGACCTCGGGTGTCCAGTCCTTTGTACCTTCTAATGGCATGATGTATACCTCCCCTGGTTTGCTGACATAAACCACGCTGTTGCTCCCCTTGGCGGAGGTGTACAATGCGGCGGACAAGATATGGGAGGAGCACCACTGCATTGCTCGAGTTTTCCCCGAGCTTGCGTCGACAACGGTGAGGTGCCCATCCGATGTGACGAGCACGAGACTGAGCCTATCATGCTCCCCTCCGCTCTGTGTACAGATGAAGGAGCATAGAAGGGGAATCTGCCCTCGAAGCTCGATGGCTGCAAACAGAATAAAGCAGGCCCCGGCGATGCTCCAGAAACCAATCTGACCGCCTTCAGCGACTAGTGCGAGGACGCTTCCTCCATCATCTATGGTGCACGCCACAACGGGCCACAGCTTCGGCTTCATTGCGGCAGTTCGAAGAATAGTGTTGGTGTAACCATTGCTCCTCCTATTTTGCCATATTGAGGTGGAACGATCGAGACTGACGCTGACCAGGTGGCCCTTGGGGCCTGAAGTGAGGGCTACGATATCCAAATTCTGTGGAACAGGCAGTGTTCTGATAGAGAAGTCGGCATTCTCCTCTTCATTCCCTCCGGAGGTGTCCTCATGGGGAAACCCGTCCCAGAGGAGATAATTCATTAGTAACGTTACCCCAGCGATCACAAATACGACGAGGAGGGCCGCTGGAAACGCGTGTTGATGTGTGAATCGTCGCACATGCTCAATAAGCGAGGTTGACTGGGGGGGAGTGTCTCGTCCTTGCGCACCTTCCAGAACTACAAGAAGTGGATCGTGTACACGAGCAATGAAGCTATGTGCGTTCGGCTTGATGAACCCAAAGAGTTCTTTAGCAGTATTATGATCCTGGATCCTGAACCATTCAGCCGGTGCTCTGGCTTGGTTGATAGGGGTTGCATTCCGAAAAGAGGATGGCTGCGGTTTTGTCGTGCGCGCGAGTAGGGCACGGGCAAGCTTTCGAGGGGACAATTCGCGGGTATCTCTGTCGAAGAAGTGCCAGTTTACGGCCAAGATCATAGACAAGATGGCGGCCGAACCAGCAAAGCGCGTGCTCACTGGCAAATTCCCTTGTCTAAGCGCGGTAAGCCAAGATTGCGGTCCCTGACGTCCACTTTTCGACGCTGGACTCGGATCCACCCGTTCTAAGGAATCCTGGAGCTCCATGCGCTGTACATCGACGCTTAGGACAGCGACGAAAAACGTGAGATGGAAAACGAAGTCCAAGACCAAGGTGACGGCGGCAAATACGCAAAAGTCGGATACCAAAGGGGTTACGATTCTGGAGAGGAGGTAGATGAGGACGAGATTCTGGCCAGCCACGGCGAGCGAAAGATGCCCTACTTCTCCGAGCGCATTCCCGATGCGCTGAGGCGGGGGCATTTCCGGTGGGGTTTCAAGTACTACATTAATGAGGCGAAAGCTGTCAAGCGGTCAATTATGATGCGCGACTAGCTCGAGCAACAGAGTGGACTCACATATTACCTAGTCCGAAGCAGAATACAACGCCCGGGAACCAAGGACGGGGTATGCGGGCTAAATCAATGCCGAGATAGGTACAAATGGTAAAGCTGGCAATTACACAGATGATCATCTAGACAGTGAAGTCAGCGCTGCAAAGTCCTAGGCATGATGGCACTGCCTGACCTTTGCGCAAATGGTGAGCAGCAAGCCCGACTTGCTTTTGACTGCTCGGAGCTGCATCATCCTCCAGATGACGTAGACGGCTACCACGAAGTAGGAGCCCCCAAGCAGGAGGTCGTCGCTCAAAGTCATCGGTTTGAAACGGAACTCATACAGCCGACTTCGGTGCACTTGGCCATCCTTGGGGAAGATTGACCATCCTGGAGTGAGATTCTGCGCCAGCTGCCTTGATCGTGATTCCCATGCGTAACCGAGCGTCGAGCCGGTTCGGTGGAAAAGGGTTATAACCAGCGCATCGGCTGCCCGCAGCCTCTTGTTAGCGAATACTTTTCCTGCGAAAACGGTACTCGGGCGGAGAGTGAGGTTGACTGCAGTCTGATGAGTTGATCGGGAATTGATGGTTGCAAGAGGGTCCGGGTCCTTCTCCATCGCAGGCAAAGAGCAGTTCCAGTACATGAGTGGGGAGTGAAATGCCCAATCAGCGCCCCTAGAGTGGGAACATGCAGAGTACTCTGCCACAGTATTGGAGAGGTCCCCGTCTGGATTGTCGAAGCCATGGCTGATCAAAACGTTTTGGACACGCAGAGCTTCACGAAGCACTCGTCGGTCGATGGCTTTCATGTAGTCGCCGTGCACCCAGACCTGGCGTACTTCGACATCGACGGGTTGATCCACATCCGCGACCTCTGTGGTGGAAGTCCAGACATGCTTAGGTAGGTTCCGAAGGCCCGCAGCGGCGGGGCTGTCTGTTTGGAAGACGGCAGGATAGCACAGTAGTATGGAAACAACAACGATTAAGAGTATGGATAGAAGCCAATGCTGGGCAGTGGCCGTTCCATGGGCCAGAAAGGCACGGCGGAGGGGATGGGAAGGTGAAAGCCGGGGTGGCTCAGTTGTCCTGCGAGATGCGGGTGAGCAAGAGTAAAGAGGGCGTGTGCAGTAGGGCAAAGCCTTACCCTCGAAACGGATAGAGGATGTACCAGATCATTCGGCGTGCGATGACCTGGGCCGCGGCATTGCCTCGTATGGTGGTGGGGGTTCTTCAAGTTCGGTCAGTGGAGGGACGGTGACTGGCGCGGGATGGGGATGCGAGGAGGTTCGGCGGCCGGTTCATCTGTCTATCGGGAGGCGCAAGCTGCGGTCGAACACAGCTGGGGGCGTGGAGCTGTGATGTTGGGGGAGCGGTGGGATGGGGTGCTGTAGACGCCATCTGATCTATCGCGGTTCTGTTCCTGTTTCGAGATGCCGGCGCCAAGGCCATCTGGTTTCGTCGCCTTCGCGAGCGCCATCTCCTAGACTAGAGAATCTAGAAAAAGTGAAGTATTCATCCGTGTGAGAAAGGTGCGCGAGAAGGGCAAAGCAATCGCAAGGAAGAGCAGCTGCGGGCGCTCAAGGTGGGTGCGGGTTTCTGCAGCATGGCCTGATCAGCACAATCATCTAGATGCCCAGATGACTTTAAGGTAATATATATATCTATGAGGGATGCATCCATCGTAGCGCGCATATCTACTATGTACACAGTCTACATAGTACTCACGAACTGGACATCAACCTTGGGAGAGGGAGTAGCCTGTCATTTCTCTGGACTCCCGCTTGGATTGATTCTATGTTCGATATTGCCGTGGCAGAGCAGGTACACGCTTTCCAGAGCGTCTGGAGTAGATTATCCAACTTCTCAAAGTGCCCAACGCAGAGACAGGACGTCGGACTTCCCCTTCGACGGGCACGCGGCTTCAACTCCCTGTGCTTCCTGCCGTCGAATGACCAGGGCACCAATGCCCGACGACGGATGGCAAGCCAAGGAGGCATCCAGAGGCCGCAGGATGGGAGTCTTGAACCTAGATGGTTGCCAACGATAACAACACGAAAGCGGCTATACCATCTCTCATGTACCCTCCATCTCCGCGTCACTATCCTCATCGCCATCCTCCTCTTGCTCACCCTCCGTATCCTCCCATTCTTCCTCCTCTTCACCTGCTGACGGCCCCAGAGTACCGTTGAGATCTTTTAGTAGTTCTTCGCAGTGCTCTTTAAGTCGCTCGTCCTCGTACTCCATCATAGCATACGTCTTTAAGCAGTTTTCCAACCAGTCTCGACTCGCCCGGAGTAACGGCCGCACAGTTTCTGTTTTCCCTGCCTCCTTTTGCTTCTCTGCGAGCAGGAACAGACACCAGCCGCCCAGATACCATGCCTCGACACTGCTATCATTCTCTCCAATGAGCCTCTCCAAGACCTCTATCGCTTCGTCCTCCATTTTGGCTTCCATCAGAAGGCGTGACAAGCTAATGCGCGTGGGGAAGTCGGGGACCGTGGGATCGTCGACATCAAGATCCTTCCATAAGCTCATACTTCTACTCAGGGCTGCCCTGGCATCCTCCACCCTCTCCTGCGATAACCGTATCGACGCCAATGTCTGCAATGGCTCTGGGCTGTTGGGCGCAACCAGCAAAGCTTCTGTGACAGCCGCTTCACACCGCGCCTCCGCATCCTCTTCCCATGACAGGTCTGTCATATATACTTCCGCTATGCCACAGAGAGCTTTTGCAATCTTTTGCTTCTTCTCGTAAATTTCTTCCTCCACCTCTGGCCTCTTGGGCTTATTCTCCAACTCTCCAGTCTCCCTTTTCAAAACCTCAATGCCCTTCTCGAACCACCGCACACTCTCAGCACCGCCCTCCTCGTTCAGCTGCGCAAGCCAAAGGAACTTCTCCGCGCCATCGTTGATGCCATCCCCATCTAGCGCGATTGCCGCACTGAATGCTTCTCGTGCAGACTCGGGATCGCCTAGTTCGACATATATCTCTCCAATCAAGTTCAAGGCTGGCAGCGCAGACAACGTTGGTTCGGAAGTCGGCTGCAGCAGTCCCAACGCACGCTTCGCATGTACGAGTGCCTCTTCGGGTTGTGACGTCTGTAGGAAAGTGGCGGCTTGTATGAGGAGGGACTCGGCGGAGGCCTTGGGTTTCTTCGGTTTCCCGTTCGCGGAGGCACTATTTGCGCCGCCCTTTTTCGATTTCGAGGCACGGTCCTGAGGCTTTGTTTTCGCCATGTCTTAAATAATGAGCCGTGATATGTAGTGAGGAAAAAGCTCTAGTTGATGTACTGGTCGAGCTCGAGATCTTGGGTTGATCAATCATCCCAAAATTATTTCCAGATAGGTGGCCCGTGCTCGCGGGGTTCGGTCGTGTTCCCCCCGCGGTCAATACATCTTTGGCGTGGGCATCAATCCCATATCTGGGCCTACGAGACACCTCGTACAATGGGTATCGAGGAGCAGAAAGAGGAGAGGGAGATCCTCGAGTCCATCTATCCCGATGAGATCACAGGTTTGTTCCGCATGCTGCCTGGTACACATCATGGCTGAGCATGGCTCCGCAGATGTTTCCGAGACGGAATTCCGGATATCGATACAGCTCGATGTGAACGTTGAAGACGTCGAGGAAGAGCCGCGTATGTTACTGAGAGCCAATAATCTACAGGACGGTTGCTGAAACGCACGAGCAATCATAATACTCAATGTCCAATATCCTCCCAGCTACCCAGATGAAGCGCCCCGGCTCGACATCATGGCGCCTCCGAATGCGCCCAAATACCCCTACCTCGACATTCAAGAAGATAAGGCGCGTCTTCTCTCCTCGCTCGATGACACCATCGCCGAAAATCTGGGAATGGCCATGATATTTACGCTTGTATCCACCCTGAAAGACGGCGCCGAGCTGCTCATCGTCGAGCGCGCAAACGCAAAGCAAGCCTTGAAGGAGATGGAAGCGCAAAAGGAGGAAGAGGAGGAGAATCGCAAGTTCCAGGGCGAAGCCGTCACACGCGAGAGTTTCTTGGCATGGAGAGAAAGGTTTCGGAAGGAGATGGCGGAGGAGGAGCAGAGAAGACAGGAAGAGAAGGAGGCAGATGACAAGAAGAAGAAAGTGAAGGAGGAGAAGAGGCTAACAGGAAAGGAGCTGTGGCAGCAAGGATTGGTGGGCAAGGTCGATGAAGACGAAGAGGGACGGGACGGCTTGGAGGGTATGGAGAAGCTGAAAATCGAGGCAGCTTCATAGCATAATGACTGGAAGGCCATTATAATATACCCAATGGATCAACAGGATTCTCCACGAAGCATCGTAGCAAGGACATTCAAGATGGGGATATTATTCTGATCGGACGATGTCTGCGACCACGGACAATCTTCTGTCCTTCCTTGAGCGCTAATTCGGTCTCCTTGTCCACAATCTCCAGCATCTTCTGTGCTATGGCTTTGTCCTTCTTCAGATGCATTTCATGCTGTTTGGTATTGTCGTTATATGCCTGTTCAAACACACCGACCCATGTGTCTTCTTCAGCCTCTGGATCGTCTCGGAAGCCCAGCTCCTGCTGCAGTATCTCATCCCATTTATCTTCCTGCGTGGCTATCGGGATCCAGTAGTTGCTGATAAGAACCTTCCTGTCGAACAACAGGTTCCGCGTATCCAGCTTTTGCCGCAGCACTCTACTTAAACTAGCAGGCTGAGGCTTCGTGAGTCGCAGGAATGGTATACCGTTTGCTGAGCATAGTATTGGAACGTGGCGAGGCCCACTGACAACCTGACGTGGGCGAACGCGTAGTACGGCATTCTCGGGCGGTAGGCAGGCAAGCTCTTTTTTCGCCGGGGGCGGTGGAGTTGGATGTCTCGGTGGAGGAGGACGTTTGAGTCCAGGCGTTAGATTGGATATAACAGAGGTCAGGAAACTGGCACTGGAGGTATCCCCGGCGCTGGCTGCATCCAGATGGTCGAGAATCTTAGTTTGTTAGTCGGCATCTCAACAAGCCAATTCCGCAACGCACCTCATAACCAGCACGAAAGGTTAGACCGAGCTGTCGCGCACTTGCTATCTTGCGGTTTCTGCGGAATTTCTGCCGGACTGCGTTCCGTAAGGAGCTACGATCCTCATCCGGGAGTGGTGCTGAAGTGCATCGTGAAAGCAGCGCTCGGTAAAGAGCGATCGCTGAAGGTTCAGAAGAAGTTAAATTAGGACGGTACGTGTTTTACTGACCTGCTACGCGATGCGGCGTTGAGCTCTTCGGGAGGAGAAAGCGTGGCATGCATGGGTTGATGGCGTGCAGTTCATGAAGGAGGACGATTCGAGATATTTAGATGGCCGATGCGAGCGAACAGATGTTGGTCACGTGTTTCACCCAACTCCAACTCCAACGGCTCAGCCCAGCCCCACAGACATGAGTGAACGATTTGGAAGTCGATTCGACCGACCAATGCAAGAAGCTTCATAGTTGTGAAGACTTGAATCTCTAATGTTCTATTGCTACAATAATCAACACCAACACTGTAACTCCCATAGTAATGCATCACATAAATCATAAAGGTTTCGCTCCATCACACATGCTCATCCTCCTGCCCTCGAAAGCCATAACTGCCTTATAACGAGATCGACCCAGGGATCTAACTTTAATATGTCGAGCCTTCCGGTGGCTGAGGGAGCTTCTTGTTCGCGGAATGGGCCATATATCTAATACTGGGTCAGCTCTTAGCTTTTGAAAAATCGTACAGTGAACATACCGTCGAAGTTCTATCAATATAGTCTCCATCGTGAATTCGCGCTTCCACTGCGCAAGGCACGGCAACTTTGTCGGGTCGACCTAATTGCGTTGCCGTCAGTGACCTTTACCCAACAAAATCGGTGCCCGGTGCCACGCCATACCTTTCCATTCCTTTGATCCACGCACGGGAGATTGATCTTGGAGGTGAAGGAGATCTCCGGAGGAACATCTGGGTAATTGGGGCCGCAGTGGATCTTCACGCTGTAGATGCGGTTCTCATGAACGCTCTGTTCCGGTGAGTACCATTCTATTCACCGTTCCGCAATGTTGCATACATGGGGAGGTCCAAGTATGGTGCCGTTCCAGTCCGACATCAACAGATCGTCTCCATTTTCAAGCCCGTATGAGCATGCCTCTGACACAATCAGCCGTACATTCGTTTAGCATGTCGACCCAGGGCGGCCTCTACCTGCTCCAAGGCCCTTCTCGCCTTTTTCGAGCTCTTCCAGCAGTCTGAAGTTTCGCGGGACCTTCGCTCCCATGGTTATGCGTTCCAACCGTCTTCCGTGGTATGAGTGGGGTGTGAATAGTGCCCCACTACCGCCGAGGACGAGATCGAGGCTGCCGGCGATGGGGCTCTGAGAGAAGAACTATGGGATTAACTTTTAAAGGGGATGACAACCAAATTCTGTTGTTCTCACTGGGGCTGAGAAGGAGGCTGTGACGCGCAAGAGGTCTCGAAGTGGTGAACTGACAGCCTAGTTGTACGCCTTCCAGGGTTTGGTGATCATCGATACCGGAGAATTATTCTGCCGGAGCCGACATGTTACATGGCCAGCGACAACTGCATGGTTGCTCAACGATCCGACGTGAGAATTGGAACGCTGACGTTGAACTCAAAGGCTTTGGGAGACGTACAGGTGGCTTTTGAAAGAAGTCCAAATGCGCCGGCCACCGCCTTCAGCATGACAGCACAGATTCTGGCCTCCGAGCTAGGGAACCTCATACAGGATTCGAAGCGCAAGAACTCTGAACTTCGAACTGCCGCAGAAAAGGCCCTCCAGGATCTGAAATGTCTTCGAGTAACTTCCGAGGCGCAGCTTGCGGCTGGTATGCGGCTTTCATGATTTGGCCATGGATGATGGGCTGACTTTGCGAGAGACCTGTCCCGACGTCCCCACTTTATATCCCCCTTTCTCATTGCCTGTGGTACTCAAAATGCCAAACTCGCGTCTACGGCTGTTTCCTGTCTTCAAAGGCTTAGTGTCTCTCGCGCCTTACCGAGGGAACGATTGAGTGAGGTGTTGACGGCATTAAGAGACTGTGTCTCCTTGAGTATGGTAGCGTGTCCGTCATCATCTCCACATCTAACTGGGAGTAGGCCATGATATCCAGCTCAAAATACTACAATCTCTGCCGTCTCTATTGCAACACTACCCTACAGAAATACGAGGAAGCCCTCTTTCGACTGTCCTGCAGATATGCTCTGCTCTACAAAACGTGAAGAACTTCGCTGTCAGTAACACGGCAGCCGCAACACTTCAACAGCTTGTCATATCTGTCTATGAGAGAGTTGTTTACGAAGACGGTGGGTTTCTGCGGTTAGCCATAGCAAACGTCGTCTAACAAACGAGGACAGAAAGAGCGCTGGAAATCCCCCCTACTGCTGAAGTCTCTGGTGATGAGGGTCCTATCCCGGTCAGAAGCGCAGCTGAGGATGCTTACAAGGTCGGCTTCGGGTCGCATCCATTAGAAAGAGGCTAATTGTAGGGCAGGTATTCAACGACCTTAGTCTTCTTGCGAACGGCGAGAACCCAGTTCATATTCGATTCTCCACGTTTCCGCAGACATCGACTCTCGAGCTCATTGAAGCTATCTTGTCCAACTATGGGAGAGTTGTGAAATCTCATCCGGAGCAAATCCACATTCTGCGTTCATTGCTAATGCCCATGATCATCCGCTCATTGTCTGAGCGATCTGCTTTTCCAATCACCTTACGTATCGTCCGGATCTTCATTGTCATTCTTGGAGACCATCTGTCCACCATGCCATCGGAATGCGAGATTGCTCTTGGCCTACTCAACCACATGCTTGATCCTGAGGCCTCTCCAGTGTGGAAGCGCGCCCTTTGCCTGGAGGTCTTCCGGGGTATCTACTCAGATACACGCCTGGTGCTGTCCATCTACAGCCGGTTTGATGAAAAGGAAGGCAAGCGGCGCATTATTGGGGATAACCTCGCGGCATTCGTACGGCTTGCTACTGAAAAGCCCGCCGTCATTGGGCTCGGTCAGCATTCCACAGCACCGTTAAGCAGCATCGAGGTTAAAGACTCCGCATCAGAACAAGCAGTGGCTGAAGCTGGTGCACTTGCTGGTGTGATTGGAGGGCCAGTGTCCGAATCCAATGCCAATAATCATCCGATTGGCATCAGTTCTCAGTGGAGCTCACTCAAGGTGGCTTGTATCGAGCATCTGGACAAGACTGAGCCACCCGTCCTACCTGAGACCTACATCTACAGTCTAGTCTTGACCTGTATAACAAACGCCTCGGAAACTTTAGCCAAATTCGTCTTGCCATTAACAGTCCATCACGAAAGTAGGGGCAAAAGAAAAGGCAAGGGAGACGATGCCTCTGTGTCGCAATCAGAAACGGCATCTTCGGGGTCGATCAAACGAAGGCTTTCGAGGTCTCACTCCTTCCGTAAAAGGACGATCCCGGTCAACCCACTTGACCTTACGGTCCATCCCGCATATGATAATATGCAGACCACGTCAGCACTTGTTGGCGAGTGCTGGCCAGCGGTGCTTGCGACCTGCTCTACATTCCTGAATGCAACCCTTGATGATGAATACTACCGGGCGCTGGTTCGAGCAATACAGAAGTTCACCCAAGTGGCAGGCCTCATGAGACAGTCTACGCCACGCGATGCATTTCTGACGACGCTTGGAAAAGCGGCTGTTCCTGCCAATCTGTTGCTTGCTAACGTATCTTCTCCAAGACATCCAGTAGCGGAAAACTCGGGGTTGTTCTCGAACGCTAAAGGTCTCTTGAGCGTCGACAGTCTAGTCAGCCAGGCATCATCGATATCAATGGATAAGAATCGGCGTCCGTCCCATGAAGTGAGTCTGCCAACCTTAGGACCTCGAAATCTCATGTGTCTACGGGCATTACTCAACCTTGCCATTGCTCTTGGTCCTACGTTACAATCCGCATGGTCGATCGTTCTCGAGGCACTACAGGTGGCGGACCTAGTAATGTCTATATCGAGTAGTCAGAGCGCTACTCGTACGCCAGGGCTACAGGGGCGCTCTTTCGCTGATTTGGCACCGGAGAAAATTGAAGCAGAAGCGGCTGCTGTCCAAGCTGCTGCTCGGAGGCTGTTCGAGAGCAGCGTTGACTTTCCAAATGAGTCTTTTCTCGATATATTGCAAGCCCTATGTAGTCAACTCGATACATCAAGTCCATCAGCAAGCGGTCAGAGGACACCGACCACTTCAGCTCGCCCACAACTCTTGCATCAACGCCGAGTGGGTAGCGTTTCTGGAATATCGCTGAGCACAGACACAAATTCGAGGAACTCTGCATTCACCTTGAACAAGATTGGAGAACTCGCAGCTCTGAATGAAGGGCGAATGGCGCAATATGAGCCTTCGGAGAGTGGCTGGGGCATTTTCGTCGCTGCGCTCGTCAGATTTTGTCAAGATGATCGCAAGCAGGCGTCAGCACGCTTGCTCGCCGCTGAAATCCTCTCCCGAACCGTTGTAGATATGTCGGAGCATTCTACGACCGAGGAGAATCGAGACCACGTACAGGAAAGGATACTGTCCGCACTACGCACGCTCATCTCAGCGGTGATTCAGATGGAACATGATGATGCTTACGGTGATACAGGCAATCGGATCCATCAGATTGCATTGGATGCGCTCAGAAACGTGATCGAGAGATGTGGAGATTCGCTTGTTGCAGGATGGGATTCAGTGTTGGATAGCCTGTTGAGCGTCTTCAACCAGCACGCTCCAGAGGATAGCAAAGCCACTTATCAGGCTAATATCGGGGAGAATGAGTTGGCTCTTGCATCCACGAAGGTTATAACGAAATCACTTGCACGCTCTGCTTTCGCGTCACTGCAGCTGGTCTGCTCAGACTTTCTGTCCGCAGTTCCAGAGAAATCGCTTTCCACAATCCTGGAGCTTTTGCTCAAGTTCTGTCTTCAACAAGAGGATTTAAATATGTCACTTTCCGTAAGCTTCCCACAACAGCTTCATCATCATATGCTAATCGAGCAAGACCGTAACGTTCTTTTGGAACCTATCCGATTTTCTTCAATCCCGAAGCGATCTCTCCTTAATCCCCGACATGTTAGGAAGCGCCAAAAGTCACAAGGAAGTCACCCGCGTAGTCAAAGAACACTCTCAAGATGGGTCTACACATGCACTGTGGCTCCAAATTCTGCTGAATCTTTCCGCCGTCACTGCCGATGACCGTTCGGAACTACGGAACACGGCTATTCATACGATTCAACGGATTTTTGAGAGCCATGCCGAGCAACTCTCGCCATCCAGCTGGACCATATGTATGCGTACGGTGCCCTTCGCTATGGTAGAGACCAATCTGGCCATTCATATGGCAATTCGCAGGCAGGTTCGAGCGTCACCAGAGGAGATAACAGCCTGGAATGAAACCACAAAAAACCTCCTGAGTTCTGTTAGTACACTGACGGTGGCGTACATTGACAACGTCGATGACAAGGAAGTCCTCGGGGCAGCTTGGTCTGACCTCCTGGATTACTTCCGAGAATATTTCCGTTGCGGCTCCCACGCCTTAGGATATTCGGTCTTGACCACCATAACTTCGGTTCTGTCTAGTGCTCGGGCGAATGATCGTCTTGACTTCTCCGCACTTCACAAGACTGCAAGGGTCTGGGAAGAATATGTTGACCAACGTGACAGTCCTGCGTGGACATCTTGGTGTGAAGGCAATCAGGACGCTTTCCTGGCGTACGCAGAAGCTTTCAGATCTATCTACACTATCTCAACGACCCGATTGAACTCCGAACTTCCTTCCATGCTTTCTCATTTGCAAAAATGCGTCAGCGACTCGGAAGATGTGCCTTATACTTCAGACATCGACCATATGACCCCCTTGCAAAGTCGGGTCATTGAGTCCTTCTCCATCATAGACTGCGGAAGCAGTGAGGTGCGGGAGGCACTGATCAGAACTCTGAGCAACTTTACTACACTCCCGTACGTCTCTTCGGTCGAAAGACCGGCAAAGCGAGGCCCAACATTCGTTGCGTTGTCAAAGGCAGCTATGAACCTTCTACCCGCTATTACCGGGAAACATATCAAAGAACAGGGCATATATCCTACTGACGCATTCAAGATCGCTATGGACAGCCTGTGTATACCGATTGAGAAGAAGTACGTATGGCAGCAAGAAGGAAAGTCTCCAACGCTCTGGGAAAAGGCGACTACGACGGCCCTGGACATACTGGGCGTTGGCTTGGAGAACATAAGATTTAACGAACGAGAAGCCGAACAAACAAAGAAGCTTTGGGCGGACACTCTCTACAAGATTGCTCGCAGAATCATCGGGGTGCGGGATGACGTCTTTGATCCCCTCCCGTGGGTAGAAAGAGACGAGGCCTCTGACATGAAATCGTTCAGATCGATCCGAGAAATGCTTACGGAAGCTCTGGGCTGGTCTTGCGTTCCGGATACGACACGGCGTATGTACGCATTGGATCTGTTCCGAACATCCTTGATTCATCTCCCTAACCCTGACGAAATCGAAAATCGCAAGCTCTCCAAGACGCCGCTACAGGGCTTATACGAGATACGTTTCGGTCAGACTAAAGACCTAGATATGATACCCCGGATGGACATTGCCTATGTTTGCTTCTCAGAGCTCCTGGCGCTGGTTTCGGCGCAAGGCGCCTCTCCGGACCGGGTCAGGCTTGCTAAAGCAGCGGCGCCATACCTTATTCTACGGGCAGCCCTTCCGCTAAGGGCATATATTGCTGATCGCCCACTTCGGGGACGTATGCCCACTCCCGACTTTCAGCAACGTGAATTGCTCTTCACCTTGAAGGCGTTGGGGGAGCTGAAGAGTGAGCCCCAGGCTATTCCGGACGTGCCAGGAGCTACCTCTACGTATCGGAAGCATTTGCATCGGTTGTATCCTCTGCTGCTCAAGGCACTCAAGGTCGCTAAGAATGATGCAAAGGTATTTGGCGAGCTGACAAGCTTGATGGAGAAGGTTGGGGATGAATTCGGCATTGAAGGGGATGATTAGGGGGGATATCACAGGTCATTCCACGGCTGTGACGAAGGATGAAGTAAAAATAATATGCATTTTCCAAGGTGGCATTAACCAAAAATTTTCCAAGATTCCTCAATTCCCACTCTAACTTTTCTTTACCAACTTCCTGCCTCCGGCTCATCCAATTCGTCGCTTTGTGCTGATCCCAATGCAGTCCCTACACGCAACAGGCGGAAGCCACAACGTTAGGAAGCGGATATGGTTCATCTCCAGCTTAGGTATGGCGCGATACAGGTCCGCACACCTATTGTCGGAGTTAGAGGTTTAACCAGTCGATCAAGAGAAGGAAGTTAAGATATCGTTCCTATAGGGAGAGGACATACTTGGGGGGTAGGCTTGGGGCACTGGACACCTTCGGCGAGCCACTTCTCATAGCAGGCTTCGGCGGCCTTGTTCTTGCAGCGACATTCCTGTCATTGTTAGAGCAGACAACATCGTCTAGACCTATATCTCGTGTTGACCTGCGGGGAAAAGCTTACAGCAATGAGTTCTAGCGGGCAGATTGGAGGTCTGCAAGAGCAGACGGGGTCGATGCCTTTCTGTGGCTCCGCGTCCGCGTTTGGGTTGGCCAAAGGCGAGGCTACGGAAAGTGTAAGCAGAGCGGAGAGGGCGAAAATGAACTTCATTTTGTTGCTTGTTGCGAAGTGCCTGGCGACAGAGCGGTAGGGAGGTGGTAATGCCTTGCTATATTCACTTGAATGCAAACTGGATGCAAAACGCACTCTTTATATACAGCAACTGAATTCTAGAGTCCTCATTCCTCTACCTGGCAACGCAGGGTTTACAATATCAGAAGGCCAAGCCAATCTATTCTGTTTTCACAGCTTGTAAAAACACCCGGGTTGAATCAATCGATCATTCTATTCTTAGCATTAGACATACGAACGCAGCTCCTATGCTGTCGGTTCTAGGCCAATGCCATCGAACACAGTACAAAGGCCCAGAAAGGAGCATATGCAAGGGCGTGTAAACGGTGCAAAGCAATATCAGCCATATATACGAGTAGGCAGAGTTGCACGGCAATTTTCCATGTCCTAGGACTGGAATCACGATTCGTGTTTCGCTTTTTTGCCTTGTTGGTACGAGAACGAGGAACGCGGGGAACCTGGTGAACGAGAGGTGCGGAAGAAGGCCAGAGCCAAGCGAAGCCTATATTGCCAAATAATTTGACTATTGTTGTTTATATGTGAAGATGCATGTATGGAAAGGTACATGTACAATCACGCTAGGGTTGGTATCAATTGGTGCGCGTCTGTAAATAGACAGCTCTTCCACGTGGTCTTTGCGTTGAGGCAGACAGTATATTCGTGCAGCACGTTGCTTATAGCCTGGAACCACCGCTCTTCTCGAGAGCTGCAGTCTTTGCCTTGAAGTTCTTCACCAGCTGACGCACGCCTAAATCCAGCATGACATCCTCTGAACCGCCAGGGATACGGACACCCGGCACCTCGCGGTAAATTCCTGCCCACATGTTAGAAATCAGCTGTCAGCTGTCTGGGACCCGACTCCACTCACTCTCAATCAGCTCTCCCTGGCCAGACTTGGTGTAGCCGTTGCCACCAAAGAGGAGCTGGGCGCACTGCGCGCACTCGTTCAGGACGATGCCAGACTGGGCCTTGACCATGGCGGTCAGACCACCGAGCTCGATATCAGCTGTCTCCTTGGGAAGCTGGGTCATCTGGTAGACGAATTGTTCCACCCACGCCCACTGGCTTTCGAGCAAGGCACCGGCCTTGGCCAATCGGTGTCGGACGACGGGTTGCTCAACGAGGGGCTTGCCAAAGGCCTCACGCTTCAGAATATACTCGGTGGCAGCGGCGAGAGCAACGCGGGCCTGCCTGGTGGCGCCAATTGCAATGGTGAGCCGTTCGTGATTAAAGTTAGTCATGATGTACTTCATGCCCATGCCCTCGACACCGACAAGGTTCTCAACGGGGACCTTGACATCCTCAAGCTCTATGTAGGTGGTTCCAGCCGAGACCTGGCCACCCACCTTGAGACGGCGAGTGGTAACACCTGGGTAGCCCTTTAGGGGTACAACGAGGAGGGAGAGACCAGTAGGGCCAGGTCCACCCGTCCGCACGGCCATGGTCGAGTAGTCGGCCCAGATACCGTTGGTAATCCACTTTTTGGCCCCGTTGACAATGTAGTACTTGCCGCAGGGGCTTTTGGTCGCAGTGGTGACGATGTTGGCGACATCAGAGCCAGCCTCGGGCTCGGTGATGGCGATACACGTGCGCTTCTTTCCGGTGAGGAGCTCAGGCAGGTAACGCTCCTGGAGCTGCTTGCTGCCGTATTTGATGATGGGCGGGACGCCGAACGAGATCCCAGTCGTCAGCGAGCCTGAGGGACCTGCCAGACCGGAGCGAGCCATCTAAACACCGTCTTCATCAGTTTCTCACGTCAGACCGAGACGCGTTGCCCATATGAAATACCTCGTCGCAATAGATCATGGTGTGGATGTAGTCCCACTCCTCAACCTTCACAGCGCCCAAGAAGTCGTGGATTCCCAGCTTCTTCAGCCATTCCACAGGCAGAGGAGCGGGCAGTGAAGGAAGCAGCATGCCGGCCTTAGCAAACGTCTGGAAGACGTGCTCCGGCAGCGTCTCAATGGTATCCCACTCCAACGCATGCTCCAGCAGGTGCTTCGAGATGAATTGCCGGCATGCCTTCTGCCACCTCAGATGCGTTTCCTTGTAGTACGGCGAGGGGAGGCCGGCCAGGTATGGCGGCTCGGAGAAGGGGACGACGGGCTTGGACGACATGGTGTTACCCTATGCGCGGAGCTGGAGAAGGTCGGTGAGGGAGAGAGGAGTGGATGAGAGCAGATTGAAGCTCTTGCTGAAGCTCTGCCTTACATGATGATACGGGATATAAAGGGCACAGTTGCTGTTGGAGGTCCCCGTGGGGTAGAGTCCAGCCGGGGATGCAGCAACATTGGATGAGCCGAGGTTGGTTTCTGGCCTAACCGCGTTGGGATAGATGAAAGCTGCGAAAACAACCACCGTCTTTGATGAGGTCTGTGGCTATAGATCTCCTCTGTTTGGCGAGTATTAGTGCCAATCCGTTAACATGCTCCATATGCAAATATATACCGTGCCTTCTAAGACCCAAATCCGAAGCTCAGAGTACAGTATGATTTGAAACAGACAGATTCACTGACACCTATTTGATGCAGGCCGACCATCCCCTACACAAACCTGAGAGTCTCCACACATGGTGGAAGAGAGTTCACCCCCTTCATGATTACCGAGCAGGTATGGCTTTGTTAACTTGTTGAAATTCCTCGCATTTTGCTTCAAAAAAATGCCAATTTCGACATCGCAAGTTTCGAGTCAGCATGATCTCCATCTTGCAAAGAGAAGTGACGAGTCGGTGTTCGACGACTTTGCATTCGTGTTCAAAACTCCGCCATCGAAGGAGAGATTGTGGCCTGGAGGCCTGCCCTGTAGTCATTATTCAGGAGCGGGATGCTTTGCTCGTCTCGATGAGTCGTGCTTCCACATAAGCCCAAAGACGGACCTGTAGGATGAAGTCTGCGCCGGTTGCAAGCAACCGATGGAGCAATATCTTGAACATCTACTGTGTAAAAGCTCCGACCGTTCTATGGGTGTTCGCCATCCATTTCAGAGCTTCAGTGCCGTTTTTCGATGGTATACATTATACCAACACTGTATGCTGTCCGCCACAATTTTAGATGTAGGAGGTCGGATTTGGGTTTAGTGCAATATCGTGATTGGCTCGTGGTTTGTTGTCACGTGGAAGGCGCAGATACTCACTCCCCTCAGTAGGAAGAAGAAGGGCTTTACGGCTGACGACTTGGAAATCAGCTCCGACCTTCTGTTTCTCCTTACTCTCCGCCGTTGCATACCATATGCTTCCAAAGGGATGGGATGTCATCCCCTCGTCCAGCACCAGATTGAAAGACATGAGCAGCGGCTTCGAATTCGAGTTATATGGACATGCACGTTGAGACCCTGACGACGATTCTGACTTCGCGCCATGCTACCCGCCGGGCTGCTTCGCATATCAACATCAGTAAACCTGATTCAACACACATTTGACTGCAACTAGCTCTCTGCAGGCTTCTTGGTGCACACCAGCATCAACATGGTATACGCCGTGTTTGCCCGAACACCCCTGGTTTCCCCACCCCCATCCTTCCCGGATGCACAGGAGCCTTGCAAGCACGGGGAGCTGGCCTTGGCCAACGGCGGCTTGCTTCGTAATCGGACTCTCATAATGGAGTTGCTGTTACCATTATCGACTGTCAATCATGAGGGGGTATATGGTACGACTCCGTGGCATACACTTCGAGTCTCCCTCAGGTTAGTCTGCCCCTGATTCCCCACGGCGAAGATAATTTTCCGATCCAGGTGGTCTAGATGATTGCGTACCACTGCCACGCGGACCAGCCGTTGGACGCCAACAAAATTGCAGACGCCAAGGGCGTTCCAGCTCTTGCAAACTGGAACCCAGGCACTGGTCCAGGTACGCACAGTACAGTACCGCGGCCTACGCCGACAAGGAAAGACTTGGCGTCCTCTGTCTCGGAAGGACTGACAGATGTGGCAGTTCACTGCTGATGATGTATTCAGCGCTGCACGTCCCGGGGCTGACAGCACTTGAGCAGTTCTCAAGGTCGGGTGACGTGACGGATGCAACTGCACATCTACATGGAAGCTCTGCAACAACAATAAGCTAATGATTATTGTTACAGGCTGCAGCCGGTCAATTCCCGTCTGAACTCCCGCTCCATGGACAGAAGGTTTTATGTTCTGAGGCTCATGCCCAGCCCCAAGCCACATGGCGGGGGAGCGGAGGCTCCGAATGTCCGAACATTCACCGCCCGAGCTCCCACGATTCATGAGTTATGCAGAGTGACAGGCCCTTGGTGGGACGACAACCCCGCAAAATCAGAAGCGCCCCGCGTGCTTTCTGCTGCCCCACATGTTCCCGTTTAGCATTAGCTTTTGCAGTGCATCGGTGATTGCACACTTCCTCATTTTCTCCGTGTCCAAGGCTCATCAAGCGCGACTTTGAGGATATGTACGCCCGACTCTCCGAGCTTCGTCATTGAACGTTGCCCTTTAGAACAGGGCAGAGCGGCTTGCGGCGGACGAGGAGTTATCATCCCCGCCAGGTGGCGGGTGAATGTGAATGAAAATAGATGACAGGTTGTGGATTGGGAATCATCATCAGCACCTTGTTGGTCAGAGCTCCACAATGTCCGCCCTGGAGGGAAATCCCGCAATTTTTGACTCTGCACGCGCTGTGCGTTGTCGGCTACATCCACAAGTATAGTGTCACCTGGTAGTAGTATACGGCTCTGCATGATTATGTTGGCTTGTTATCAGGTCCACAGGAGGAATCTTGCGGCCAATGGCGCAGTTCGGGAACGCGCATTCCCAACAGTTCCATTCCAGAAACGTAAATCCGCTCAAACCCCTACGGAGTTCTGTTCTGGGTCCGACTTCTCTGCGATGGATGGTTTGCCTCCCAATGACTCGGGCTGGACATCCGGGCCATTCCACTGCGATCAACGTCGATGGACGTTTTGACGATGTCGTGCAGGCGACGACGATGCGCCACCACCGTCCCTCACCACGCATGAGAGCGTACTGTGTACTTACTGTGATGGTAGATACTCCGTACTGTATCACAGGATGGAAACGTACCGCGGCATCTTTTTCGCGAACAAGGAGTGGCTGACGTTGGCGGCGTGTTGAGGCGGGAGCAATATGCCGAGGGCATCCGAGAATGACCACACCACGGAGGATTATCAGGATTATCATTGACCAGCACGAGTCCGCCAAGAGGCACAGCGCCGATGGTCCGAATCTGGGGGGCGCCTGGGGTAATGCGCTAGCATCCCATGAGAACTTTGACTCTGACGGGTAGGGAATCGCAGCCCATCAAGCGGATTCCACCACCATGGCGAACTCTGCACCCATACATAACCTAGGCCTTCCCCGGCTCCGCCCGCGTACGCTCCCCCATCCTGAGTCTCCTCCCCTTCTCTTCTTTCCTCTCCAGACCAAGGAACCAGGGCACTTCCCCCAGGGACAGTAGCTTAACTCCAACACCCTTCATCCGACGACACCATGTCCGAGTGCTCCGGATCCCCCTCTGACCATCTCCATGATGCCCACTCTCAACCTCCCAAGCGCAAGGCCGCTCAAGCCGGACTCGACGGCCACACCACCGGACGCTCAGTAAAGCGGAGGGCTTCCAAGGCATGCCAGTGCTGTCGAGCGCGCAAGGTCCGATGCAATGTCACAGAGCATGGCGCGCCGTGCACCAATTGCAGGCTGGACGAGGTCGAATGCATCGTTTCGGAGAGCAGGAGGAAAAAGTGAGTCTTTTTTTCTGCTCAATCTGTTCTCCCTTCCCTGCTTCCGCAATATCCACGACGTCCGGATTCTCTGGCTGACAAAGCGCGTGCAGGAAATGGCCAAAAGATGACGAACATCAGCCCGAGAGCACCCATGCTGCTGCGTCGAATGTGAATCGCAAGCTGGCATCGCGTGACGCCTTGGATGGCATCCAAAACCTGAACTCGGCCGCAGCACGGCCGTCACATGAAGCTGAGGGTCGGCACGATGAGCACGTGCCACACTCCATTTGTGCGTTCCGCCATGATTCCAATCAGTTTTGTCCTTTGCGACGTTCCTGTATTGGATTGTATTGTTTGCACGTGCTAACAACGCAGTCGCAGACCAGAGTCATGGTCGCCTGGGCTCACTCAATGCCTTCACCGACATTCAGCGCAGGCTGTCCATGCACTCTCCGACCAACAATGGCCTGTCTATGCTCGGTCATGCCTTCACCCCCTTTAGCAGCGACATCCAAGCGCCCTTCTTTGCCAACGTGACGCCGACATTCCATGCCGCCGACCTGCCGCCTTTCATCAAACCGCTCCCGGCCAAAATTGGACCGGATGAGATTGCCTATCTGGAGAGGAAGGGCGCATTGACGGTTCCAAAGGGCACGCTTCGTAGCGAATTGCTGCGCGCATACCTCGACTATGTGCATCCGTATATGCCCCTGTTGGATCTGCACGATTTCCTCACTGTCATCGACCAGCCCGATGGCAGTTTGGGCAAAGTCAGCCTGATTCTGTTCCAGGCCGTCATGTTTGCGGGATCGGCCTTTGTGGACATGCACCATCTGCGCGCTGCGGGATATGGGACGAGGAAAGAGGCTCGCAAAGACTTCTTCCAGAAGACTAGGGTGAGTTTCATGCCCATTGGCATTTCCTTCCAGGTTCCCTCGGCCGAGCTTGTTGGGTGGACTTGCCGAAAGCGGCAACACTTCGCCCCCCCGGGTTCTGAGGTTTCTGAGGGTAAATTACCTCCTGAATTGTTGACTAATCAAATGTTACAGTTGCTCTACGATTTCGACTACGAATCCGACCGTGTCTCCCTGGTGCAGGCGCTGCTCCTCCTGACTTATTACTACGAGACCCCAGACGACCAGAAGGACACATGGCACTGGATGGGGGTTGCGACGTCGGTGGCACACACCATCGGCCTCCACCGCAACCCAGACAAGACCAACATGGACGCCAAGCGGGTGAAGCTGTGGAAACGTATATGGTGGTCGACCTATATGCGCGATCGCCTCATTGCCCTCGGAATGCGTCGCCCGACCCGCATAAAGAGCGAGGACTTCGACGTGCCCATGCTCACCATTGACGACTTTGAGATCGCTGCCCTGCCAGAGTCCATCTCCTGCGTTCCCGCCGACTGCCGTGTAGCCCGGGATGTCGATATGCAGCGGCAGCTCGCCATCATGTGCATCGAGAAGGCGAAATTGTGCCTGTGCATTTCCCATGTGCTCTCCAAGCAATACTGTGTGCTCAACAATGCCCAAGGCATGATGAATGACCGCACCACCATGATGCTTCTCCCCAAGAAGCTCGATCCCGAGACGAGCCAGGTCAAGGACTGCGACGAGGAGCTTCAGAAATGGGTCAATGAGCTGCCCGAGGCGGCCCAGTACACAGACGAGCCTTCGGGGGACAAGACTTTGGATCTGCACAGGGCTCTGCTACACATGGTCTTCTTCACTACGCTTTCTGCGTTGCATCGTCCTCAGGTCCTCCCTTCGAGCCACGGTGGGTCAGCTACGTCGACGAGCAAACCCGCCTTGGGTTCCGATGTCCTCGAGGTGTCCCGCAGGAATGTGCGCCGCGCCGCCTCAGCCATCACGTCGATCGCCCAACGCCTCGACCAGCAAAATCTGGTCAAATACCTTCCCACCACCGGCGTCACCGTTCTTCTCCCAGCCATCATCATTCATCTGCTCGACATCAAGGCGCCCGAGGAGGAGACTCGTCGGGCGTCGCTCCGTGGCTTCTGCCAGTGCATGACTGTCATGGGCAAGCTGCGAGATCTGTATGCCGCGGCCGACTACTCGACTGCCTTCCTGGAGGCCGCGATCCGCAAAGCCGGAATCCACATTGCGCCCATGGCATCGCAGGCCAACAACGCAGCCACGGCAGTGCCGGTTGCCAAACCGGCGCCCGTGACCACTGTCGAAGACCTTGTGGATGCCGGCCGCCGTCTCGACATGGCCTCTTCTACTACCATGCACCGCAGCAATGTGACAGCTACGCCTCACCAAACCCACATCCACCTGTCCCGCTCGACACTGACACCGCCTCCGGATGGCGCCACAACCAACCTGCACACGCTCGAGAAGATGCCGGGCCAGCCCAATGTGACGGACGAGGAAGTCGCCCGTCGCCTCGAAACCTTCTTGGCCTCGACACCGCCCGAATCCGACCACGACCACGACCACGACCACGAGCTCGACATGGATGGTGCCCACTTGACGACCTCGATCAAGGATACGCACCCGGGAATCTCCATCTCGCACTCTGCATCCACGGGCCTGACCAACCCGGCTCCTCCTCTCCCAACGCCTGCAACGACCATCTCGGATATCACGCTCCCGCACAATCAGAACCAGCACCAGCACCAGCACCAGTACCCCTTCATGTCCGTATCGGACCTACCGCCTAATCCCTTCCACCCCCACCACCAGGACGACGAGGTGCTCTTCAGCAGCCTGCCGATGCCGCACGAGTTTGACGACGGCGACTTCGACTCGCTGCTCAACCTGGATGCTGTGGGCGAGACGTTCAACTTCGAGGACGGCATGCTGGATATGCAGCAGGCCGATAATCTCGGGGAGGGTGACTGGATGGGTGCCACCGCCGGTGGGTTGGGTTCTTCCGGCCATGGTCTTGGCGAGGAGGTCAAGGCCGCGTAGATGTATGGGGAAGAGAAAGAGGGAGAACGAAGAGGAAAAAGAGAATGATTTTTTTGGTCTGGGATTTTTCTTTTGGGTATATTCTTCACGAGGGGGACTGAAGGAAAAAGAACGGTTGGTTGATTCATCGATCAACCAGTTTGTGCATTGCAGCGTCTTTGCTTATGCCGCGCACGATATCCATGCTTGCGTTTGAATTCCTAGATCTTTCTCGATTTGAGAAAGACCCAAGGTTGGACCATTCCTGGTTAGTATTCATGTACGTTTCACGGCCCACGGTTCCGGCAAATGTGAGACGCAATGGGAACTGGTTGGTTTTAAAGAGGGAAAAGAAAAAGGAAAAGGAAAAGGAAGCTCAATGACTAGCGAGAGAAATACAAGCATAATCAGTAAACTGAGAACAAAGTTGCCTCTGGCGAGTGACGGATTGATGCGTTGTGACCCATGGGCGACACTTTCAGAGTTGGAGACGATGGAGAAATTACACACCTTGAATTTTAGAAGGTACGCTCAAAAGGAAAACTGGGGGTATACATCTGTTGAAGACAAATTTCGCAAATCACCATCTCCCGCCCCTTTGCCCCGCCAAACCTCTCTGCAACAGTAGATGAATGTGGAGCCGCGAGAAGCCCCCAGAAGAACAATCATCGCAATTCCCGTCATCCACCACGGTGTATACTCCCTTCTGTTGCCACCATAGACGCCTCTGTAACTAGCCTGCACTCGCCGAGGCTCTTGATGAAGCCTGCAACATGCGGCTTATCGTGTAAGTCTACCCCACGCCAGAATTAAACACAAGGAGAAAACGTATATGCCTGCAAGGCCTCCACCCCTCACAGATTTAGAGGTCCAAGCCCAGAGATCCAGAGCCGTAGATGCGTATGTATGCGTTCGAAAGGGAAGTTAACAAAGTCGTTATGCATGAGTCGTCGTTGATTTCCATCTTCCAGAGGACGCCCGTTATGCAAGAAGAACTGGGGAAGGTTGGCCGACATGCTAAGATTGTGAAATGGCGGTGACGTGCAAAATCCTGAAAAGAGACCAAGTTTTGTTGAAATCCGGAGCTCTTCTTCACCACCTCAGCTAGAAATCCAGAAACGTGGAACATAATGTGCCCAGGCATCGAGTCTGCGGAGCAATCCAGAAGTCGGCACGCGGACGGTGCCACAGAAAAGAAACTGAGAACCCGTGCTACCACGTGATGTCCCGGCGTTCATCCCAGACGTGAACCAGCGGCGTATGAGTCGCGGGTGACATGCATGCCCTACTCCTGTGCCCAACGTTCTTCTCGTAAAGGCAGCTTTGAGCCTTTTGCCTTCCGCTCCCCGGTGTACTCGTGTTTCCAAGCCCAATACTCCCCTAGGCGAATCTCTGCGTAGTTTGCGTAGTCGAAATCGATGAGCGATATCTTGGCCTGGATAAGAGCCCAAATGCCCCAGTAGAAGCCGGGAACACCGCGGAATCTGTCGACTTGGCTAAATAACTCGTCGAGCTCGGCCTCCTTGTATGCGCGGCTCGAGTGCAAGTTGTAACTGCGCAGGTATTCACGCAAAAAGGCTCGCCGCACGGAGCGAGTGGGCAGGACGCTGAAGTCGCAGTCAAAACCGCCCCATTCGGCGAAGTGGTTGGCGATGTCGAAGGCTGCTGGCGCGGGTGTCGTGTACTCGTAGTCAATGAAGGACACGGATTCTACCGGCCCTTCTTCTTCCGAGACCTCGGACGCACTGGAGCGGCGAGAGGCAGAAGCGGAAGAGGGACTCGGCTCGATGATGACGTTGCCGCTCAGGAGGTCGCAATGGGCGAAGACGAACGGTTCCGAGCCGCCAATGCCGGGTGTGTCAAGCAGCTGCTGGATCAGCCACTCCAATTCTCTCTGAAGCACATCGCGGCGGCTCGTCTCTGTGCTGGTGCTTGTGGGCAGAGCCAGTATCCACTTTTGCATTGTTGTCCACAGATTGGGAATGGGTTTGCCGGGCGTTAACGAGTCCGTAGCCTCGACAGATGCACATCTATTCTGAACAGTGTCTGGGGCTGGAACGGCAGACACTTGGCTGATATTCGATATGGGTAAAGTTGCATGCCATTGTCCCAATCTCTGAGCTACACCCCGCCATACCTCAGGCCTGCGCAGATGCTCCGGGGAGCACACGCTGCCTCTGAGGAACTTGTAGAGGAGACCGTTTTCGAATCGGGCGTACAAGGTGGGTGCGAGGCCATGGCGGGCGAGAAGCGAATGAGAGCTGGTTTCCTCTGTGGGGGAAGTGGATCAGCGATGTAGCTAGAATGGGCAAGGGGTATGGATACTTACTCTCGCGGTCAATGAGGACGTCTGTGCCTCGGCCGTAGGCTCGCAGGAGGATTGAGTCTTCTTCGACTTGGGCCTCTGACAGGCCAGGTATTCTATTGAGCGCTTGAAGCAACTGCGCACCTAGGGATTAATATGGTTCCGCTGTCTCGTCGTTGCCGGGTTGCCTCACAGTGTTGGTGATGCCGTCAGTGAATTTGACAAACTCGATTGTGTCGGTTGTCTTGCTCCATTCTGGACGTAGCGTGAGTATGAGCTTCAGGGCCGAGTTGTAGGAGTCGGAGCTGTCGTAATACAGAGGAATGTGCCTGACAGAGTCCACGCAGGGAGAGGTTGATCCCATGATGGTGTAGGGTTCCTGTTGCGGTCAGGCCGTGAATAGGAAGAGTCCGGCATCGAACGAAGAGGCTACTTACCAATGGAAGGCCACAGAAGGAAGGAAACGGTGAATCTGACAGAGGAGGAAGAATTGGAGCCAGGAGAGGGGAAAGAAAGGGAGGGGGAGGAAGAAAGGAGAGACACCAATGATGAGTTTTGGGCTGTCGTGTGCATGTGCCTGGCCCCTGCCTGCCAACCCGTCCCGCCGCCCCTGCGTCCCCTGGCTCTTCCCCCCTGGCTCTTCCCCCCTCGCTCTCCGCCCTAGCTCTCCCGCTCCGCCGCGCCTACCCCACAACTGACACGTGAATCGAAGATTCCCACATTTTATGAAATCACGGGGTAGACACTTTTCATGATTCGCACTCATCATCAACTTTGGATTCCTATGCTCACAGCTCTCCCAGCCCAACATCCAATTTTCTATGCCACTCCCCCAGTTGTGCGATGAGGTCATTGACCTGCGAAATTGTGCGAGTGACAGTTACACGGCATAACCACCGCTACTGGAATCCATGTCCGCAGCGGCACTTGTGAGACGTGAGGTGGCCGGCTTGGTACCATTCACGATTTCGTCTGATGCTGAAGGACGACAAGGAAATCACTGTGTAAGAGTAATCTTTACTATTTATTACATGGTACATTTGGTATTATCATTTTCCTCATGCACAAAGGCCTAGTCCGGCTTTTGCTACCTCGTGCCTTGTCTCTCCTGGAAACTAGACACCCTACGCAACAATGCATCTTGAATGAGGGCAAACTGGGTATCATCGACAACCTTTTGGAATATCCATGGGGGTTTCTATGACTTCGCCTGCTGTATCCTACTCTCCTACTCGACCTTCTCCCATGCGCCAGGCACGTCCACCTTGCTCAAGTCGCCAGCGTCCATTGTGCCCACAAATGCACGTTGAACAAACGCGTTCCAAAGACCGGTCCTCTTGCCTTTCGGTTGCTTCCGCTTTGCATTCGCTTCGACCACAACATGTGTTTCGTCGTCGCCTTCGCCTTCGTCTTCTTCCTCGTCGTCTTCCTCGTCGTCGTACACGTCCCCGTTGTCCATGCCATCCAAGTCGTCATCGTCCTCTTCGTCCACGTCTTCCTCTCCAGATTCCTCTTCCTCATCCGCTTCGTCAGTCTTCCCCACCTTGTTCGTTCCGATACGACGAGCAAGACTATAGTAGCTTCGAACCGTGAGATCCTTCAGTCGGTACACCTTGTCATCCGTCGTATTGTACTCCACCTGAAAGGAAAAAGGCTTCGGATGGGGCTTTGGACGTGGCTGTTTCCCTTGATGGCGGCCATGTTTCCCTTCCTTCCACTTGGACGCCTCGGGCAGGCCATCGCCATGAGGGACCGAGTCCGAGACAAAATCGTTATTGATATCCGTCAGATTGGCAAAGTACTGGACATAGCCCAGGAGCGTGAGCGGTTGCGGCGAGTAGGCTGGCCCAGGAGGTGCCGATTTGGACGGAGGCTCGGGCACCTTAAACTTGTATTTCCGCCGCTTGCCTGCCTTCTTGTGATCTTCTCCCTTCTTCCTCTTGGCTAGTTCATTCACCGCTTCTTCATCTTCTTCCAAGTCAGCGACTTCTGGAAGGCCTCCATTGACGTCCATTGTCGTTTGCGAGTCGAGCAATGGCGCCTTCACGTACGTATATTGCAGACGACCGGTGGAGTCTTCCAGCCCGCTGATGTTATACGAATAGACGCGAATGGTGGGGAAGTAGTTTGGGACGATGCTGGGTGCCACGTGGGAGACGCTGAACTTTTGGCGATATCGTCCACCGACCCGGCGACGGAACCTCTTTTTGCTTTGGCCATTCTTCTTGGACTGGCTTCCAAGATCGCCTGCTGTCGACGTGGACGTTGATATTCCCTTTGGGGGTGAAGGAAGCTTCGCCCACATGTCACCAAGATCACTAAGGTACTCCGCCGCTGATGCAACCGTGACCTCCCCATCCTCTAGCATGCTCACTCGTCCTGTTTGCTCGAGAGCTGCCATTTCACCCTTTTTGGTGCCCCGCTTGAGTTGGTTCGAGTCGTGCAGCATGAAGTGGTCGATATTCATATGCCCAAACAGTGAAGCAATGATCACATCTCTGTACTGGCGCTGCCACAAAGTGTACTTCTGCCAGCACGTCTCGTCCCAGCTGCGTTTGCTGCGAGTCCGTGCAGGAGGGACATGGCCCGTGAGTATGGCCTTCATGCCGCGTTCGCGCATGTTGCGCAGCTGAATGCGCAGCCATTCCATGTGTTCGTAACCCGGCTCGTGTTTATTGGCGCATCCGTTGACGGCCGAATTCGAGTCGAATAGGTATCTTGGCCGTCTTCAGCAACGGCTCCGAAATGCAGCAATGAACGAGTCGTACTCACAGGGTGTTGAGGCTGAAGACGGCCAGCTTATTGGGGATGACCTCAACATAGAACCAACCCCCCTCCTGAAAGGAGTGTCGCTGTTCTTCCGGGATGTAGTCCCTCCATATGTCCAGGTACTTTGAGGTCCATTTGTTGGGCCCCTTTACAAAGATATTGTGCGGCATGACGTCGTTGTTGCCAAAAGTCGGCACGACGGGAATGCCCGCTTCCCGACTCGAGCCAAACACGTCCCTGAACTTGGCGACGACAAACTCATTCTGCTCGATGATTTGCGCATGCGTCCGAGGTATCTTTTCGTCGTTGTCGTGGCGCGCGGAGTCACCAGTCCACACGACGAAATCGATTGTGTCCTTGAGGTGTTGCTCGATCCAGGCAAACGTCTCATTGATCAAGCTGTACGGCGTGTCGCAAGCAGAGGTCTCGGCGCCGTAGACTCCGGCAGGGCCGCGTCGGCGGTGGCAGGCTGCATCTGATTCGGTGCTCGAGTATACTTTGTAGAAGGGGTCCGGATGGATGTCTGAAGCCGGACGTCAGTCGCGAGCCACACAGAGAAAAGCAAGTACAAAGGCAGGACACGAGGGGATGGCATACCCGTGATATGCAGGAAGCGACCCTGCAAACGCCGACCACGGCGATGGTTCGATGAAGGTGACTGTGACGGCGACATGGATATGGATGCTTCTTCAGCCTCAACGGCAGCTGCCACGGCGGTCCGGGATGCGAGCAGCAGCCCGCAAACCAGCTCCGCGAACATGGCGCATCATCTAGGAGGAAGAGAGATGGGCGAAGGATGGAGGAGGATACCTAGGTAGAAAGAAGATCGACGAGCTGAGTGATGTCCATGTTGATGCCGCCAAAGTTAGTTCTGGCCAGCAGCGCCGCTGACAGGCCAGCCAACCCGTTGCGTCATTGCAGATCTGATGGATGGATCCATGCTTCCACAATGCCAAGCCATCCCATCCATCCATCACAGTACTCCTTCCTCCGTACCCTGGACATAACAACACGTCTATCCAGAGCAGGCGGACAAGCTATTTCAATTGCATTTCCCTGTCATCATTGATGTTCAAGCCAGCCATATATTCCACAGTCGTCCTAAACATACGACGCTAGATGACCCAAGTTCTTCGCAGGCCTGCCTTGGAGCGGGAAGAACCTCGCATGGAGCCTCAAATAATAACAGACATGCGTCCCAAAAGAAAACACTTCTGTCCTCCGTAGACGACCCCGCAGCGGTACGCCCGCGCATTTGCGTCTCAATACCTCAAGACAAGCCCCGCCCAGGTAATGCAATTGACCGAGCCGTCCAGAGAAAGGAAAGAATGGGGAGAAAATGCAGCTGGCACTCAAAAATGCTCGACCAGCCTCTATGACCCATGCCCCCTAGCCAAACGCCCACGCTATGCTGTGAAATCAATGTGACTGTAACCGCCGTGAACCCATGCTTCGGTGTATATGCGCTGAAAAGTCGTCATCTTGAAGCAGAGAAGCCCGCGCTAACCCGCATACTCCATCGCCGTCTCAAGGCCGTCACACCCTAAACCTGCTGATCCCTGGAGCCATGGCCTGCTCAGGTACCGTTGGCCTTGGTGGACTGTCCATTGGACTGCTTCACTCCCTGCTTGCCGTTCATCTCGGATCCGAGCATCCTGTTGTACATGGTCTTGACTTGGTCCACCGTTACCCCAGATCTTGGCCAGTACTTAAGTGTGTTCGTCCTGGCATGGGATTAGCTTCTGACCGCTTCCATCCTGGTTCTCAATTACTACTTACCAAAGACGATCCTCCAATTCTTTGTTATCCCGCGTCTCGGCCCTGATAAAGTTTCCGATGGCGATGAGCTCCACTTTGAGGACCTTGATCATCTTCTCCTTGTCCGGGATGTTCTTGATGCTCGCCTTCCTCAACCGCCCGAGGTTGTCACGCACAGGCTTCATCCGGCGCTCCACATAATCGTCGGATTTCTTCTCCACAGGCTTCGTCGATGGGGAGTCGATGCTCGCTCTATGACTGTTGTCGCCCTGCCCGTGCGTTGGACGGGGACGCTCAGCCTCGATGCTGGGGTTACGTCGGAGTTCGGGCGTGCCAGAGCGAGCGAGCTGTTGAGAGAGACGCTCAATGTTGGACTTGTTGTTGCGGCCAAGCTCCTTACGGTGACCCTCAGTCGGTCGATACTGGTCGCCGTGTTTGCCTTGCCCGTGCGGTCGATGACCAGGCCTCTCCGTGTCGCGGGAGGATGCCTTGCGAGACTGCGCACTAGGAGCTGGGCTCCTGGAGACGCTAAGACCATTCTCCGAACGACGGTGAGCATGCAGATGATGCTTCTTGTTGTTCCGGTGGTGGTTCTCGATGAGGCGCTTCGCGTTGGGGTCACTGCCCATCTTGGCTTTGAGGAGAGTGAGGAGATAGTTGGCACGCCGAACGAGATGGACAGCACCGGGGGATTTTGCGTTCTTCTCCTCGGCCTTGCTACGCTCCTCCTTCTTGTCGACGCGATGCTCCTCTAGGAAGAACTTGTCGCTCATGCCTAGTTCCGGATCGTCGCGAATGGCAGTCCACGCACCGTAGCCGTGTCGTGCAATGCCCACGCAGAGCATGCCATCCTCCCGGGCACCCCACGCACAGGTGTAATTAGCATACTTGGTGGCATCTGGAACACGAAAGCTGCGCCAGTCAGGAGCAGCGTCAACCGCCTCCTTCAGTAACTTCATCTCCACGGGGCGGTCGAGGATCGTCTCAGCATTGATGTTTTTGACGTCCTTGAAGGTGAAGAGAACCGTCTTCTTGTCTTTCTTCGTGACGACTCGGCCTCCGTCGCCCTCAAGAGCCTTGCGCCGTGCAAGCTCCTCCTTCATGAGTTCGCGACTCTTGGCAATCACCTCGTCTAGAGTGGCCTTGAGAACTTCCCTGTCACGCCCAACAAGCTTCGCGTCCCGAACAATGTCATCACCACGTTCTTCGAGGGATCCGTATCGCTCGTATGCGCGAATAAGGCTGCGGAGTTCCTTGGTAGTCAAAGGGCGCTTTGGGTCATCATTACCGCTGGACTCCGAGCCATCCTCAGTGGCGTCGCCGTCTGCGTCCAGCTGGCGTGTAGCTTCACGGGCGCGCTTCTTGGCGGCACGCTGTTCCCGGTCACTCGTCGGAGCGGCCTTGCGCTTCCGCGGAGCATTCTCAGCTAGGATACGCTGCGTCTCCTCTTCCTCCTTCCTGTGCTGAATCTCGGCCTTGACAACATCAAGTTCGTCTTTGGGGATGATATCGTCCCATTCGAGATCGATCTTGACGTCGGTATACTCAAAGTTCTTGAGGAACTCCTCGCCGCCATCAGAGGTGAGCCCGGCGGCCTGTTCGGTCTTATGTTCCTCTGCATTGGCAAGAAGGGAGTCGATATCAAGCTCCTCTAGTTTCTTCTGATTTCCTGACTGCTCGAACATCTTCTGGCCGCGGCGTTTAAGGATCTGATTGATGTCGTCCGCAGAATTGGGCTCTCCCGCGGCACGGTTCAGTTTGTCATTGAACTCCTTTTGTTGACGGTCGGTGACACCACGCTGAATCGTGATGAATTCGAGCATGCGCTTGTTGCGCGCTCGCTCAAGAATCTCTTCTTCGATCGTATCCTTGGACACCAGCCTGTAGACCGTGACAGGTTTCTGTTGGCCGATACGATGAGCCCGCGCCATTGCCTGCAGGTCTGCCTGCGGGTTCCAGTCCGAGTCGAAGATGACGACAGTGTCAGCAGTCATCAAGTTGATACCAAGGCCACCTGCACGCGTTGACAGACAGAAGGCAAAGTCCTCGCTTCCTGGGGCGTTGAAGTGATCAATGGCGATCTTACGTTCGGGAGCCGGCACCGTGCCGTCCAGGCGTTGAAACGGATAGTTTCGGAGGCGAAGGTAGTCGCTCAATATATCAAGCATGTGGACCATTTGGCTGAATATCAACACACGATGGCCGTCTGCTTTGAGCTTGGCGAGAAGGCGATCGAGGAGCATCATCTTCCCGCTGGTTGTGATCAGAGTCTTCAGAGTCTCTTCCTTGGTGGCATTCTCTTTAAGGAATCTTGCCTCTGCGTTTGGAAACAGAAGCGCATGGTTACTAGCTTTCTTCAGCTCCATGACGATATTCAGCAGAGACTGTTTCTGGCCTTGGCCACCTTCATTGAGTGCTTCGTAGTTCCTCGTCAAGATATTCTTGTAATAGTCCAACTGGATATCCGACAGCTCAACACGAAGGATCTTCTCCGTCTTCGGAGGCAGGTCGTTCTCAACCTTCTCCTTGGTGCGCCGGATCATGTAGGGCTGAATAGCCTCGCTAAGTTCTGCCAGCTTACGGCTCGCATCTTCCGATGCAAGGTCAAAGTTGTCGTCCACCACAATCTTACCTGGCATGAGGAAGTCCATGAGCGCAGACAGCTCGCCAAGGGTGTTCTGAATGGGAGTGCCCGTAATGAGGAGACGGCTAGGTGCATGAAACTGCCGGAGGCGATCGTAGAGCTGGGAGTCTCTGTTCTTGAGACGATGGGCTTCGTCCACTGCCAAGAATTGCCATTTCAAACTTGACAGGAACTGGTAATCAGCCAGTACGTACTCGTAAGTAGTGAGGAGGACGTTGAATTTGACTTTATCCGGCCTTCCATCCACCAGAAGCTCGTATTCCTGGATGATTTTGCGGGCCTCATCCCGACCTGTGTAGATGACATAGTTGATATCGGGAGTCCAGTTGTTGAAGGTATCTGCCCAGGCTGGCATGGTGGACAAAGGTACGACGCAGATGAAAGGGCCATCTTGTCGCCTATCATGGCGGAGCCAGTTCATGAACGAGACAGTCTGGACGGTCTTTCCTAGACCCATTTCGTCGGCAAGGATGACATTGTTGCCTTTGCACCAGTTGTGCGCAAGGAAGTTGAGCCCATGCAATTGGAAAGATCGAAGCTTGCCAAATTTGATGTAGTCGGGCTGCTCATCTAGTTTCGTAAACTTGCGCCGGGTGTTCAGATTGCTTTCCTTGCGGTCAGACGACGGAAGTTTCGACGATCGGTCAAGGTAACGGTCGATTTCTCCTTGTGCCAAGCTACTGACCAGGGATGCGCTCTCCCAGGTACAGAATTCATAGGTGAGGCCCTTCCCTGTTCGGCAATCAGCATCGCTCTGCATGGGCATGGGAAAGAAACTTACACTTGACATAATATTCGGTCTCATCCTCGCCGTCGCGAGTGCCGATAACGCGCTCGACAATGTGGAAGTCAGCTTGACTCTGCCGCTCGGCTTCGCGCGCAACCATATGCTGTTCATATTCTTCTGGATCTATCTTCTTGCGCTGAATGTAGTACATGTCGTTCAACACGGGACCCTTGAAGTAATTGTCAAGTTTGCGAGCGCCCTTGTAGGACGACAGAGTCTCGTACGATTCCCACGTGGAATGGTAGTGAGCTTTATTCTGCCATTTAATGAGGTATTCGAAATCAGTCTTCTCGACGGACGCGGGATCGAGCTCAAGACCCTCTTTCGGGCGATGGTCAAGAACTTTGTCAATTACTGGACCGGTGTCTTCGGCAGCCATGGTCCACGCATAATTCGGAGTCAGATCTTCATCCTCGTCTTCTTCGAAGTCATCATCGTCCTCCTCGTTGTAATTGGTGACTTGCTTTGTCCGACGCGAGGAGAAACGGACCTCAGCTTGCGACGGTGGAAGGTGACCAGCGGCAATCAGCATTTGACGCTGCTTCTGCTTTTTGCTAGGAATGTTCCGCCGCGCATTAACGTAGTCGTCCGAGGAGGAGTCCGAGTCAACCGATTGGTAGGCAGGGGTAGGCATATTCGAGACTGTTTCCGCAGATTAGCATGAGTCCCAACATGGCCATAGGGGTGATCGTACCTTTTCTAGAGTTTGTCCGTTGTCGCTTGCGCCGACCATCGGACGCGGACTGGTCTTCATCATCGCTATCATCAACCTGTACACTGTTAGAGTGAGCTCATACCATTGTTCAGTTTCACTTACTATACGACGGTTCGGACGAGCACGGCCCTGTGGTATGGTCAGACGTGATTCGAGTGGACTGTTGGGACCACGTACGCTGCGTCGAAGGCCATAGAGCTCCGGATTCTTCGTGATATATTCTTCAACCTCGGTGCTAAGCTTGCGCTTGAGGGATCTACGTGACTGCTGCGACGAAGAACTGCTTGGACGGCTGTCATCTTGCTGAGGTGGTGGAGTCTCCGAGTCATAGTCGCCGTCGGGTTCCCCGAGGGCGTCATCATCCTCGGACGAGCTGGACTCAATAGCCATGGCTTCTCTCTCGTCAAGAATCTCCCCAGGCGCATCTTCGTCGGAAGGACAATCGAGCGTGACGTCGTGGCGCCTGTCGGATGTTCCGGGGATCTCTGGTGTAGAGTTCTCTACTGTGGGTGTAATATCAAGTGGGAGCGAGGCCGAATGGCCATTCGTGAGCGGATAAGCCGTCATGCGGCCAGGGGAAGAGGGCATCATGATGGACGTTCCTACATATGATGGTTAGCATTGGCTCCCGTGAAGCGCACGTCGCAGTAAGAAAAGGGCCGCTGCGCCGGGTAGCCTCAATCTACGCGACTCAAACTCCCCATATGGCCTCCTATAGGCTCAGGAAGAGAGTCTGAAGTCAAGCTTTGATGAAATGTCGCGGCGGCTGATGGAGGTTGATGGCAGTAGATGGAAGATGGATGTGCGGGGCGGACGAAGATTCTGACCGAAGGCATGGGCGGCGGAAGTGACAGGGCGGCAGAGACGTATCGGAGGAGGAGCGGACGCAGAGACCAGAGGCATATGAGGATGTACCTGATGTCTCGAAGTGGTTTGGTTGATGGATTGAGACTGGAGTGCAGCGAGACGCAGCGGGCCCAGCAGCAGCACGACGGCGCAGGGCGTGACGAAAATCGAAGTGTAAGAGGATTGGGACACTTACCGTCCATGATGATCCCTCTAGTATCGAGAGTGTGGTGTGTTTCGCAATGTGTGGCAGCGGAGGTTGGTTGTGTGGTGGAGAAGCGGCGGGTTGGATGAGGCGGCCAGGTCCCAGGAAGGCAGATAATGCCAAGATGATCCCCAGAAACGAGGCGCACCAATCAGATCCAGTTAGAATTGATGACCCGGTCACGTGAATATGACCTTCCGGATTTCCTCACTGTGCCCCAGATCCATGAAGCTACAATACATGAACCTTCGCTGGCAGAGCAGTTCCGTTTACGTGCGCCTGTTATTCGGTTCTACACCTTAAGGCCCATTTGGCAGCTGCTTCATATCCGCACGCCTGCCACATCTGCGTCCGGTGCCTCTTTCTTGCCCAATCCACGTATTGGCCAGATAATCCTTCGAGGCGGCAGACTCCTCTTCCCAACGCCACTTCTTAACCACTGGGCCATCTCCATCGACAACCTCACGCACCAATATGTCTGACAAGCTCACCCGGTTCGTAGCAGATACCACTGCTTAGTTTCATTCAAAGGACCCTGCTGATTCTCGATAGTATTGCAATTGTCAATTCCGACAAGGTACCCCGCTACCCCTCCTCCGCGAAATTTCAACAACTGGCTAACATGAGATGTGTGCGCTCGTAGTGCAAACCGAAAGTAAGGCGAGCCCCAAGGTGAATTGATTGTGGAATTCTGACTAGCTTCCAGAAATGTCGACAGGAATGCAAAAAGTCTTGCCCGGTCGTTCGCACTGGCAAGCTCTGCATCGAAGTCACACCCGATTCGAAGATCGCCTTCATTTCCGAACGCCTTTGCATAGGATGCGGTATCTGCCCTAAGAAATGCCCTTTCGACGCCATCAACATTATCAACCTGCCCACGAACCTCGAAACTCAGGTTACCCATCGATACTCCGCCAACAGCTTCAAGCTACACAGGCTCCCCATGCCACGTCCTGGCCAGGTTTTGGGTTTGGTTGGCACAAACGGTATTGGCAAGAGCACCGCATTGAAGATTCTGAGCGGTAAGCTCAAGCCCAACCTCGGGCGATATGACAATCCGCCAGACTGGGAGGAGATCTTGAAGTATTTCCGTGGCTCGGAGCTCCAGAGTACGACGCTCCTGTCTACTTAGCGAGGCAGTCATTGACTTTCTTCCAGACTATTTCACAAAGGTTCTGGAAGACGACCTGAAGGCCGTTGTGAAGCCGCAGTATGTGGATCAGATTCCCAAAGCAGTCCGGACACCAGACAAGAGCGTTGGAGCTCTCATCAAAGGCCGGTCTCAGCTGGGCAACCTCGATGAAATCACCGAAGTACTGGGTACGTAGGAGGTCTCTCTGATACCTTTGTCTTCTAGACTAAGTCCTCGACAGAATTGAAACACGTGTGGGACCGCGATATCAACCTACTCTCTGGCGGTGAGCTGCAGCGCTTCGCCATTGGAACTGTGTGTGTTCAGAAGGCCGATGTGGTAAGTGGGGGTCTTGTGCAGCGGCAGACTCAGCGCTGACATGTTGTTTTAGTACATGTTCGACGAACCATCGTATGTTACGCCCACCACACTGAACTTGCCCACCTAACTTCGCCAGGTCCTTCCTTGATGTCAAGCAACGTCTCGCTGCCAGTCGCATCATCCGTAGCCTGCTACGCCCCGATGACTACGTCATTGTTGTCGAGCACGACTTGGCCGTCCTCGACTACCTCTCCGATTTCATCTGTGTTCTCTACGGCAAGCCTGCCGTGTATGGTGTGGTGACCCTGCCCGCTTCGGTCAGGGAAGGTATCAACATTTTCCTGGATGGAAATATCCCGACGGAAAATCTCCGCTTCAGAGAGGAGTCTCTGCAGTTCCGCATCGGCGAGGCCGGAGAAGACTTCATGGTCGACAAGTCACGTGGATACCAATACCCGAAGATGACCAAGACCCTGGGCGAATTCCAGTTGAACATTGAGGCTGGTGCTTTTACCGATTCCGAGATCATCGTCATGATGGGCGAGAACGGAACCGGCAAGACCACTTTCTGTAAAATGCTCGCTGGGGCTCTTCAACCCGACAACGGGAAGAAGGTGCCGCCCATGAACATCAGCATGAAGCCGCAGAAGATCACGCCCAAGTTCCAAGGAACCGTTCGCCAGCTCTTTTTCAAGAAGATCAAGGCCGCTTTCCTGAGTCCCCAGTTCCAGACTGATGTCTACAAGCCACTCAAAATGGACGACTTCATCGATCAGGAGGTGCAGAACTTGTCCGGCGGTGAACTACAGCGTGTGGCCATCGTCCTTGCCCTTGGTATGCCGGCTGACATCTACCTCATCGACGAGCCCAGCGCCTATCTCGATTCCGAGCAACGTATCGTCGCTGCCCGCGTCATCAAGCGCTTCATCATGCATGCTAAGAAGACCGCTTTCGTTGTCGAGCACGACTTCATCATGGCTACCTACCTTGCGGATCGTGTCATCGTCTTCGATGGCCAACCCGCTGTTAAGGCTCGCGCCAACGCCCCAGAGTCCCTCCTTACAGGCTGCAACAAGTTCCTCCAGAACCTGGATGTTACATTCCGCCGTGACCCCAACTCGTACCGTCCTCGCATCAATAAGTTCAACTCGCAGCTGGATCAAGAGCAGAAGGCGAGTGGAAACTACTTCTTCCTGGAAGATGATAGTTGAAAAGATCTTCCATGGAGAATATACGCCGCGGGAGCAGGATCCACCACATAGACATATGAATCGTGACGGCGGAACGAAACGAGGAAATAGGAAAAGCGGCTCACGAAGACGTGTGGCGGCCTCCGAGGGGGAAGAGAGCGGCTCTGGTGAGGATGACGAGGAAGACGACTCTCCCCCAACGGCGGCCGACCTCCTGTTGCTCGAGGGGGTTCAAGAGCGACCCCAGACTGTACCAGCACGGGTCAGCTAGGGACCTGCTGTTGGTTCATGCCCATTTCCTTCTCACAGCTGCCGTCCCTGCCGATCTGTCGTGATACAAAGCACATGCAGGGTGAGCACGTTGCGAGGGGGACAAATGGTTATGTCCTCCAATGATATGTTCGAGCTGGCTTGGTGCTCGGAGCGTTGGATAGGATCAAATTGGGATCTAGATAGCCGCACACAGAACGAGTGTCCGCTACAAAAGTTTTGCCAATACAAATGGTCGTTATGTTTTTGCGGCAACCGACCGTGAGTGGTGACAGTTTTCCGTTGCGGCACAGGTTGTTAGAGTTTGAATTCGTGGCCACTGAAACTGACGAGATGTGCTCTGCACTCGTTAAGGGGAGCCTGTCCGTTGTGCAGCTAAGTGAACTTCTGAAAGTGAGGTAGAATGCCCATCAGACCGATGTATGTATAACTGGATACGGACAGTAGTTGCTCAAGCGGCATGGAGAGTTGAGCATCCATGCGGGCTACAAAAGAAGCTGCCGCCGCAAAATGTGTCCTTCCGAGGCATCAACACTCAATTCCGTTCCGCCGCAGCGTCCCTTTAGCGGTTGTGACCTTCATGCCTATCCTGTGTAGCCGTTAGCAGATCGACCTGTAAATCTGAAAGGCCACCATGGGCTCACCTGGCATCGAGGTCATACGTCTCCCAAGCGGCGACTTCCTCTAACCACGTCTTACATTCCCGCAACACCTCCACCCTCTCCTCTTTCTTCCCCTCCTCTTCCATCAGCTCTGCCTCCCTCCACAGACAAGCGGCCATTTCGTATCTCGCACACGGCGCGGTCCACGAATCCTTCAGGTGTCCCTTGAACAGCGCCTTATCGTGCTCTATGATCTCCCTTTGCAGTATCTCTTTCGCTTCCGACGTACGACCCAGACTCCGCAGCGTAGCTGCTCGAAGGAGAGCGAGGATGCCCTTCTCATCCCTCCCCTCCTCCTTCTCCCAAAGAGGATTCCACGCACCGTTTTCGCTCCACGCGAGATTCTCCAGCGAGGTGGTCAGGTGCTTCTCGCCCATTCTCTTGTATCCATTCCATAAGTAAATGAGTTCCTCGAGGGGACTCACACCCGCAGCGTCAACGAGATCGACACCCCAGCTTTTCGCTCGAGCTTCCCACTTCTGCATCTTCCGGCTGACGAAGACATCAAAGGGGAGCTGACGAGCCATGAATCGCTTCTTCCCCACATTAGGTATGACCTTGTCGAACATGGCCTTCGCCTTCGCCTTCTGCTTCTTCGCTTCTTCGGCATCCGGCGGAGTCTTCGCCAACGCTCGCCTATACGCCTCCGTATGCGCAGCCCCGCATATATAATAGTACAAACCGTGGCTCCAGTTATTCAGCGTGACGCACTTCTGGAAAGATTTGCTCGTTCTCTCATACTCATGCATATACATGAGATTCAAGCTACGTTCGAACCACTGCAGCGCTTCTAGCTGTTTGAGCGGACATTCCCCCATGTTCTCCATGAAGGCGACGGCGGCCTCGAGGTCCTTCTCGGAAGCCATCATGCGCGCCTCTTCCAACAGCCAGAGATGGCTCTTCGGATGCCTCTGCCGCATTTCCGCCAAGAGCGCTTTACACCTCTGCTTGGGATAACTGCCGGGGCCGTGCCGGGGCAAGATGTCGCAGAAGCCAAGTATGGTGCTGTAGAATCCGAACAGCACCAGTCCGGCCATTGCCCCGTGGATGTTGTGATACTTGGTTGCCTGCCAGAGCATTTGGATGCCTCTTTCACGATCGCCCTTGAATCCGACGATCTTGAGCAGAGTAGCGAAGGCCGGGGGAACGAGGGAGATGATGAGTAGGAGGATGCCGAAGCAGAAGTTTGCGCCCGAGCTGATGAATTGTTCCACCGGGTGGGTGCCGAAGAGGGAGATGTCGACACCGGAACTTATGGTTGGAGCGAGGGTGAGCGGGGCTATGTCTGGGATGTCTTCCGATGTGGATACGGGAGGTTCTGGCGACGAGGGGCGGTTAGAGGTGTCGTTCGGCGGAGAAGTTGGAGAGGGTGCTTGTTTCTCGGCTGCGCCAGCAAGATGGCCGGTATACTGTTGAGGTGTGGAAACTCCAGTGTGATCCTCGTCTGCGTCGACGAATTCAAAGTCGTCATCCTCGCCATCAGGGCTCTTGTTAGCCTTCTGTAGTGCTTCCTTTTTCTCTTGCGTCGTCGCCGTCAAACCACTTGACGACACTGCTGCAGAAGGTGTCCCGGAGAGTGCACTGTTGCGCACAGTCAAGGGACTTTCGTCCTTCAAGCCCTTCTTGGGCCCCTTACCGGACAATGCACCCGATTCCGACGACTCCAGACTGCCGCTACTCTTCGCATTGATATACTGCCTTTCAGCTTCCATAACAGACTCCAGCGTGATATACGCCTTCCGCAACTTATAGAAGCTCTTGATCGCCTCCGTCAGTGTCTCGTTCAGGACGCCGACAATGGCGCTCATGAGTCGGGCTTCGGCGAGGCACACGGCGTACTCGGTTCCCGGAGGGTAGATGGCGGACTGGTAGGTAGAAGGGTTGCCGACCGCGTGTTGCTGGTGCTTGTGTGCGGCGTCTTCTGCTGCCGACAGCTTCTCGGAGGCTATGAAACTGTCAATTCCATGTACCAGAAATAGCCCATGTCCGGAGCCCTGATTCGCACACCTTCACGCATTGTCTCCTGTTCAAATCCGAGTGTAGCTCGAATGAACGTGACAACCCCCATGCCTAGCTGCAAAACACTGTGAGCAAGGATTGTACAGACGGGGCAAAGGGCGAGGAGGGAGTGCACACCAGGTGGAATGGCGAACTGCCTTTACTGAGGTAGGCCTCTGCGCCGTCGACATCGTCGGCCATGATATATGTCACGGCTGCATAGCAGGTCCTATCAGCTCTCGTGCAGCTCCTTGGGAGGTTCTATGTAGGTGTGCTCGTACCGGCCATTGCATCCTCAACTGTGCGCGAATCAGCTTCTCTTCATGGAGTTTACACGGGCACCAGCAAATCCTACTCTGCGCAATCTCATCCAGAGCCGTCATGCTCATTGCAGGATGGACCTGCTTTCCCTTTCCGCCAAACCAGCCGCCCATTCTGTGCATCGTTGCGAAACTCGAGCTCAAGAAGGCGCGCAAGCTCCGGCATCAGCGAAGCTCAAAATGTTGACGCGGGAACGACGGAGGTATCAAAGGTAGAAAGTATCAGAAAGGGAAGTTGGTCGAGTGAGCAATTGATTCAGGACCTGGAGCCTGAAAATTGAAATAAAGTAAGCATAGCCTCGCATGAGTTCATCCATGGCTTGGAGGAGCTACGTCACCCCGGTTCAATGCTAAATATGGGAGAAATTCGATGCGTCGGTATGCAGAAGCTGGAAAATACTTTTGGTGTTGAGCGTTATGCTCACCGATCAACTGAAGATAATATCATTATTCAATCCAGAATGGATCCATAGACACAGGTATTTTCATAGAATACTCCGTAAATAGATAGCACATTACCGGTACTCAGTTCCCCTCCACTTCTCACCCAGCAGCGCAGATAGACTCGACGCCAAGCCTCTCCTCAGCCACCCAATCACAGACGTCCGCCTCCAGCTCGGGCAACTGCTTGACAGAACAACACCACTACATCCAACCTTGGAACGCCTCCCATATACCTCGTTACCGCACTATACCCACGCACTCTCCAGCAAGCCGACAAGCATACCTCACCAGACCTCACCCTCACATTACCCCGACTGCCCCACCGTCCCCGCAACCCCCATCATCAAACAACCACCATGTCCGGCGCCCCATCCTCCAACGCCCCGGCAACCAAACTCACCTCGGACGCCTCCAAGGACAAGAACGCCGAACCCTCCAAAGAGCAGAAACCCGCCGCCAACAACGGCCCGCTGGAGGAGGACGACGAGTTTGAAGATTTCCCCATCGAGGGTGCGTATTTCTCCTCCTCACGTAATACATCCATGCCTTCCTTCTGCTGGTTTGCGGACAAAGCCCAAGGTGGAGTAGGGGAAAAGGAGATAATATAACGGCTTAGTTACAAGTTGGCTATTTACACGTGTGGGACGGGCAGTGGAATTGGTAAAACAGGGCAGAGCTAAGCTGACTTGGGTGTGTAGACTGGCAGGAGGAAGACACGCAGCTGCCCGGAGGCAATGCGCACCTGTGGGAGGAGAGCTGGGATGACGACGACACGAACGAGGACTTTGCTGTGCAGTTGCGGTATGTTCGGTTTCTCCAAGAGCCAGCCGCCCTCTATACTGGAGCACGAGGGGGCTGGGCGTGCCCAGGGTAGGGATGCACATGCTAACGTTGATTGCAGGGAGGAGCTGAAAAAGCTCGAAAAGAAGTGAGAGACGGACCTATCTGCGGCGGTGGCGCTATGGCGTTCGTCATGGAGGAAATTCTGGATTCGTAATGCAGGCTATAGAGCGCGTATCCCAAGAGCGAATGCAGCTACCGGGACAAACCCGAGTGGAGTCATATTGTGTGAATAGACTACCAACAACTACGACAACAGCACACCGGCGAGTCGGATTGGGTATATATATCCAAGCGGCACGCCAAATTACAGGGAGGGAGTGATCGATGTGATTGATGTAAATATAGTAATTGTCCTACCTCGTCAGGAGGGAAATCATCATACTCCCTCCAATCCTCTCTCCAGCTTACCCTCTATTTGCTCGACAGAGCAGATACACCAGGCAGATCCTTACCCTCCAGCAGCTCAAGCGACGCACCACCACCAGTGGAGACATGGCTGAGCTTGTCTTCGACGCCATATTTCGCCGCGACCGTCGCCGTGTCACCACCGCCAATGATGACAATCTTCCCGCTCTGCGCTGCCGCAACGGCATTATCCAACGTCGCCTTTGTGCCCTTGGCAAACGCATCGAACTCAAACACACCGGGAGGGCCGTTCCATAGAATCGTCTTGGCCTCGTCAATCGTCTCCTTGAAGAGCTTGATGCTCTTCTCTCCGCAGTCCAGACCCATCCAGCCATCAGGGATACCATCGGCATCAGTAGCATATCCAGTCTTCGCGTCACTGGCGAACCTATCGGCGGTGATGTAATCGACGGGCAGCACAATCTTGACGTTATTCTTCTTCGCCTTCTCGACCAGATCCTTGACCGTTTTGCTTCCTTCCTCATCGAACAGCGAGTTCCCAATGCTGACACCCTCGAGCGTCTTCTTGAACGTAAAAGCCATTCCACCGCAGATGATCAGGCTGTTGACTTTGCCGAGCAGGTTGTCGATGAGCTGGATCTTGTCGCTGACCTTGGCCCCGCCCAGGATGGCGAGGAAGGGCCTGGCTGGGTTCTCGAGCGCTTTGGCGAAGTACTCGAGTTCCTTCTTGACGAGGAAGCCGGAGGCTTTCTGGGGGAGATTGACGCCAACCATGGAGCTGTGGGCGCGGTGCGCGGTACCAAAAGCGTCGTCTATGGGAGCATCGCGTTAGCCAATGCCTATGGACCGTGGAAGTAGAGTACGACTCACTGATATAGATATCTCCGAGCACCGTCAAGCCCTTCCTGAACTCGTCCACCTTGGCCTTATCAGCCTTCACCTTCTTCCCCTCTGCGTCCTTGTAGCTGCCCTCCTCCTCCGGGTGGAACCGCAGGTTCTCGAGCAGGATCACCTGTCCGTTCTCCGCCTTGTTGACGGTCTCCTCAACCTCCTTGCCTACGCAGTCTTTCGTGAAGATGACTTTCTTCCCACCGAGCAGCTTCTCGAGCTCGGAAACCACCGGCTCAAGGCTGTACTTGGGGTTGGGCTGGCCGTTGGGGCGGCCGAGGTGAGACATGAGAACCACGGCTTTGGCGCCATTCTCAATGGCGTATTTGATGGTGGGTAGGGCGCCGACGATGCGCTGGTTGTTGGTGATGTGCTTGTCGGCGTCGAGGGGCACGTTGAAGTCGACCTGCATCTTGCGTTAGGAGCACTGCTGGTTGGGGATTGGAGGTGCGTTAAGAGACTTACACGGATGAGCACACGCTTGCGCTTGAGGTCGACATCGGTGATGGAGAGCTTGTTGGAGAGAGACATTTTTGTGGGTTCTTGTGCACTGTAAGCTCTACGACGAGGTTAGAAATGGTGTCAATCAAGCAGGGATGATCAATTCAGCTCAGAATCGCGAGAATCGCGCAATTGAGATGAAAGCAAGCTGGGCCGAGAATGGACACTCACCTACCTAGGTACTGAAGTTTTGTGGTGTGCAGAGGTGGGGTGGGAAAACATGACTTCTGCCCTATGTCATCGGCCGGCGGGGTAAATAGCAGAGGTGGGGGTTGGCTGGCTCGAGCTATGAAGCGTGCGGAGCTCCCTTTGGGCTGGTATCACTATACTACAAGTATTACTGTGAACACAGCATGGCCGCCATGTTTATCGAAAGAGAAGGAAACAGAAACAGTACATGCCCGGTCCAGGAACAATAGGTGTAGCCGTTCGATAGATGGCTCGACAGCGAACATCTCCCCGCGGCCGGCAAGGAGGAGGATTCCACTGAGTTTGCAAAAGCCAGCGGCAGAATAGCTCGAGAAACATCTCAATAACTTGATATCCAAACGCCTTATATCCCAACTATATCTGAAATCTGTTGTATTCTTGCGGCAGGGGATCCACGACAGAGCCAAGACAGACCAAGGTGCATTCCGAACGCCTACCCAGTGCTAAGACCAAAAACCCCGAATAAATAACCAACCTGATATGCGAGCGCTTCGCCCAGGCCAACATCCAGATTCAAACATGGTTATCCGTTCCCGCCCTCCCGTGGAGATATAGATCGAATGAGACGCCGTGAGAAACACGCTACATTGACTCGTCTTCGGCGGCGTTGGTCAAGGAGAGGTATGCTGTCCATGCAATACCGACGGTAGACACAAACGGCTTCCAAAGGCATGAGTATCCGTGCCGAGAGCGCGTCGCAGGTGAATACTTACAATCTGAAACTGGATGGGCATGATTCGGAAGTTGATGATCTGGACCGCAGGCCACACCATGTAATTTGCCTTGAGCGACGGCACGTAGACGTCCTGGAACTTGCGCTGAACAGCACGCTTCCCTCCGCCTTCGGCTACCGTCATGAACGTGAAGAAGCATGCGAGACCTGGGGATCGTCAGCTTGGAGAAGGGCAGGTCACCGTCAGAAGCACATACCAAACGGGGCGAACAGGAATTGATCAAAAGCCACCCGTTTCAATGCAGGAACAAATGCGGCTGTCTTGCTGACAGGAAACGTCCTCGATAGGAAGCTAAACCACTTGTGTTGGACAGGAGCCATCAAAAAGCCGTATGCCATGAATCTCGTCAAGCGTTCGAAGTCGAACGGCGGCGGCAGTAGCTTCGAATCTGGTATCACGCCGCCCGTTGGGCCTGCGGGCCTCTTATGCAGGTCATCAATCTCGATGGCAACGAAACCGTCCTTGTCGACGCCGGCAGATTTGCGTGCAGCCCGTTGCCGGATTGCTGTCAACGATTGTGCTACTGTATCTGCTATGCCTCCAAGTATCTGCCTTCAAGTTAGCCATGTTGCTTTCTGCCTGCGGCGATGAACGTGTAGGGGAAGGGCGTCGCGATATAGAATGCAAGTGCAGAAGGGCAGCGTACGGCATTAGTTATCATAGTAGTGAGTACTGGAGACTCAACGTCAGCATTGCTCCATCATGTGTATGGATTGTTTTCGGAGCTTACCTGGTCTCTGGGCATAGTAGGAGTTGAATTTCCTCGTCAAGAGAGATACGGCGGCCATTTGGAGGAGGAACACGGCAGCGTGAAGGAGAGGCTGCGCGAGAAGAGCAAGCGTCAGCAGCACAGTCTGGGATTTTCAAGGGAGGCCCTCACGATTTTGCCATAAATCCAGCGGCGGTTTAGTTGGTAGAGGAGGCGTCGTCGCGTATTCTCGATCATGGTGATCAGATGGGTGGAAGAGAGAGGTTAGGGTTATTTAGCTTGCGATGACGTCCTTCGTTCGGATGCAGGGTCCGTGTGTGGGTCAGCGGCTACTGTGTACAGTACTGAGTCCGTGGGAGGGAACGGTCGACCGTCACCCGGTGTGGTAAAACAACGATATATGGTTGCTGCGCGCTTGTCGCAGGCTGTGTCGCAGGCTCTGGGAGAGGGCAGGCAGTAGTAGGAGGGGAAGAAATGGGTATCGGTGCGAAAAGACGTTTGAGAGGAGGAGTGAGAGGCGGGCTTTGAGCGAGCGGAGAATGAGAATGCGCCGACACGCAGCCGGGCAAATCAGATGGCAGCAACGCCTCCCTTATTAATATCTACTTCATACTGATGGAATGCCCTCTGAACGACAACTTCAAGAGAGATCGAACAGGACATCACTGACTGGCCACGCTTGACTATTCTATCCAGAGCCAGCATTCTCGGCCTCTTGTTGTGTCTTGCGTAGATCGCAAGCGCCACCAACCAGTGCCATATTCGATTGCCCATCCTCCGGCTCTGATGTGACAGTTCCCCCCTATATGCTCAGCAACTACTCATTCTTCCTGAGCTGCTGCAATCACACTCGGAAGATCCCGTATATCGGCTGCCTCCTGCGTCGAGAGGTCAACCACTCGGACAGCCTCCACGCCCAACACTCCCTCCGATAGGGCAACGAACTTCAACTGCGCTGTGTAGCATGCTCCAGGGGCCAGGTGCCTACAGACCATCAGTACGAGTCGGCCATGCGCCCTTGGCTCTGCACTCACCCTATCCGCACATCTGTCGTCAAGCAAAGCAGATCTGCCGTGTCCATTTTGGCATGCTTCTGTTTGGCATAGATGATGTTCTCGTCCACCACCGCATTTGCCATGACATCTGTCCTCTCCACGCCTTGGCCTCCCACCGAGGAGACAGAGGGATGTGATATATGCTTCTCGTAGTCCCTCTTCCGCTTGGGAAGGACGAGCACAGCCAACTTCCGCGTCTTTTCCGAACGATTGACAACGAAGACATCCCAGTTGAACATGTCTCCAACCTTGACTGACCATGGCCCGGTGATTGTAAGGACCACATTGATCGCCTTGTCTGCACGCCCGTCTCCTTGTTGACTTGCGCTATCTTGGGGTAAAGCATCTGGGTTGGGCGCTTTGTGTTGTGGAAGATTCGGGTTGCTCAGCCTTTGAGCTGCCTTCACGAGGTCGGCATCGTGCTCCGCGGCGAAGTCTACCGCCGTCTTCCAGTGAACGTCGATATCTGGATGGGGCCCATTGGCAAGCATAACTCTCGCTTTCATCCTGAGCGACAGGACATGCGCATTGGCGGGCTGGGTTGAATTTCGCTCTGTGGTGAGATCTGGTGTCAGCTTGTAGACATAGGTTACCTGATCTCCGGGTACTTGGACACATGTGCCGAACTCATACTCCGCCATAGGTTGAACCTGGCCGTTTCCAAGTGCCAACTCAACGGCATCGACAGTGAGACGACAACCAGGGATGTGCGCAACCTCCAAATCCAGTGATGCAATGATGGACGCATCCCTCATGGATGCGCGCATTCTTGAGTACCTTACACGCCAGATCAAAGCTGATAATGCCCTGAACAGTCGTCTCTGACCGGTTCGGATTGGGCGGACGAGCTCTTTGGCTAATGGAGTAGTAGGCACAACCTTGCTGATTCGCATCGCAGACAAGCGTGGATGGACTCCGGCAAGAGCTGGGTCATTGTCAAACGATTGGAGGAGGTTCATTGGTGTTGGCACACCGCTTGGAAGATAGTCATCGTCAACGGGCTTGCTTTTCGGAGCAGGTTTCAGGGAGGCTGTAGGTTGAAAATAGACGGTAGGCTTATGGTGTCTCGCTCTTGGTCGACCTGTGAGCGTTAACAACATTTCAATAGCACACGGTCCGCATTTTTAACCCACTTATGAAAACTTCTAATCTCCATACTACATAAGCGTGGTGACTCTCCCCTTCATGGCCGATGACACGCGGTTCGCTGCTCTCTTTGATGGTCTCTGAATAGATGGGCTCCTTAGGTGGCGGCACTCTGGCTTCTGGTACCGGCGGTGGAGCAGTACTGAAAACAAAAGCTTCCAGGCTGATCGCCAGGCGTGAGATATAAGCTCTTAGCGTACTCTGGTCAATCTGAGGTGTCCGAAGGACTACAAGGAGAGGTACTGTCTCATCTACACGCCTGCGCATAAGTAAGAGATTCTGCAGAACAATCTCGGGATAAATGGCTGCCTACCAAACAGCAAAAACTGTCGCTGGGAGACAAATGGTAATATAGCGCTGCCCTCATCTTCAAGCTTCCCGTCCCATGCCCCTATTTCTGCGTCTAGATTGATGGTAGGATCCGACGGGACAATCACCTCAAGAATTGAGCTCTCCACAAACTCGGCACTGCCCCGTCGCTGACCCTCGGAAGCACTCGACGCCATGCGCTCGAACTATCCGCGACAAAATAATATTGATTGGGACTTTTTCAAGCCTAGGGTTTGCAGCAGCTGGTTGATACATATCCAAACCGTCGAGTCGGAACGGAACATCTCTAGTGCCGAGATCCCTGTCAACCTAGAACTTAATCGTCTCCATCCTCCAAACCGAACGAGCTTCACTTTACGATCCTCACACGGCGATTCAGCCATCTCATCGTAGCGGCAAACTGCGCATTATGGCGCCGATGAATGGGTTTGGTTCACGCTCTGTCTGGCAGGAAGCCAAAACGGCAGATGGGAAAATCTATTTCTACAATACGGTAACGCAAGAGACGACATGGAGCAAACCTGTGGAGCTCATGACCGAGAATGAGGTAAGTTCTGTTTCGAATCCGGCTCCGCCATGCTAATCGTCAGCGCGCTCTCGTCGGAACACCCTGGAAGGCATATGAGGCCGCTGATGGCAGGACATACTGGCACAATGAGCAAACGAACGAGACGACATGGGATATGCCACAGGCCGTCGCCGACAACTTGAAGAAAAACCGTGCTCAAGCGCCCCATGCACCTCACACTCCTGCTGCTCCGTATGACTTGGTCCGGTTCCCGTATGCTCGTTACATGCTAACAAGTGCACAGATCGAGTACCTGGGCTGCGGGGCCTTCTTCTTACCTGCCTCCGAAACCCGCTGATCGGGACGAATACCAGCCATGGGAACGTCGTGACCGTGATCGTGACACAGGCTATGGGGCTGCAGACCGTGGATTGGCATCGTTTGTGACAGCAAGCGAGAATCAGTATGCCAGCCGTGAAGAAGCCGAAGCAGCATTCACGAAGCTTCTCAAAAAGATTGGGGTCCAATCGGACTGGACGTGGAAGCAAACCGTCCGTGCTGGTGTCAAGGATCCGAGCTGGAGGGCTATACCCGACCCGAAAGACCGTGAGGAGACCTTCAAAAAGTATTGTGAGGAGCTCCGCGCCCAGGACAAGGCGAGGGAGGAAGAGCGCCAGGCCAAACTGCGATCCGACTTCATGCAGATGCTGAAGAACCACGATGAGATCCATCACTACACCCGTTGGAAGTCCGCTTTGCCGACAATTGAAGGCGAAGCCGTCTTTCGTTCCGCCAAGGACGATACGGAGCGGCGCGCTTTGTTTGATGAGTACATCATTTCGCTGAAGAGAGCACATGCTGAGGAAGAAGCCGAAGCCAAAAGGTCAGCCTTGGACCAGCTGTCTGGCTTGCTGCATCGATTGAATCTGGAGGCATTCACACGTTGGCATACTGCTGAAGGTATATTGGAGGCAAATGAGGAGTTCAAAAGCGACAAGTTCAAGCCCCTGCACAAACTGGACGTGCTCACGGCTTTCGAGAAACATATTAGGCAATTGCAGCGCGACTTGAATGATCGAGTGCAAAGCGAGAGGCGTGCCAGGCTTCGTACGGAGCGTAAGAACCGGGATGCGTTCAAAGACCTCTTGAAGGAGTTACGCGCGAAGGGAAGTCTGAGAGCGGTTTCCAAATGGAAGGAAATCCGCCCGCTAATCCATGAGGACCCTCGTTACAAAGCAATGTTGGGCCAGGGTGGTTCCACACCGCTTGAATTGTTCTGGGATGCCCTCGAAGAAGAGGAGGAGAAGTTCCGCGTCCACCGCCGGGCAGTATTGGACGTATTACAGGCATGTATATCTCCATATGACTGCTTATCCGGCTAACATGTGTCAGGTTCAACGTTTCGAAGTTACACCTGAGACCCCTTTCGAAGAGTTCCGCGATATAATGCGGACTGATCCGCGCACAGCTAACTTTGACGAGCAGCTGATGAAAGACACTTTCGTCTACGTTATCAACCGCGTCAAGCGACGGCAAGAAGAAGCCCGTCAAACGTCGGCCGAGAATGAGCGTTTGGCGATGGATGACCTGCGTTCAGTCTTGAAACATCTTGATCCACCCGTACTCGTCACGGACACCTGGGACTTGGTCCGGCCGCGCGTCAAAGACACGAAGGAATTCAAAGAGATTAAGTCGGAGTCCGCTCGCGAACAGGCCTTCGACAAGTTTATGAGGCGTCTTAAGGAGAAAGAAAAGGAGAGGGAGCGGGAACGAAGCAGGCGTGATGCCCGCGACCGCGACAGGCGCGAGCGAGATCGTGAGTATCGCAACGGCACCGACTCCCATCGGCGTCATCGTACGCGTACACGCTCACCAGAACATGACCCGTATGCTGCGGAGCGCCGCCAGGCTCAGCAGGACAGAGAAGCTCGGTATAGGAACACCGATAGGACGGGCCTGTCACCACCCTACCGTAGACGAGAAGACGATCGATATGACGGTTCTCGCCGAGGCAGCGGGGACCACTATGGACGCGAGCGTCGTGAACGCGAAGCCGAGCGCGAGCGCACGTATGTCAGTAGGGCTGATCCCCGTGAGCGCAGCAGCGAACTCGACTATGGTGACAATCACGGCGACAGTCGTCCTGTCTCTGTGAGGCGCCGACGAGAGAGCGATGAGAGTGCCAGCAGACGCGAGAGCAAGCGCGCTCGTTACACGCCCAACCGCGACCGCAGCTCCAGGACGCCAGCACAGGTTGAGCCGCCAAAGGAGGATGCGGGCCTTCGCTCCGGTAGCGAAGAGGGTGAAATCGAGGAGGACTAGGTGTCCCGCAGCAAAGGGGAACTCTAGACGCATGGGAAATCGGAGTGGGGAGAGCGCTCGGCGAACCAAGATCAAAATGACTCGAGGAGCTCGTGATCTCCTCCATGCTGAGGACGGAACCTGTACGAATCCCCCACACGACTTTTTCGGCCTTTACTTTGCAACTTGCTTTTAGCAGACAGCCCCCTTCGGAAGAACGACAGCTTCAGCACAATGACGAGCATACGAATGGGTGCCATTGAGACGTCGGATACTTTGATGGCTGGGTTGCAAAGTAAGTTCCTCAATGTGTTTTTGTTTTTGCAGCTGGCTTGCCACCAGCTGCATTTGCCTTGTGTTCTTCAATGTCTCGGGGGGAGTGGAGCTTGGGGGTGCCATGACTGGATGGGTCGCATGGATCCGTGACGGTCTATACTCTGGGAGGTCTCAAGCTCTCGATCCTGGTGGCTCCACATAGGAAAGAAATCAATTTGGTAATCATTCAAAACACAGACACTAGTGCATATATGTGAACGCTGTGTTTCGGGACCTGCGACTTATCGGAGACAAGTGTTAGCACCAAACTCGCGATAACAGGGAACAACGAGGATGCATCCAAGGTGGTAGTTTGTGAATACTGTGATCATGACTTGGTGGGGTACTGCCTGCTGCTCTATCCCATGTCTATAAAGCTTCTAGAATTGTATAGCCTTGATGCCTGCTCCAAAATAATCATCACGGGGTATCCTTTTGATGCTCCATCATACAATACACAGCCATTGCAGCCGCAGTACTATTACACCCTTCACCTTTTCTTCTTCCCCTTTAATGGATTGATGTTGACCCTACCGCCAGACTCTACTCTCCTCCTTCACCTCCCCACGTAGAATCTTACCCACAAACTTCAACTGCCACTCCTTTGCATCCACGCCCTCGAACCTCGCCTGAGCCGCCTCCTGGAGCCTCCACACCGTCACCCCAATCCCCTCATACCACTCGCGTGCCCGATCATCAGCATCTACATCGTCGGGGCGGATGACTAGCATGCCGTCGCCGTCGCCGTCGTTGTCCCAGAAGCGGGCCACGGGTTTGGGAGGCACGCCGCGCATCTTGAGAAGCATGTTTAATATGTCGCTGATGCGTTCGCCCTGCTGCGAATAGTATGCTGGAGGCCTGTCGAAGGGCCATTTAGGATGGTGGGGGAGGGACAGGGAGTCAGCGGACTGGTGGAGGGTCGCTGGTGCGGAGGTTGAGGCCGATTGAAGGGCATGGGCTATGGAGGCGTCGGAGTGGGGTTCAGATGCGGCCGAGAGCAGTTCATGAGACTCGGTAGTAGATGCCATCGCGGGTGGATTGGGAGCATTGGGCTCCGGGTAGGTGTCCGTTGTCGGTTGATGGGGAGTGACGTCCTCTTCCCAAGCTCGAAAGAGCCAGCACATGCGTTCAGCGCAGGCGAGAAGAATGACTGCCACTAAGAAAGTCTCAAACGGGTTCGCTTGTTGACGCTGCAGAAGGCGACGTTCCAGGTCGTTCATGACTATTCTCGCGAGGCAGGCGGCGCGCTTTTCCGCTGCCCCTTGCAGTTGAAGCTTGATGAGTTCGTAGGACGCAGAGTTGGACTCGGGGGTGATGGGTGTGCGCGCACTGTTCTCCATGTCGGACTGCGACATGGCGGATGGCATCATTGTTGGCGGTAAGGAAGGATTGAAGAAGACATGCCACTCTAGATCCTTCGACGTGAGAATGCGCGTCCAATGCCACAGCTCGAGAGCTTTGGAGAGTAGCCCGCCCTGGTTGGTAGAGGCAATACTGAGCGCAACCAGTGCTGTAATCTTCATGAAGGACGAGTCCTCTGAATCGAAGAAAGAAGTCGACGCCTTTTTGATATAAAGGTCGAGTTTACCGCCAATGTCATCGTCCCCATCAATGATCTCGTAGCTGCTGCAGGGCAGCGTGGCAAGAATAGAGGGATCTATCTCTGAACCTGCAAGAGGTTGATACTGGGACCGCAAGGGTGCAAAAGTGGCAAATATACCGGAGTCAAGATGATGGGTAGCTTCTATCCGGCCAGGGACCTGATCAAACCGAATTTGACTCTTCATGTGCCCAACCGCCTGGAAGGCGAGCATGCCATGCAGCCCAGCAGAGTACAGATTGAACTCTTCGGCAATCCGGGTGCGAATGCATGGTTGTTTCCACAACCGCGCACTCTCCACGTTCTTGCAGGTATTGCAAGGACTGTCCCCCGAACATGGTTTCTTCAACATCCGGCAGCGAATACATGCACCTCGTTTCCGTATCTCTTGCACCTCCTTACGCCTATTCTCGGGGAATCTGCCTCGTACCCTTGGCTTCGAAGGTTTCTGATTGACGCTAAAATCGGTGGTGAAGTGGGCTTGATTACCATGAGGGTTCATGGCGATAGGACGCGGTGGGGATATGGCCTTGTGCATGCTGTCATCCTTGGGCAACATTTGATTCCTGTTCTGATCACCAAGGAGAGGATCAATCGAGGATTGAGGCAGGTGGGACCACTGTTGGCGTTCGTGGTTCTGAAGGAATTTGTCGGATGCGGAGACGCCCGTAAGGTTCAGATCCGATTCCATGAGGCCATTGGGCATGATATTCGATAATTCGTTGGCAGCGGACGCCGTCATGACAAGGGATGGCACCATTTGGTTCAACGACGCGGACGTAGCTACAGGCATGTCACCTATATGCGGGGAATTCGTGGGCGAGTCCTGCAACGGTCCACTGAACTGGTACATGGACGGCACCGTAGGAGCTCCTGAGGTTTCCGAACCTTGGGACGCAATACCCAGTTCTTGCGCATCTGGGCGGTCGTCGTGCATGAGGAACTCGTCCATAAAAGCACCGTGCTGGCCTAAATGATTGCTCTGTGGAGGCGGTGGCCGTCTCCCTTGTTTCGCCGGTACACGCTTTCCAGAGAGGTCTAAATGTTGTCGAGACACTTCAGCAAGGGTCTCCAAGGCGGACATTCCCTGCTTCGAGGGCATGAAAGGAAGGTTGGGCGAGGGACCATTCTGCGCCTGCCCGTGAGCCTGCGCTTGTACCTGCATGGAGGCCATTTGCGCCATGTCTGACAGGTCGGCGGGGAGGTCATGGAATTGCAGCAGCGCGCGCTGGCGGTCGCGAAGAGGTAGAGCCGGACATTTTTTCACAAGGTGGTTCGTGAGGCTGTCGATGCGACCTTTGGGGAACTGATGTCGGAGTTAGCTCAGTGTCGGAAATCAATATGAGAGGGATGGACGGTACGAACCTTCTCACCGCACGATTTGCAAGTGTGTTGGTAACGGTTACTTGCGTCCTCGAGCTTCGGTCCTCTCTCGAAGAATTCGAGAATCAATTGATTGGGCTTGCGACCCATGACGACTGGTGGAAGGGCAACGAGGGGTCGGAGGTTTCAAAGGCGGTGTGAGGATTTTGCCATGGAGTCGAAGGCGGTCGTGGAGGCGGTGGAGGGCACAAGGTGTATGGCAGGGGTAACGTAATTCCCGGCATCTTGACCATCCCTACATCTTGACCACCCATCAAAAATCAAGCACCTGATTTTAAAGTGGTCTTACTCTGCAATGCATTAATTAATTCATATAAAAGTTTGAAACTTTGTAGAATAGAACCTCAAGAAGTTATTTATTATACTTTTTAGTCTAAAAACCGCTGTGGGGGAGCGATTTTGTGCCCGGTCCTCGAAACCCTCAAAACCTGCCCATCCTGATTTGACCCACTGCAATCTGATCCACAAACATCTGCAGACGAATTTGCTGCCATAGCCCGATTCTTTAAAGCCTGCTTCTCTATTTGAGTCACTTTTTTAGGTGCCTTTGCCTGTTCCTGAGTTGTAATCTTATGCTTTTTTACCACTGGTTTTCCTAGATCTTCTCCACTCCGCTTTTTCCAAGCCTCTTGCTCAGCAGCTAATCGAGCCTTGTTTTCAAGCTGGATTTGCTTTAAAACAAGCTTTTCAGCTTTGCGCTCTTCCTTCTGTTTTGTAGCATGTTCGCGCTCCGCAATTTTGGCTTGTTTCTTTGCCTCTCTCTCTCGTGCCTTTTCCACCTTTGCCAGGGCTTTCTCCTCCTTCTCTCGTGCTTGCTGGATCCTCTTTTCCTCTGCAAGAGATTTTTGCAGTTGGCTTTCAGTCTCTATCTCTTCTGCTCGTTGTCTAACTACTGCAACCTTTGATGGCGTAAAGAATTGTGCTTCTCCAGGCCGTTCTTTATCAAAAAGTCCCATACCTTTGCCTCTTTTCCGCTTTTTCTTCTCTTCCACAAGCGCTGCACGCAACCCAGTAACCTCATGCTGGAGAATATCATTCTTAATTGCGAGCTTCCCATATGCTCGGATAATTTCTTCCAATCTGGCTGTGTGCACAGCTTGTTCTTTACGGATTTCTTTGGCCAGCCGACGCACTCCTCTCACAGACCCCGGCATCTTCCTCTTCAAATCATTGTCGCTGTTCTCTGGAGATGGAGTCTTTACCTTTATTGACTTTAAAACTTTTTTAGGCTCTAGAGGGAAGATTCCAGGGCTGGAAAATGCTGATTTGATGTTTGAAGAAGTGACTGAGCGCTCCCAGGCCACTGAAAAAAGCTGCCAGAAGCTTCGTTTTGTTAGGCGAGTGAATCCGCAGCTTGATTGAATCAACTGATCAATCTCTTGTGAGTATGCATATGCAAGAGATGAGAAAATGCCAATGTCAAGTGGCTGTAGGCGGTGGGTTGAATGCGGAGGTAAAACCACTAGTATGATCCTATTCTCATCGCAATAGTTGATAAAATGGAGGTTTACGTGACTTGAATGGCCATCAGCGAGTAACAGA